GGACATTCTTGCAAGTTAACTGGGTGAGTGGGACCACAATATCTGAGTAGTTGAAGATAAAACGATGATAGAAATTTGTGAATCTGAGGAAAGATTGGATATCTTTGACTTTCCGGGGTTCCGGCCAGTCAGTGATAGCTTGGATCTTCTCAGATGACATAGTAAGGCCATCTGGAGATAGGAGGTATCCAAGGTATTCCATGGATGAGGAATGGAATTCGCATTTTTCTGGTTTAGTGTATAGGCAATGCTTCTGGAGTTGATGTAGTACTTCTCGGATGTGTTTCTTATGGGTTGCAAGATCTTTGGAATAAATGAGGATGTCATCCAGATACACAACAACACATACATCCAGCATATCTGCAAAAACGCTATTGACAAAGCATTGGAAAGCTGCTGGGGCATTGGTAAGACCTTCAGGCATAACCAACCATTCATAGGAGCCATAGCATGTCCGGAAAGCAGTTTTCCACTCATCTCCTTCCGCTATCCAGACAAGATGATAGGTGGACTGGAGGTCAATTTTGGTGTAAACTTTAGCGCAGCTTGGAGAGTCTAAGAGGTTGGAAATGAGAGGCAAGGGGTAATGATCTTTCTTGGTGATCTGGTTGAGACCTCAGAAATCCACACAAAGTTGTAGGGAGCCATCCTTCTTTTTTACAAACAGGACAGGGGCTCCATGCAGAGAGGATGAGGATCAAAGGAGTCCAGTTGCAATGTTCTCATCAAGGAACTTGCAGAGAGCTGCAAGCTCGACCAGAGAAAGGGAATAGATAGTTCCGATGGGCAAATTAGCTCCTTCTTCCAAATCAATCTTCAGATCATATGGATGATGAGGAGGAAGTTGACTAGCTTTGCCCTTATCGAAGATGTCCACAAACTCCTGATATTCTGGAGGTATTCTGGAAAGGCTAGGGGCTTCAGACAAGAGTGAGGTGGACCGGAGATCCAGTCCGGAAGGATGGAGATAGATGCTGAACTGCTTGGATCCTTCCATCTTGCAGGCCTGGCAAAAGGCAACTGCATTAATGAGGGAAATATGCGGACCGGATTTATCAGCAGAAGGTTCTGGTGTAGTTGGAGGAGGGATTTCCACCGGAGGAAGGGGTTCCGGAGGCGGAAGTGACGTCAGGGGGGTTGATGGCATTCCATGAGGAGTCATCCAGATGCTGCCCAAAGCCCAGTCAATCAATGGATTGTGTCGGGTGAGCCAGCTATATCCAAGTACAATAAAACAAGACGAATCCAAAGGGGTAACATAAAACATATCAGAGGTAACTACACTGGATGGAAATCGGACAGGGAGGTTTATGGCTTCAGAAATATTGTTATTACAAGTACCATCAAATAAATGAAGCGGAAGCGGAGGGATTCTATATGTAGGGATTTTATATTTTCAGATGAAATTTGTATCTATAAAACAATGAGAGGAACCACAATCTACAAGAGACAGAAATTTGGAAATACTGGGATATGTCAGAATTGTGATATATGGACAGAGTGAAGTCGGATCGGAAACAGAGACAGTGTTAAGACATAACTCCTTTGTATGGGTTGAGATAACATGACCCCCATCCCATATGGAGTCAGGAGGATCGTGGACTATTTTTTCACCTCAGATGAGGCTTCCAGTTTGGCTTCCAGAGTGACTGTAGCAGCATGGCCTTTGGCAGTGCGCAACGTCAATTTGTTGCAGTCCCAGGCAGTGTGTCCGGGTCCACCACAGAATAAGCAGAGCTTCTTATCCAAATGCCTCTGGCACTCCTCAGAAGTTAGTTTTCCATCCTTACCCAACTTGGAGGTAAGGTCTGGGGCCTTTGGAGCAGATGAGGTGGAGGATGTAGTAGGTTTTCCAGGTTTATGTCTGGAATTCTGATTTCCAGATTTGTTACTTCCAGATCCAGACGAGTGGGAGCTGGTCTGGTCAGAGGTTGACTGCTTAGGAGGAGTGGATGAGGAGGGTTTGGTTTTGTGGGAGATCTCTCCCTTGTGTTCCCAATAACAGGCATCAATGGTTTGTGCGAGGGTCTTATATTCTGGGAGTGTAGCGGGTTTTCCTATGCGGCTGATTTTGTCTTTGATACAAGCCAGAAGTCCATTATAGAATTGTCAGCATAGGGCTCCATCGCCCCATCCACGGACTTGTGAGGCAAGCCACTGGAACTCCACAATGTACTTATTGATGTGCTGTCTGTTGCGCATATTGAGTTGCTCAAGCTGCATTTCTGCATCTCCGGAGGGGTCATGAGGTCCGAAATTGGTCTGGAGTTCAAGCATGAACTCGGAATAATCATCCATCCAGTCCAGATGATCAGTATTCTCATCAGAAAGGAGGTCTGGTTTAAACCACTCAAGGGCCATGCCTTTGAGGTAGGATTGGGTGAAGTTGACCTTAGACCTTCTGGTACGGAAAGCATTGGGTTTGCTCTGGAAATTGAGCTCACACTGGACAAAGAATGCTTGAAGTTTCTGGGGCTCAGTGCCATCAAAGACATCCAGCTCATGGACTTTGACCTTTGGGTCTTTGGAAAGAGTGGTGCGACGATTGTTTCAGGTGAGGTTGTTGATAGCTCTGGATAGGAGTACCATGACATGGTCCTGCAGATTCAGGCCATCATTTTTGTTGTCATCATCATCATCATCCGGATCATTGTCTGGATTTCCATTATTCCCATCTGGCGGATTTCCACCAGGGGTATCATCATCATTATCATCATTGTCATTGTCATCCAGATCTCCTTTGCCCAGAGGGGCTAAGGCTGGAGTCCATGTAGGGGTTTCTGGATGTTGATGACTCAGAAGTTCTGAGATGCTTCCAGCAGTAGCACACTTGCTAACACGATGCTGAGAGAAGCTATTGAAGGTTTCGATGATAGGGGTAGAATCCTGGCAGGTGGAAACTAGTCCAGCTGCTTGGAGAGGGTTTGTTGTTTTGGTAGGAGCCATGATAGATGTAAGTATACTCAGAAAGGTGTGAGTTCAAATATACTGTTAAGGTTGCATGCTCAAGGGGGTTGGATCACAAGGGCTTGGCCTCAGCTCATATGCTGTGCCCCTTTCCCAAGTATGTGCCCTTAATTTCCAGGGGCTAGAACAGTTGTCCAGAGTTTCCAGGATTTGACTAGGGTGGACAATGGACGTCCGGATCTGAAATGTGAGATAAATCTGACAGACATCTGGATGTTACCTGGGCAAGTGGATAAGACTAATCCAGATGAAGTCCAGATGTCATATCCCATATGCCAGACATAGATCCCATCATATTCCCACGCTTTCCGGACCTATTTCCGGACCCCATATCCAACTCATTCCTGGATCCCCTATCCTGTCCACCCTACGCACATTCCGTCCAGCAGGACATCCAGACTTTACCTCCTCTCGGATTCTGGACTACATCCACCACCTCACATATCTCAGTCCTGTTTCTGCCCTGCCTTCTGGATCCCCAGATCTCTGGACCTATTCCCACCCTCCATCCAAGATCCTGTGCCTATCCCCATCTGAGTCTTGTCCTTTTCCATAAGACCTAGGGATGGACTCCCTAGGCCAGAATTCTGGACCTCCGGATTTGTCCCCTATGTCTCTGTCCCAAGTCTAGGGATTGCTTCCCTAGGCTAGAGTCTTGCCTTTCTGGCACTTACCCTCTTTCCAGACTTAGGTCCACTTCCTGTCCCTCTGACTCTACCTTAGGGTAGTCTACCTCCATTTGCTTCTACATCAGATGAAGTCCAATGTAGCCCCTATTCCTTCTGGACCTCCGGACCTCCTGTCCTCTGTACCTCTGGACATCCTGGTATCCTGTCCTTTGGACATTCCACCCTCCGTACCTTCAGACATTCCATCCTCCATACCTCCGGACCTCCTGTCCTCCATACTCCGGACCTCCTATCCGTCCATCCTGTTTTCCTGTAGAAGTATTACCTTGCAGCAGGAACTCTCCTGAGCATTTCCTGCATTCCTCCAGAACTCTCTCATGCTCCTCCAGATGTTTCCTGTGCTCCTCCGGAAGTCCTCCCACACTCTCCACCAGAGTAGCCAGCCTCTGGAAGTCCTCCAGACTTTGTCGGACCATCATCGGACTTCCTCTGAAATGAAGGGCACATACTTGGGTAAGGGGCACAGCATACGAGCTGAGGCCAAGCCCCTCTGAGTCAGTCTCTCTCTCCTTTGAGCATGGTTCTTAACACCAGGCTAGAAACTAACAGAGGATGGACTACCTTAAGGTAGAGTCAGGAATGCAGTCTAGGATGCAATCCTAAGACTTGGAATATGACAGGAGACTTGTCTCGAGTCTGGAGGACACAGGAATGAGCAGGAACTAAGATGATATTCGAACTGGAATATTTCCGAGAGTTACAGGAGGTTTGTAAAGCTGGCTGGCTATCCAAGCTGACACCTTGATGACAAATTTTTTCTTCCAAAGGTGTGCAGCAATATAATCTGTGATGTTTCCTGTGATTGATGAGTGAAAAAAGATGTCATTATGTTGATAGAAAGACTTATGCTGGACATGAAGAAGATACATTCTCCCATCCTGCAATCCAACTGGAGGGATCAAGTCAGATATCAAGGAGGGAATAGCCTGGCAATCATGCAATGAGCTGTGCTGTGTCGCCTCGAATCTATGTGTCATGTCATCAATGACCGTGGCAAACCTAGTGACTGATGATGATCCTGGCAAAGATGTAACCTTCCATGAATCAGAGGGGCCATTGTGGTTGTGGTCCTCCACCACTGACTCCTCGTCCTCCTCTGCATCCAGATCAAGGTAGGGATTTTTTAACTAAATGTGGCTGTTTAGCAAATGAAGGTGTCAGAATCATGTTATTTTTGCTTACTTTGGCTGGTCTATGAGAACTTTGAATGCATGCACTGGATGATCATCTTTCAGCCAAGGAAGAATCATTGAGAGCAGATCCCAGATGTATGTGCTTTGCCATTACAGCATGAAGGTTTATTAAGGCGAGGTTGTCATCACCATCACCGGAAAATAGTGCATCTCAAGATTCCTTCCAGTCATTTGGAGAATATTGGTTGCCAAGGTATGATGAAAGTGCTTCTTCCATCTGAGTGTATGTCATGTCCATGGTAAGGAATTGCTCCAGAATTGCCCATGCACATTTATCTGCCAGCAGTGCTGTCTGATTCCCTGTGATAAACTCATGAGTAGACAATATCGGCAATATAATGATGCTACTCACCATCATCAATTCTGATGCACTTCATGATAGGTGCATCATCATTGGATGCAGCACATTTAGACATGATTTCTGTACTCTATAGAATATTGTTTAGAATGGTTTACAATTACAATAAATGAACTTGACCACATCACATACTATATTTGATAGTCAGTCTACTCTCTATGTAGTGTCATGTTAAGGTTGTAGTAATGGAAAGAAAACCATGAAGGCGTGAAATCAGTATTTATGGAGAATGACTAATTTGGAAGTGTGGAGATTGTGGACAACAGACACAGCAAATTGTCTATTGTATGCATACAGGAGGTATTGTGGACCATAGTGCTCTTTTTTGTCCCAAGTTTAATTGTTGGACTTCAGCAAACCCACTTCAGCAAACCCACTATAGCTAATACCAGTAATAGATAATGTACGACAGGAAATGGAAAAGACAATTTTGGAAAAATGCAGCCATAATATAGTGAATGACTACACATTGAAACTCAGTTGGTGGTCCACCAGAATTGTGAAGTGGATGCAAAGTGGGCGCTTTCATATTTTGGGCAGAGTTTGATTATGTAGTTGTTCAGTATATAGGTAGGTGTCTGTCCATGAACTGGCTTTCTTCTGGACTTTCACTTTTGCAATACATTTGTTAGTATACTGTATTGTGTACCATACCATATAGATTGCATTATGTAGGACTTTATAGAATTTAAGACATAGCATGTAAAATGTGAATCATGATCAATCTGATCACTGTCTGTCCACTGAAATCCAATTTGTAAAGTAAGTTGTAGCATATCTTCTTGTGGCTTTATGAGCTTTGATCATCTGCCATGTCTTCTATTCATTCCTGAGATTCATGCTCTCTCAAGTTCTTCACCCCTCTGCACCTCAATGTACTGTTCTACCAAGGAACAGATGTTAGCATTTGTTAGCTCATCTGTTTGAGCCCTTGGCTTTGAATACTCTTGCCAGGCATCTCCCAGCAATGTGATCCCCAATGTTTGTCCAATAAACTGGATTCCAATAAGTCAGTGTGTGTTTTGCATCCCATACTATGACACTCACATATGCCATGATCACCATTGCGATAGCTAGCTGGACTATTCCATGCACAAAATTCTTGATTGCCATCCCCAGAGGACAGTCACTTGGTGATGTCACACGTTTGTGACACCAGATGGAGATTGTCAGCTGAATCATTGGTAGATGTTGCTCCAAAAATCAGGCTGTGGTGTGTGCTATCATACATTTTGCATTCTGTCAAACTCATGTTACATTGATTGACGAAAATAACTCACCATTATGGTTTGTACTCACCCCCTGTCTGTGTGTCGCAGTACTTGCTTAATTCTGCCTTCATTCTTGTCAAAAACATGAATTGTCCCTGTGTCACTACCTCCAACAACAAGGGTGGCCTGTTCCCCAAAAACAACCTGTTTCAGAAATGTCTTCACTGGATTGGTATTATATAGGTACGGAGGCATGCTCCATCTTCCAATTGATGCAAGCTAAATCCATTCATTACATTGTCAATTAGGAACAGTGTTTGAGGGGCATCCATGGCAGCATACCCACTTTGGTAAATTAGTAAGTAAATGTTGACTTGCATGATGATATCGCTCACATTATTGGTCCAGCCTTATTTGTAGCAATGACAGTGCCGTCTGAGCCCTGAAGTGTATGGCTAAAACATTAAACCTCTGCTGATTTGTATGGATTTGGATGTGCACCTACATCTTGCCATCATGAATCCCAAATACTAACAAGTTTCTGCCCAGTGTTCGATTGAAATTAACAGTGCGCAGAATCGTAGTGGAGAGTTCAACACTGAAAATTGGTATCAATGGTCCTTTGAAGTTGAATGTCCATACTTGAACCCATCTGTCACATGTTCCAGTTGCAATACAAGTATCATTGCTGGTATGGTCATATGTAAGGCACATAATCTCTTTACCCATTCCAATTCATCTTGATACTTTTGCGTTAAAGTCCTCCAAGCCTTCCCCTTGCTGTTGCCAGATGGTTATGAAACCCAGGCCTGTGCCATAGCATAGTGTCTCGCATGTTGCTTCTTGGTGCATTATCCAGCACACACAAGTCACTGGATTGGCCAGATTTTGAATGGCTGGCATTTGACATGGAGTTGGGAGCTGCACTCATCATTTGAGGTCCCAGATCCTCATGCCATCCGAGCCTGGTACTTGGGTGAGTGTGTGAAATTGTCATTGTGAACATTCAACTTACCCCCACTTGCCAACATATTTCCATTGCAAGTGACTGCTAGGCAATTAATTGCATTCTTGTGCCCAATGAGGTGCCCTTCAAGGTGATATTCTTTGCAATCATTGGTTGATAGGAAAAGCATCGGTAGTTGTCAATGCAGAGACCTTGTGTGGTTGAATGTCTTTATAAGGTGGTGGTTTATACAATAAGAATATTACACCATTTACTTGGCAACCCTGGGTGGGCACTGGGTTTCCGATCTAGGCCTGCATTACCCATCATCCACCATTTACATATTTTCCTCACTTCCAAAGTCAGTCATGCCTCAATCCTCTACTCCTGTCATTCCTTTTTATGAGTCTGAAGGTCCTCCCCAGGCCCTTCCATTATTAACATATCACACAGAAATGTTTTGTCCTGCTTTATCATTCATCTTGATATCTTCACAAGAAGAGATGGCATTCTCTACTCTTCCACTCAGGCGACACACTCTTACTCCTTCCCGCATCTTCACAACCATGTCTCATGGAACCACACCCATCCCTCCTCACACACCCACCCCCAAAGTTGTTAAATTAGTCTCCTTCACAGCAGAGCAGTTCACACCGAACAGTGAGGTGTCAACATATTCTTCCTTGTCCTCCATAGATTCCAAGGACTCTAAAATCCCCAAACTGGAGGGTGAGGCAGGGCATCCTGGCCATGGTGGGTACAACTTGGAAACAGTGCTCAACTGGGATGATGACTACTTCAAGAATTTCAAGGTGAAATTACACTTTTTAGTTTTGTTTCCCTTCATCTTGATATGACATTAGGCGTACATTCACTGATATATCAAGAAACACTGTGACATTAGCAAGAGCAAGAAACATCAAACTCCAGCTGCATTGCAAGAAGTTCATAGTGAGGTACGTGTGCAGTTGCTATGGCCACTTGATATTTACTTCTTTTCAAGGCTCTAGGCCATTTTCCAGAACTGGCTGACTATCAAGGGTGTTGGCCAGTTGGAGATATAATTCAGATGCAACTAAAAAACACATCTGCAAAGGCATGACACAATGGTAAATAACAATAGAGACTCCATGTTTCCAGAAGGAGTCAGGAAGTAGTAGTCAAATGTGTTATTGTCCCCAAAGGGGAATCAGTAGTTGTCTGATACATCATGTTACTCTCATAGTATTCCAGACCTTGCCTAGCATGTGCACAATTTGGAACATTTTGTTCGATTGAATCGGTTCATAGTCAGTAATTACCTAAGGTACACAATCAGGGTGAGTTGTCTTCAAATGAGTTACAGATTGTAGAATGATTTGTTGCATCAAGATGTCTCATCTGATGCCCTTGTTCTCTTTCAACAATCAGGCACTTGATGTTGTGGAGTCCCATCCCCTCAGTGATCTTCATCCAGCAGCAACCCATACATACCCACCTGCATTGGCAAGCATAGATCATGATGACTGTCATTCCTCAGCAATGATCCACACATACCCACCGCAGCCAGTCATTTCCTCCAGTGAGGACTCTTCAATGGAGTTGGCAAATCCTTGGCAGTCTGTTCATAGGATGAGAGATGATGATGAGCAGCAGGTACGAGACATCCAATTTACCTAGAGTCAGCTAATGAAATGTTCAGCCAAATAAAGTCTTTCTCAAAGAAGTTGATCAGTCATCTAAGCTGCATGAAGATGTGTGTGAGCTACATTTTAGCAACCATGACCTTTTGGTCCGAAAACACTGCACAGGTACACATAATCTCACATCCCTCATGTTCATAATTGACTGGCTTCAGATCAGCTCCAACATTCGCAAATTGGATATGCAGTCAGTCATTTTACAGTATGAAGAACACAACCAATCTCTACAGTGCAACAATGCTAATGCCCTCACCTCTTTGGATAAGAACCACCATAAAGAAGTGGTGGAGCTCCAGGTAGGATACTTTTGCAGTCATATCAACATTCTAATTTTCATTGACAGAACAATATGGCAAAAGCCCAAAATGAGGCTCACACTGAAATAGGCCAGAAAGAGGCTCGATTTGAGCATGAGATGCGTTTAGCAAAAGATAGATTTTTGGCTGACAAAGAAGCTGAATTGATCTGCTTGAATGCCAGTTATAGTTCTAAGATTGATTCATTGAATGTATGTATTGAACTGACATCCTGGTGCATAAGGTTCTAACAATTTCACAGAGCCAAATTCAACATGCCAACACTCTGTCACCCACATCCCCACCTGCCTGGCAGCACCTCGTGGGCAAAAAACCTGTTGCCACATGTACCAACATCATTGGGTTTGCACCTGTAAGTCCATGACTCTCACATGTACATTGTCTGCTGACACTGCACACCATAGATTCCTGATATCAGCTCAGAGTCTGATGCAGACGAGGAACCCCAGATGACCAGTAATGGACTGCCCCTGACATCACTCCTAGGAGACGTGCCAATTGTGCATGTGACTGTTGGTATGCTTGCTGAGGTGCTCGCAAAGGTTCTTCAGATTCCACACACATCATCTCCCCAAGGACCTCACTCAGGACACAAACTGCTTAAGCCTCCTGTTGAGAATTTTACTAATAACCAGTGCCAAGATAACAAGGTCCATAACCATTTAAAGCACATGACTCTGCTCATGGAAATGTCAGGCAAACATTCGGGAGTTATTCAAAACCACATTCCATGCCACAAAAGATGAAGAGTATATGCTTCATGTCCCGGTGTTGCACAAAGCTATATTGTCTTTTGCAGATGAAACAGGCCCAGGCCCTGACCCCCTTGCACTGCAATGGGATATGGTGACCACACACAAGTCCAAATGGAACCAAAAAGTCATCAATTTCCTCTGTTCCCAGTACATGACTTTGCAAGAGAGCAATGGATAGGCTGGATGATCTACTGAATCAATCAGAGATGATATCAAACTGAAATTCAGTCAATGCCACAAGTGTTGGAGGAAAGCTCAGCCTCTCAGCCTTGGTGATGGTACTTGTGAGACCATGCAACAAGTGGGAGATTGACTTGTGGATCAGACAAATGAGTGACTGTGGCTTGCTAGGGTTCTCACTCACAGGACAATGGTCAGTTGACTTGTTTCTTTCAGAGCAGAATAATATTGAGCTAGTTGCTAGAAGTTCAAAACTCACAAAAAAGTCACATTGATGCTACCGAGTGATAGGAATGCCACAGGAAAAGATGATCAGGTTGTGTGGGCATATCTTCAATCCATGATGGAGAATCTTGGAAAAGATGGCATGAGCTCTGATATGAGTGAGTATGGAGATGGTGATGTTCAGGTCTTTCATTGGAAGAGCATGCCATGAAGAGCAGATTTTGGTCATGAGATGCAGATTATTGACCAGCAGCATTTGATGGGTGCCACAATTTTCACTCCTTGCGGAAGCAAGCCTGCCAAGTGTTTTTGTAATGCTAACCAGGATTCTTCTCACAATGCAATTGAGGACCTGCCAACAGCATTCTATGATCCTACCTGGTTGACTGAACAATGTTCGTCATTCATGGTATCTAAAAAGAAGTTCCAGAGGATGGAGATTATCATTGCCTGCCAGTAAATCGGATAACTGAGGTGCCATTTGTACAATGTTGACCAGAACTACTGTATGTACCAGTATCAGTGACAAGTTGTCCATCTACTGAACTGTGGGTGATTTCCTTCCAGCTCAATATTGTATGAGCGAAAATATGGGCAGACCAATAATTATAAACATGGATGGCTTGATCTCGCAGATGCACTCTCAGGAATTCCATCATGTAAGTGGTCACCCACATTGATTCTTTGTACTAACTAATGATTCCACTGGTTTACATTCAATTTTCGGAGTTCAACATTCTCTTGACCTATGGATTACTTTCAATGGTTCTAGAACTGCTCTGAACGAAGTGTGCCAAGAACTGTTCCAAGTGAAAATAATCCATGTTTCATACCATCAAAAATGTATTGTGCTGCAGGTGGGATAACATTGTTTGTTGGAAGCTTCTGATGAATTTCATTATTAGATATTACTGGGACACCAAATGACCATCTTACATGTCTGTTGTTGTTTGTTTTGGAGTTCTTGGCTTTCACAACATGCCTGCACATAACATCATCCACCTCTATGCCCAATACTGCTCCCTCCAGTGCTGCATAGATCCTCTCATGTAAGAGGTCAGTAGTAGGATGGTCCCCTTCACAATTACGATTGATACACCTGTTTATCACCTTCTCTAGGCTCTGAACAAGTTTTCTTTGATTTGGAGACAGGCACCCCACATAGGGACTGACATGGTTGGCATCAGGGGCCGTGAAGTTCACCACCAGCAATGTGCTTCTCATCTTTGAAAACTGTAGGGTCAGTCATGGAGCTAGCTATGTAACAATCTTATGAACCTCATCGTCTGCCAGATCAATATTCTGAATTGGAACATCTTGTTGACTGCCCATTGTCCCGTCAAGTGCATGGGGTTTGTTGATTAACATAGCGGATCCCATCTGCTCGAGCTATGAATGGTCTGTTCAGTCGTTGCTGGCCATGGCCATGGCATCTTTACTTATAGTAGTATTCAGCACCACCTCATCAATATACAAGGCATATGTCCTTGTTATAGGTGCAGTGATGGGTGCAATACTTTCATTGCTGGAGGTGTAGGGCCAAGTGTATGGGTTAAAGTGTATACCATGGGCTGCAGTCATTTTGTGGCAAGGTAATGTGCATGGCATGAGTAAGTTGTGATTCTGCTAAGCTCCAACCTGTAATATTTAAATAAACTCACAAGGTCGTTGTAGTACTTACAACTACTGTAACTTCACAATGGTATTGCACCTAAACTTCATCCTAGGCTGCATTCAGTATTTTATCTCCCAGTTACCCATACTCACTTCAGTGAGTGCCACTGTATCCCCTGGACATGTCAGACAAACAATAATTTCCCTGTCCTTGGAACAACTTCATGCGACTTAAAACAAGTAAATATCATCAAGATCATGTTCAATCGTATATCCCACCTTTGCAATGGGAAACTCGACAAGTTGCCTCTCCAGTCCAAAAAGTGCTTTTCATGATGTGCACCCCATATATTTTACCTCTACTCCTCATGACTTAGATTCTTCAAATTCATGCAGCAGTCACAGGACTTTGTCTCACAGACTGACCAGTCGCAGGTTTCAAAGACTGACTTCCCTGGGAGTCTAGGACCTTCCAAGGTGAGATCCTTCATATGTACATCAGGCTCAATTTAACACCTATGCTACACACCTATGCTACAGGACCTCAGCACACTGGAAAGCAGTGCACCATCCATTTGGTGATTTGATCACCCCTTGAAAGCAATGTATTCCGGAATCATACTCCACAGGCAACATATGTCAAGTTATTGTGGTATATTCCAATGCTACAGTATGTTCCAATTTCAAATATTTGCTTCAGCATTGATGAAGCTGTAGCTAAAGCTAAGCTGCCACCACATGGATTTAACCAGCTTGACAACAAAGTGTTTGTTCAGGGAGGCAGTAAGGAATCACTCCTAAATATAATTATCTTTACTGATTTCAGACTCTAGTCTGACGTTTTCTTGAAGTGCAAAGCAGATGCTCAACTAGGTCCCTTTGCGATCAAGTGTGTAACACTTTATGAGCCATGCAACTCTAAGGTGTTTATTTGGTCCCTACCTGTGGAAATCCTCATCACTACCATTGCCCTTCTAGGAGCACTAGATCTGCACTTAGTCACACAAGTTTCTTCTCTGCTGAGAGAAATTGCTATGCTGCTCTTCTTCCTTGACAGAAACTTCCCAACTTCCCTGCAGGACCTGTTCCACATTTGTGTAGACTCGCCAAATTTTGACATTTTGTCTACTTGGAGACAAATGGACACTTTTCATCTGCCACATATGGTGTTGAGTTGGCTGGATTTGGATTTGCAATCCTCACAGCTATCTGCATTTTCGCACTTCCTTGAGTCCATTCCCTGCAAATTGATACAATACATCACACTTTTCTGGAATTTCAACATTCTCACTTCCCCAATTCTCTCTCAAATTGTTAGATTACTGGAAAACATCTGTGCCTCCAGTGTCAAAGAACTGACATGCATGGGTTTCTGCGATGACGCTGTCTCACCATCTGTCACTGGCCTCGCCCAAATTCAGGCATGTGTAGGTCTGAACACCCTGAAAGCCTTTGATGCATCTTCATGGACATTTTTTTCCCTGAAGCTTCTTCCTTTCACCATTCAGACCATCTGTCTTTCCCAATGTCTGGAAAAACTTCAGCTGAGTTCTGTCAAGCTCAGTTCTGCACAATGGGACAAACCCCTATGCCACTTTGTGATCCCAATGCTTGTAGAACTCCGAGTCAATGGAGAGTGTGTGCCACCCATACTGATTCATTTTCTAGCCTGTCACCCAGCTATTAGTAACCTCAGCATCATTCTGCCACCTGGTGGTCCCTGGAGGACCAATTGAATCATCACTCTTTTGACTCTTTCTTTGTCTATTCTGGATGGACCCCTGTCACATCTCCTTCCAGTTCTTCAGAGTCATCATAAACTGCAAAACCTTGCATGTCTTTATATTTCCCTACAAGCCCATAATCCATTGCCCAACTACATCACCTCTATTTTGCAATGTGTCAGCTATTGTGACAGCATTGGACATCTTGTCCTTTCCCTGCCTAATGGTCATTCTAGTGCAGCAATGATGTGTTTATTGGGCGCCCATTCCATGGTCCATATCAAACACTTGGTAATAGATTACTCAGATGGTTTGGTCCCAAGTGCTCCAGGTGATCCATTGGTGTGTGTTATTGTTACAGCACTTTTTCAATACTAATGGTGGTCATAGGCGCTATCCATGGCATGGATTCAAGCTCTTCCTCAAGTCAAGTGTGTTACTTTGCGAGGTTACTTGGCTACTGCTGCTGGGGATCTTCTTGACATTATGTGTAGCTTTGCAGCGGGCAATGTTGAACTGGCTGTGGATCTGCATGTCTCACCAGGTGAGAACTGCTCATAATCAGTCATTCTCTCCTTACATCCAATGCAGTGTAACCCAGTGCTGAACAGAATAGCCTATATTTGTACCACTGTAACACTGTAACAATATTTCTCACTTACATCCAATGTTGGGTGCTGAGTGCCAGATTCCATAGCCATTCAGTATTTGGGCATCCTCAATTGGCAACCGACTTTCTTCTGATTTTGATGTACTGTACTGTCATAGCTTGGTCGAAGTTTAATTTATCATTATGAGTAAAGATCATCACGAAAAATCAGGCTTGTACAGATCAGTAAGCACAAAGTACATTTGTGTCTTCAGGAGTTGTGATTTACATTCATGTTTTAGATCTGGCACCCTGTCTTATAGAATTAGTAAGTCCTCAAAATGTAGCTCCTTGTAATTTGGCATCACCCCTAACAACCTGGGACCAGACCTTACCTTATACGTTATGTGACTCTTTAGATGAGTCACCACACATATACATGTATACGTGTGTGACTTTGTACTATTTTACCCCCTTTGCTTTTCTCTCAAAGGTCAGATCAACGACATGTGCAGTGCATCATCTGATGTTTGTTTAGATGCCTAGCTGCATGTTTTTTGCAAGTGCACACGATGCTGCAAAGTTGGAGGGGATGGTGTACCTGGTAATCCTGGTGGCAAAGAAGTGCCTACCACTCAGAAAACCATACATTTATTGCAAGATGCCAACTTGCCTTCATTGTCTGAACATGAAGCATCTGTGCTTCATCTTGCTCACCAGCAGCTGGAGCCTAATACTTCCCAGGTCGACAATCTTGCTGCCAAGTTATTTGCCATCATGTTAACAGACAATGATGCCAATCCAGACAGTCACAGCAAACTCTGGAATTCGCACTCAGAAGTTCAACAAGACAAGGGAAAGGTCTACCATTCTCTGGACAGTATAGCTAGATTCACAGAAGATGATGTGCAGTGAGCATCATATCATACACATGTTCACTAACTTAGTTGTTTCCCAGACACATTGCCCTTGTTCTTCAAGCTGCTGAGAAGTGGCACTAGTCAAAGGCTCAAGCAGCCTTGGACATTGTGGAGTCACAGATAGACAAGGCTTGCAGTCAAATTTTCTCTGTGACTTCCCATAATATTATTCAAGCCATCTGAGATGAACTGGCTGTGATCATGATGGCCCTCAGAACAGTCAAGTACAAGGTCTCATGTATCATTTCTTGCAGAAGTCAGCTAGAGGCATCATGTGATGACATGCACAGACTCCTCAGCAACAAGGAAGATGCACTTACTGTGTCATCTGAGTCACTTGAATTTGATTCATGTGAGTTCCATTCATCCTTCTTATGCCCTTCAACTAATGTACATGAAGTCCACCATTTTGATTTGCCAATTGACCTATGTGATGAGGTTGCCCAGATATCCCTCTTTCTAGGGGCTATCCCTGTCATCATTTTTGGCATCGGTTGCAGACACAGGGAATTCCTCATGGGAGTCCTTGCCCTCATTTTGAGCCTTGCTATGGATGCTCAGAACCCTCATTCTGAGTCTTGCTGTCAAAACACACTGTCTCAAATACCATGCTCCATGGAAACTGCCCTTTTGCACTTCAAGCTCAATGCCCAGACTAAAACTTATGCAGTCTGTCCAGCATGCAACTGTACTTATAAACCAACTGCTGGCCTTAACTCAAGTCGCACCTGATACCCCACAAAGTGCCACAATAATCCAATACCAGAGGATGGCCCTTGCAACAAGCCACTGTTGCAGCCCTCTGCTGATGGGCAATTGGAGCTGATTAAAATATTCCTGTATCACCACTTCCACAACTACCTTGCTGGATTGCTGTCTCATCCCAACCTTGAAGTGTTGATGGATAAGCCTTGTGATGATTTGCTGGCATCCATTGGGCACCCACCACATATTATCAAGGATGTTTGGGATGCTGACTTCTCTCACACTTTCAAGGGTCCTTCTGGGCAATCCTTGTTTATTGATAGAGGTGTCGAGGGTCAATACACTTTTACACTTAATGTTGATTTTTTCAACATTGAGGGCAATTTCCAGCAAAATGCCTCAACCTCTACTGGCATCATCTCATGTGCATGTTTGAACCTCCCCCTCAATATTCAATATAAACCTGAACACATGTACTTAGCTGGCATCATCCCTGGACCATCAGAACCTTTGGGTGATGAGCTGAATTATCCCATGGTTGATGACATGGTAGAAAGTTGGGAATGTGGGATACATTGTTCCCACACAGCTCTCCATGCCTCTGGTTGGGTTGCATGCAGCATCATAGCATTTCTTGTGTGTGACCTCCTGGCAGCAAGAAAGGCTGCTCAGCTGGCAGGTCCAATGAGTCACTTTTATTGCACTGTGTGCCATTGCTGGCACAGGTTGACTTGCAGTAGAACAGATATCTAGACTGAAGATTAGGGACTTAGGGACAAGGACGAAGTGCATTGCCATGCTGAGCTCTGGAAGAATGCCAGAACTTCGGTTGAGTGCAACAAACTATTTGCATCACATGGCATGCAATGGTCAGCACTCTGGAGGTTATTGTACTGGGATCCCTCTTGTCAAATTGTCATCAACACCATGCATTGTCTCCTGGAGGGTCTCGTGCATGCTCATTTCCACAAATTTCTAGGCCTCACAGCTGACTCTGCCAATTGCAAGTTTGATGCCATCCCTGCTTTTTAATACCCTTTCCTTGACATTGATCTAAACAAACCTCTGGAGTTCAATGAGAAAGACATCAGGGTCATCAAGTCAATCCATAGCCTTCTTACAGAAGTGGTTGCTGACCTTGAGGGAGATGACCCTCAGCTCATTGAAGATCACATTCTTAACTTAGAGAGAAGACTGTTGTTGAAGAAGGTTGCATGCCTTTGGTTCATATCTATAGGTTTGGGCATTGGGCCAGAGGTCACACACCCCAGCAAAAAAGTCTACAAAGTCCACTGGGTTAGATTGCTCCTGGGTTGGGTAGGCGTTTTGGTATTGCTGTTCTCATTCCTCTTAATTAAGCAACCTCTTTGTAGTGTTGAACACAGCCTTTTGCTCCCAGGTTGTCAAAATTGTGCATTGCTACCCCAGAAGTTATGTGACATATTGCTGATGTCATTAAGACAACAGATGTGCCCTCTTTCTTGAGATCAGTCCCCTATAACTTTGGTGAAACAAAAGCTGGGACTGTGAAGGCCAATGAATGGCGCACACTAATGACTGGTATACTTACCCATAGCACTAGTCAGTTTATGGGGCGAGGGATCAGTACATTGCAACTTGGACATCACAGCCAGCCATCATGCCATCCTCAATCACATGATGTCCCTTGTATCTGCTATCCATATCATATGTCTGTGATCTATGATGACAGATTGTGCAGATGCATATCATACATATATGGTCAACTGGATAAGGGATTTACAGGTAGTACTCCCCCATGCACACCATCGAACCAATGGCCATATGGCATTGCACATCTGGGACTACTTGCAACTCTTCAGACCCATGTGGTCATGGTGGTGCTTCCCATATGAATGCTTCATTGGACAGCTGCAGTGGTTGCCCAGTAATCACATTTTTGGTAACATTTGAACTTCTTTGTCAATGATAGACTTCTTATGCTAAGCTGGAATGCAGGACAGCAAGAATCGACTCTCCTCCGGTCATACATCAAGGCTGCAAAGCTCAAATACTGGCTGAACCGACCCTCTTGTCCTCTTGTGTTTAGGGAGGTCAAGTGGCTATTTGACAGATTCATTTCTTCTTCAATCAACACCAATCCCAGCAATGTATCCAAAGGTCACCCAATGCCCCCTACTTTAAAAGAATTTATTCTGGAAGATCTCCACCAGCTCATTCAAGTTCAGTGGGCAGTCTTGCATGCTCACATCCTCCATGAGGGATCCATCTACACTTGCGGCTCCACTCATGTTGGCAATAGCCTGATCCTTTATTATCCCGGTGGCCTTAGGAGTGTGGAACCAACACCAGGGACCATTAAATATATTTTCAAGACCAAATGAGGAGTATGCTTCACCATACAGCATCACCTTCCATCGCATTCTCACTCTGATCCTTTCTGCCATTATCCTCACTTCCTGGCTTGTTTATTCTTATCAGCACTTGCTGAAAATCTCACAATTGTCATGCCTGAGTGGGTGGTTTCACATTTTGCATGGTGGAACTTCTCTCCACAGCACATCATTGCTGTGTCTCTGAGTCGGGTGCATCCTGAAGTTCTATCTGACAATTCATGATAACTCACATTCAATAGGACTGAATTATTACAAAAACTAATTACAATATGCAACAGCCTGGCACAAGTCATTCGCATGATCAAGAAGAGCTTTCAAGATGGCAGATACATGAAGCAGGTGCTGAGCCCGAAATATGTTATCACATGGGAAAATCCAGACTGAGTTCTATTCACTATCTAAACCTCGTGATGTTGTTATCTCATCTTCTTTTTCTCTCTCTGTAGGTACATAAACCAAAAACATGTTTGGTTTTTCTGCCTTGTTACATATACCCACATATACCAGTACATATACCAGTTCATATTATATATTGTATTGAATATCATGACCTTAGGTCTTGACCTGGGCCAACCTACTATAGCTCATGAGACTGTCTCTCCTGCTGCTATAGATGTAGAAATAATACCAGTACAGCTTGCCACACAGCTTACTCCCACTACCATAGGCACTCTGCAATGGGATAGTCCTGCAACTGATAGAACCATCACTCCTGCTGTAGCAATACAGGCACAGCCTGCTGCGCTGCTAGCTTCCCCTATCCTTGACACTCCCATTAAATGGGATAGTTCTACACTATTACCCTTCATGACCCTTGCATGATGCCAAATCAATACTCTCAACTCCATGGGCAAGGAGATGCGAGACCATGTTGTTGGCCCAATGCCAGTAGAGAACTTTCTTGACGAGTTCCTACCAAACCCTGAAGATTATGACAACTTGGACTTTGCTTCACACTTCACTTCAGCCTCCAATGCCAAAGCATTCAACATGCAATCCATCAAGAAAGAAGAGGATTCTTACAAACCATTCATGAGTGACCCACACCTATGATATTAAGATTCTTGACCATCTATCTGCAGATTGATGCCATATGACCTTTCACTCTGGAATTATCATTTGTGAACACTTCCAAACATGCAGACATGAAGAACTGTTCATTGTTCACCTTCAATGTCAAGCTGGATGTATGTGTATATGCCAATGGAACATCCCATGGCTGCGACATTTCCAAATCTGAAGTAATCATTGAATTCAAATGGACTGATGGCCATGATGCATTCAGCAAAAATCCTGCAGTCAACAAACCTATTGTATCTCAGACTGATAATGGCTTCAACACATTAGGTCAAATAACAAGCTACACTGTCACTCAACTCGGCGCTCAATATCGTACCCATGCATTCTCTGTCTTCATCATTCATAATCGTGCTCACATCATCAGATGGGACAGGGAGGGAGCTATCATCATGAACTCCTTCGACTACTGTCATGAGCCACACTTGGCTGATTTCTTCCATTGTTTCACATGAGCATCGCCTGCACTGCGTGGTGTTGATACCTCTATGACACTGTCATATCCCATGATCCGGACCCACCTTCCATCATATTCCCACGCCTTCCAAGCCTATGTCCGGACCACACTTCATATCCAACTCATTCCCAGATCCCCTTCCACTGTGTGCTCCACACCTCAGCAGGATCAACTATGCTCCGGATTTACCCCTGAGCTCCAGACCATCGGATCCTCACTGCTAGCCTGATCCATACAACCCTATCCTGTCCACCCTATGCACACTCCATCCAGCAAGACATCCAGACTTCACCTCGTCTCAGGTTCCGGACTATATCCACCTTCTTGTATTCTGATCCTGTATCCACCTTGTCTGCCAGATCCCCAGATCTCCGGACCTCCGGATATTAACTCCAGACCTATTTCCACCCTCTGTCTGATATCCTGCACCTATCCCCATTTAGGCATTCTCTGCCTTCTGGCTTTTGGTTACCTCTTGTTCTGTCTTGCTTACTGATCCTTGTATGAGTCCTCATCTCCAAGTTCATTTACTTATGTTCCAACTTACTTACTAATGTGTTTCCACATGCTCATACATAGCCTTGCTCCTTTGCTTACTGATCCCCTCAGATATTGTTCAGTATATAACCCCTGTAGATACTCCTGTAGTTCCTTAGTTTGAATATCAACTTAGACTTGCCCAATCCTCTCTCGGACTTTGGTCCACCTAAGTTCTGTCCTATCTATCAGGCCTAGGGATTTCTGGACTTAGGTCCAATCCCTGTCTCTCCAACTCTACCTTAGGGTAGTCTACCTCTGTTTGTTTCTACATCAGACTCCATCTGATGTAGCCCCTATTCCTTCCGGACCTCCGGACCTCCTGTCCCTCATACCTCTGGGCATCCTGTCCTTTGGATGTTCCACCCTCTGTACCTTCGGACGTTCTGTCCTCCTAACCTTTGGACATCCTGTCCTTCTGCCCTCCATCATCCTGCCCTCCTGTCCTCCTGTCCTCCAGACCTTCGGACCTCCTATCCTTCCATCCTGTTTCCTGTAGAAGTATTACCTTGCAGTGGGAACTTTCCTGAGCATTTCCTGCGTTCCTCCAGAACTCTCCTGCACTCCTCCGGACGTTTCCCGCGCTCCTCCGGAAGTCCTCTAGTGCTCTCCAGCAGAGTAGCCAGCCTCCGGAAGTCCTCCAGACTTCATTGGACCATCATCGGACTTCATATGAAATGAAGGGCACATACTCGGGTAAGGGGCACAGTGTATGAGCTGAGGCCAAGCCCCTCTGAGTCAGTCTCTCTCCCCCTTGAGCAACATGGTTCTTAACAGACACCTGCTAGTGACAAAGATGCTGCCCTCACAAGGATGGCATTAAACCTTGCCAGTACTACACGCATGTTCAGAGTTGCAGTCCCTTTGGATCCTGCTGTTGAGGGCTCAGACTGGTTGGTGTTGATTATTCCCCACCCTGTTACAAAAGGTTTCCCACTTGTTGGTTGCTGGACTTGCACGAGCCCTGCATATGATATCCTCAACAAGAAGGTCATGATGTTTAAGGACTCTTGGTGCATGTCAATAAAGGATGTTCTACTGGAAGGCAAGACTTACAAATTGTTGAAGCTGCACAACATTTGCAATGTCGCAACATGTATTGCATTTCATGACATCATCCACCCTGTCCCTTAGCAAAACACCCAGACTGTCAAGTTTCATGAGGCCAAATGGACATGTCGCAATGAGGCTGTCACTCCCCACACTCTTCATTGTCTGGTTCTCAATATTGTGGGTGAGAAGTTGACTGACTTTGAGAGCTCTTGTCAACTTGTCCAGTCTGTTCATGATGCATTGCTTGGTATGTATCTTGAACCTCGCATATTACCTGATGTCATGCTCATTGTCCATGCAGCCCACAAGGATGCATATGAAATCGCAAAAATATTACATTGGGACCTCAGCATTGGGAATATTGTCATCTACCAAGGGAAGGGTATCCTCATTGATTGGGACCTAGCAAAGGTACTCACCATTCAGGGTCCTTGACAAATAACCTGCACAGTATGTTCTTTTTATGCCCACACTCATTGTACTGATTTTGCTGTTTCCAAGGGAACCTGGCAGTTCATGTCTGCTCACCTCATCAAAAACATCAAGGCCATCCATGCTGTCAAGGATGACCTCAAGTCCAGTCTTTACATTGTTCTGTGGATGGCATTAATGTACAAGGAGAGCCACATGGACATCATTGAGCAGACCCAATTTATCATGCAGGTCTTTGACACTGATTCACTCATGGGGTCCAGAGGATCTGCAAAATCTAATTGGCTTGTCATGAGAACCTACTTTCTGCAAGATGTATTTGTCAGCTGCAAATGGCTTGACAATATCATCATTGAACTGGCCCAGTTCTTCTCACATCAGTACTCTGTGATCCCCCTTGAGGACCAGGAGGACCTTTTACAAATGCAGCTCTCATTGAAGGAAGTTTTGGATGAAGTTGGACCTGTGCACATGGCTGCACAGCAGAAGATGATTGATACTGCACATAATATCATGTGCACTTCTCCTGCTTACAAGAAGGAGACGTGTATGCAGATCCTGCAACTACATGACTCTGTCATCAATATCTACAACAAGCACCTTGGGTTGCCCAACTGGCCTGATAAAGACACAGTTGTCCTGCAAAAACTGCATCCGACTGACAGGCTGAGCGCATGTCATTTATATATGAAGTCACTATGCACCTCACAGGATCCAACACTCATATGGGTACAAGTCACTCCATCTGGCAAGAAACGTAGGCTGGATCCTGATGGCGACGGTGATGGTGACCTTGTGTTCTTTGGCCAATGATATACTTTGCAAGCCTATATTCATATACATGTTCTTTCATATACATATACATTGTAAAACAGTGTGAACTACATGCGGTCCACCAAACACTCCTTGACATAAATCAGAAAAAGCAGAGAGCATGAATTCATTGCCAATGTTGGCAACTATAAGTTTGAGAACATGATGGTCAAAGTAGATTTCGATATGAATCACACTCATAACAGCTTCTCTTACTAGTGCAGGAATACTGCAAAAAGCACATGGTCACTGATATCACTTCTATGTGCTAACTATGTTTTATTTTATTTTCATAGACTTGTGTTCCCAAGTTTCAGATCCAGCCCCTATCCTTCTCCAGCACAGAGCTCTCCAACAGGAGACCTACAAGTAAGTCCACATCCTCTTACACAGATTCCTTGAAACTGACTTGATGCTCTTACATGTCCTCCAACCCTAAGAGACACTCCACTTCAATCACCTCATTCAACAACCAGAAAATCTTGTCATGTCTCTCCTCCACCATCAGGGTGAGAATGCATTTGTCACAACATGACATTGGGATGGGGGGATGGGGGGCCTGCAGATGATTTCATGCCCACACTGCATTATCTTGCACGATCTCATGCGCGTAATCCCATAGAGCCTGGTGCAAATCACGATTAGCATGCCAGATATGATGAGAGAGGCTTACCATCACAGTTGGTGTGACTGCAAACATTTGTTCCTCCTCCTCAACTTCCTGTGCTTGCACCTGCACCTGTGCCTGTGCCTGCATCTGAGCCTGACACACGGGATTGTGAGTGCCCAACTTTATTTGTGAAACTGCTAACTGACAATGTTTTCTCCAGTGAGCTTAAAATACAAGCTTATTAGGCTGCATGTAGATGAGATGGTACACACTTATATTGTTCACATTGTGATTGATGTATTGCATCTATAGATTCTTTGTCAGTCCCTGCATGGATGATCCATTGCCAACAACTTATGTTTGCATTTGCATTCACCCCAGCCATGGCGAGTAATTGATAACAATGTACTTTACTCTGTCAACTTCTGGTAAGTTAAGTCATGCTTTACATAATCTGAGAAGCTTCTGATGTTCAGACCTAGACCCAGCCCCTTTACAACTCCCAGCACTCCCTTTCCCCCAGTCAGGTTGGTTCCAGGAGATCACTATACACTGCTGGCTCTTATTTCAATAATCAAGAAGACCTGAACATTGTTGTGCAAGTTGGTACTCCGGGCTTGCAGGGCATTACGGAGATTACAGATATCATATTCATGACACAAGGACCAACTGCAGGCACCATTGTCATGGAGTGGAATGTCCATGATCCCTTTGATCAACAAGGAGCTGCAGGAATGTGGGATTCACACATCTGGCGAGTTCCTTTTAATCTCATTTGGGTCCATCCCCTGATCTGTGTCTGTGACAGGCTCAGCGGAGGCAAGTTTGAAGTTTTCTCACTTGCGGACAATGCATTATTACTCCTTATTGTAGCCAATGGGACCCACCTTCAAGATGGGGAGTGCCCTTCAGGAACCTATAGTTCTGCATGTTTTCCAGCTTTCCTTGATTTACACATAACCTATGGTGCAACAGCTCTTGAGGTGTGGTATTATGGCCCTAGCAACATATCTAGTGCACTGATTTAAATTGCCTTCACCAAGGGAACATGGGTTTGGCTAGCAGATTATGATCTCGACGGCTTTGATCAGCTAACCCTGTTCAGTGGAAGAGGCATTCTGTCACACTCTCAGGGTCCTGTACTAAGAATCTTATGGTACGTCTCTTATTTTCATTTGAACTTTGTGGGCCACTCAACATTAATTCCAGACCTCCACCCTCTACAGAATGCCTGTCACAAAGCAATAGTCCATCTCACCACTCACCTGAAATCACACCCTCTGTAGATTGTAGCACTGATGTTCTCATATCTATAGAATATTATATTTATGTTCTATTTTGCTTGGGGCTTGGCTGTGAGAATGTGTGCTCACTCAGCACCTGGCGAGTGCCCAATGAATGCCTGCTATAATTCCCAGTTGCCAAAACTTTACATTTTGTCAATATCATTTACATCTAAGGCAAATTTAAAATCTTGTGGAGTGGGAAAACTCCTGTTAATATATAATATTTGGTGGAAAATGTTTCCACAACTCCAAATTTTTGGATTTATCATTGGATAAAATAGGATTGTGAAAGTTGACATTTGTGCCAACATTTCATGCAAAAGTATTTTGTACATTTACATAGACATCAAATGGGTGTCGAAATGTGTTGTTGTGCTAAGTCTTGCCTGACACAAAACTCCAAAACCACCGATGTGTGAGCTGATCTTGGTCATAAGAAGCAAGAATATAAGCTATGCTCATTACATATTAAAAGATTGGATCATGGATGCAAGGGCAAGATACTGAAAATCATGAAAAATGTCAAAAGCACAATTGTCTATGCTTTGTTCCTGGAGAAGGATCATGTGTGTCCTGGGCTGGCTATATGATATACAGTGGCTCAAAAAACTGTCCACATGTTTTTGCATTTTTTACTATTTACAATATTGTGTGAGAATACATAAAGACCTCAGTGACATGCTGATATCATATTGTAGTGCTGCTTCAGGGCTTTGGATTGAGCACCGCATTGTGAGAATCAGAGGAGATATGGTGGAGATACAAGGCTTACAAAATCATGACTCATGCGGACAGTTTTTTGAGCACATATTAAAACTATATAAATCATCATTTATGACACCATAACAATCATGCCACCATTAAATAAATTATAAAGTGGTGTCATTATGTCATTTTAAAACCATGGGTCAGATGGCAAGGTATGTATGTGAAAAAAGAAGGGTGCTAGTCCTCTCTGCATATGTGTGATAGAGAGGAGAGCCTTTTCTTCCTTGTTACTGACCTGAGATGAGCTGTCTTGAGAATGTTTCTCACAGTGTGTGAAGAGACAGGGAATGTGATGGTGGAATTGATGTAATAGGTGGCCTGGACAGCATTATCAGCCTTTCCTGTAGCAATATGTTGAATAATAGTCCTCCTATCAGTAGAGGTGAGCTTGGATGGACACCCTTCACAGAAGTTTTCCTTGTCTGTGTGACTTTCTTTGATGAACTTGGCCACAGTGGACTTGGATACTCCAGTTCTGGAGGAAATTTGACAAGCAGAGAGGCCAGAATAGGAAAGAGAGAGGATATTATCCCTTTGAGCAGGGGGGGTGGCTTTCATGGTGAATATAACCATGACATATGGAAATTTTTGGTTTGTATAGTTAGATATGGTTTTAAAATGACATAATGACACCACTTTATAATTTATTTAATGGTGGCATGATTGTTATGGTGTCATAAATGATGATTTATATAGTTTTAATATGTGCTCAAAAAACTGTCCGCATGAGTCATGATTTTGTAAGCCTTGTATCTCCACCATATCTCCTCTGATTCTCACAATGCGGTGCTCAATCCAAAGCCCTGAAGCAGCACTACAATATGATATCAGCATGTCACTGAGGTCTTTATGTATTCTCACACAATATTGTAAATAGTAAAAAATGCAAAAACATGTGGACAGTTTTTTGAGCCACTGTACTGTAGGTATCATATAGGAATCAGTCAGCAAACACAAAGGCTATGTACGAAGCATATGCAAAGTCTATTAGTAAGTAGGACAGATCACCAATAATGAACACCGGAAATGAAATGTATGTAACAAATCAATAATCAGAAGGGAAACATAGTTAACTGGAGTCCAGAGACAGGGGAAGTCTAAATGGGGTTGGGTGCTGATATAGGGTTTGGATTCCAGAAGGAAGATAAAGATAGATCAGATCATTGGAGATCCGGAGAAGTGGATTTAGAGTTGAGAGTCCAGAATGGCATATGACAAAAATTCACATGTTGCATACTGTCATATCCTGTATGCCAGACCTAGATCCCATAATATTCCCATGCCTTCCAGGCCTATTTCCAGACCCCACATCCAACTCATACCCAGATCCCCTTCCACTGTGTGCTTCACACCTCAGCAGGATTAGCCCACTATGGATTACCCTGAGCTCCAGACCTCCAGATCTTCACTACTAGCCTGATCTGTACACCCCTATCCTGTCCACCATATGCACATTCTGTCCAGCAAGACATCCAGACTTAACCTCTTCTCAGATTCCAGACTATATCCACCACCTCACATATCTCAGTCCTGTTTCTGCCTTGCCTTCCAGATCTCCAGACCTATTCCCACCCTCTGTCCAAGATCCTGTGTGTAACCCTATTTAGGCATATTCCCCCTTCCAGTTCTCAGCTACTCCTGTTGTGCTGATTGACCTTTGTACTAGTTTCATCTCTGAGTTCATTTACTTATGTTCTGTCTCACTTACTAATATATTTCCACATGCTCATACATAGCCTTACTCCATTGCTTACTGATCCTCTTGGATATCCTCTAGTATATAACCCTTGTACAACTCTTGTAGAGTCTTCAGTCTGAATATCAACTTAGACTTGCCCAATCTTCTCTTGGACTTTGGTCCACCTAAGTTCTGTCCTATCTATCAGGCCTAGGGATTGATTCCCTAGGCTGGAGCCTTGCCTTTCTGGCACTTACCCTCTTTCTGGACTTACATCCAATTCCTGTCTCTCCAACTCTACCTTAGGGTAGTCTACCTCTGTTTTTTTCTACATTGGATGAAGTCCAATGTAGCCCCTATTCCTTCCAGACCTCTGGACATCCTGTTCCTTGTACCTCCAGACATCTTGTCCTCCAGACATTCAGTCCTCCTGTCCTACAGACCTCCTATCCTTCCATCCTGTTTCCCATAGAGATATTACCTTGGGGTCTCTCCACTTCCTGTGCAGTGGGAACTCCTCTGAGTATTTCCTGTACTCCTCCAGAACTCTCCCATGCTCCAACTTTGAATTATTACCTCCTTTGATATCAATGATATACAACTACCTAAGCTCTGTCATGTCTACAATTATCATTCACCTGGGCCCACCCATCTATATTATATACCACCCTTGGCCCACCTGTTGTAGAGACTTGTGCTTCTGTATGCCTGTAGAGCCCTATATTGCAATGTATCTGCATACAGTTCACAGCACAAACTTGCAGCATCATTCCCTATATCATTCCTTCACTCAGCCTATACATGTGAAATCCTCCCACACATCACATGATGCACACACTACTCTCCTGTGACACTTTCCCATGTGCTTTCCCACGCTTCATCACCCATCATCCAGGAGCATCCATCCATTGTCCAGCAAGTCCTACTGGTACGTTTTTTTGCACTTATTCTTATCATGACACCATATTCCATCATGGACCCTTACTTACATATACCTTCTTTGTTCCTGCACCTTACTCATGTTGGCTCCGCATCATGGAAATGCACTTAGTTGCCTTTTGCATGATAGCATTCACATTTTTATCACTTAGTTAGCTACCACTTAGTTCCCAGTTAGTATCCCTTAGCATCCCTCAGCATAGTGCATGCTTTTTCAAGCCATAGTCAGTAGCATTTTGGCAATCACACTCAATTATCATTGCATTTGTCATTCTCATGCCCATCAGTATCAGTCATCATCTTTCCTTAGTCCTCATCACATTCCTACCCCTTTGTGCACTTTTGCCTATTAGCGCATGACTTTCCCATGCTTCGCACGACCTGTGGATGTGTTGCACTCACTTCCCCTTGGGTCGAATGCACTTGCCTTTGCAAAGTATAGCAGCCTAGGCAGAGCTGAGACAACCACACATATACTCTGACTTGGCGTCCCTTGTAGTGCCATAGCTTGGTAGTTGATTCCTTCACCATCTAATATAATATACATCTGGGCCCACCCATGTATGTGATAACAAGTACTCTTGGCATACCCATCTATCTGATACACATCTACATTGGTACACCCATCTACATAATATCCAACTACCTCAGCCAACTCATCTACTGTACATATCCCTCACATGGGCCCACCCACCTCCATCAGGAATAATATCCCTCCTGGCCCATCCATCATAGTCAGGGATATTTTTACCTTTGGCCCATGGTCTGCTGGCCCATATCATATGGGATATTATGCACGTCCATTCACTCATATAATATGGAGATAGGTCACTGCAATATGTGTCAGAGCATGATCCAACAATGTTCAGAACTTACCTAAACCACTCATCTGAAGTTTCATAAGTTCAAGCAGGTGCATTATAATGAGACACTCCACATCATCAACAGCCTTATGGTATTGCACATTCACAATATATGATTGCACTCTCACACATTCAGGGTGTGTTGGCATCCATCTCTCCTTGATCCCCAAGTGAGTTTCAAAATCATCAACTACTTGACCTTTGAGCTCCATCTTGTTCTGGGTTGTTGTGTGACAGTGGCAGATGTTGGCAATATCCTTGTTTGTGAATCCATCTGGTATGGCATGCAGGTCAAGGCAGTTAAATTCATGCTGAGTGATCTCCCACTGAGATCTAAAAAAAGTTAATTATAAAATTGACAGTAAACTTTAATCTTACCATGCCACATCAAGCTCATTCAGTGCCTTTATGTACTCAACCTCCATGCTATCACCAGGTCACCATTGACTAGCCTTTTGAAGATAGTCTTGTTCATCTTTCAAGTCAGATTCAAAGTCTTCCAGCATGAGATTGAATAGGAGGAGGAAGTCATCATGTGCTTGGATACATTCTAATGCCTGCATGTAATTATGATAAACAAAGTACCTAATTATCATAATCAGTATATATCAGGTGATAAGATTGGCACTGATGAACTTACTGAGGGCAGCATATTTGTCTTGATCAGCAAATCAGAAATGCTTGTTGAGTGCCTGATGCCAGTGAAATTCTGTTGAATTCCAAATTTTGGGTGTGAGGGCATTTGACTCTGAGAATGTTCATTTGCAAGTCTCAAAGTCCTCCTTGCCAGTGCCAAGCATGAACTTAGAGTGATATTAAACTTAACAAAGGCAGTCATGGGCATGTCCATGGAATCCAGGCACAACACCCTCGATACCAAGATCTTGTACAGCAGGTCCCAAGGATGAATGTTGAAGGATGGAATGGAATGTGCATTTGATATCATAGCTGTAAAGAAAGGGCTCAGCAAAAACATCAATCAACTTGTTGATTGTTGCCAGTGGATATTTCATCCTGCAAGATTGTCAGCAGACATATCAATCTAGACTAGAACTTACAGCTCGCCACTGTGGACCATGTCACATATGGACAAGAGGAATCCATGATGGCACACCACAACAAAAATGCTGGACTTCCAGAAAACAGAGAACATTCACTTGCGAGCCTCAGGTGCTGCATTATGCCATCAATCAATGCAGACATTGACTGGTTCATTTGAATCTTATTCATCATTCTTGCAATCTATCCAGGGATCATCAGGATCCACAGTGTCGGCAGGGGTTGAAGTATTTGGACAGTGGCAGTATCAAGTGTTCTGGACTTCGTCTTTGAATCGGTCAACATATTCTTTGTCAATCCATATATCTGATTGTCCATTGCAAGGGTCAAGGTATTCTCTTCCTCCACATACATAATCCAGGATCTACAAACTTTGCTGAGTTATTACTGTCCAGTGCAATCTCAAAGGGAAGCCTAAGTTCAGGTTCATCCTCAACTTTGTAGTGACAACAGGGACACAAATTGCATGCATGCCAGTTAAGACCAGTGTGTCCAAGGGCTTGTGAAACACAAATGGACACCTGCTGCAGAATTTCCAGATACATGTCATAAGCAATGCAAAATTGTTCAGCTAAATACCAACCATAATGAACCTAGAATCAGAAGACTCATTCCATCATTTGTAATGTACTCAATAAATAAATGTACTCACACCATGCAAGTGACATAACTTCTTCACCTCTGCATGGATACTGAGCCTTGGGCATACATGATGTGTCTGATGATAGACCTCAAGTGTTTGTATGGTGATGGCCACAGTGGGCTGTAATGGCGAAGAACCTATACACCCACATGTCATGAGAGACATGTTGATGTGTGGTGAGCAGTGCTCAAAGACACTATGCTGTTGTTCTAAGCAAACATATGATAAATACATGCTGTGAAATAAAGTTCACTCACCAAAGATGTCAACAATACCTATTGTAAAGGTGTCATTGGATGCTGGGACACTTGCATTGAGGGACACTAATGAAGGATTGTGGAGACAAAACTGAATATATGCATTGGAAAGAGCTTTGTATTGTTCTGCCCACACAAATGTGAGTCTGGCTGTACAGTCATGATGGTCATGATCATCAATACAAATTCTGGATAGTCCCATGAGAGAGAGGTAGTAGAAAAAAATTGCATGGAATTACACACCATTGGTATGATAAATCTTGGCTAAGTTCTTCATAAAGCTCCATCTCCCTGCCACCATGGCTGACTGCAAAACCTTCCTCACCAATGGGGGGGATCATACTTGAAAAATCCATGTTGTTGTTGACTCTATCATCATTGGGGTCAAATATGGGTGTGGTAACATTATGCTCAGCCTTGAGAAATTGTTCTCTCTGGTGCAAATTCATGGCTGTAGATACTATTAGGCAGTAGCAATAGAAATGAACAGAAAAAACTTATTTTGGAGTTGGGCTGCATGTTCTGCAGATGCTGCCGCCATTCATTTGGCACAGTCCTGGCTGCATACCACCCTATTTCTCCTTCCTCCAACAGATATTCACAATGCCTGTGAGACACCAGGGGTGCTGAAGCTGCTTTTTGTCATCACAAACAGAGTGTCTTGGAGGATGGTGGTGGTTAAAGGCAGGTGGCTTGATGGTGACATGTGATATACAGTTAAGGCATATTGAGAAACTGATGGTGTGCCACATTGCCTACTGTGCACTTCATGGTGTTGATAGCATCATAGTAAGAGTGAGCAATATGCTGTGAGAAAATGGGCAAAAAGTAGCAGGGTTGAGTATATTGTTGAGTTTGTCATGGGTGATGGTGAGCAGAAGGTTGAAAGCAACATACATGGTGCGCTATTACCAAATGCAGTGATTGTGTCAGCTTTCCCAAGGGCAACAATACTAAATGTGTTCTAAGTCACCTTAATTTGCTGCTCTGGACCACTGGTCCTCACAAATAAGAGTCTGTTTAGGAAGATGATTTCGCCCAACTTTGCCCAACTTGAAAAAAAGAAAAACATCATTGAGTAAGCTTGGAGCTTGAATTAATGACACACTGATTAGCGCTATCAGTAACATATAGTACAGCGCATATGCTCTATGCACATTATGGCCATGCTACCCCATCTCTTGTGCCACGCTGATAACCCTCCCACTGATGAAGATGAGATGAGTTCACAGGACAAGCTGGATGAGCAGAATGAGCAGAATGAGCAGGATGAGCAGGATGACAGGCAGGCCCATATTGAGGATGCTGAGCAGTCAGATATGAAGAAGTTCCACACAATTATACACTTTTTTCAGAACTTGGTTACTTTGGGTTCTCAAGTTGTTGGTCTTGCCAGGGATGCCATTACCTCCTATACACACGCATATTACAAAAAACAACCATATCACACCTCAGCTCTGTTGGGGATAGACTGGGTAAATGAGCTTCTGAGCAGCCATCCAGAATGAATCCAATGCAAGCTTGGTGTACACCACCACATATTCTTTGTATTGCAGGATGTACTTCATAGTGGCAGGATAAGCGACTCAAGAAATGTCACACTGGAAGAGCAGCTGGCTATCTTCCTGTATGCCTGCATTACAGGCCTTGCTGTATGGCACCTTGCCAAGTGTTTTCAATGCTTGAATGATACCATATTGAAGTACGTCCTCCCTTAGTTCTCATACTTATGTGTTTAATATTCCTCACAAGGTATTTCAAACAAATTCTCATTCCACTATCCTCTCAGCCAATCTACTCTACCTATGTCTGGCTTCCAGATGCACAAACTCCAACACCTGCTGAAATCCTCAAGACAAAGAAATTATATCCCTACTTCACCAATGTAATCGGTGCCATCAACGGCACTCACATTGCATGCCATCCTGATGCTGCTGATCACAATGGTGTTTGTGACCAAAAAGGAAACTTAACACAAAATTGCCTTGCCACATGCGATTTTGACATGTGTTTCACTTACATGTTAAGTGGTTTCCAGGGGTCTGCAGCAGATGCTCGCCTCTACAATGTGGCTCATCTAACCAACTTCACAATCCCTCTGGGCAAGTTGTACCTTGCAGATGCAGGATTTGCTGTATGTGATGAGTTGCTCGTGCCTTATCACAGTGTACACTACCACCTTGCTGAATGGGGCCAGGTGAATATGTTGTATGTTATCCCACTAACTTGCTGCCCCTAGTACTTATTTTTTTCAGGCCTTGCAACCCAAAGGAACTGTACAATCTGCATCATGCACAGCTCCAAAACATCATCAAGCATATCTTTAGTGTGTTGAAAAAGTGCTTCCGGATCATTCATCTCCCTCCTGAGTACAACTGGGAAATACAATCTCACATCCCTCCAGCACTGTGTTTCGTCCACAACATCATCCACATCCACAACCCTGATGATATCTTGGACTACCATAATGTGGAGTCCAATGAATGGGGGCTCATTATGACAGCGGTACACTCACTGATGGACCACCCACTGATGTGGCACACACACATGCACACCAAGTCCATGATGAGATCACACAGTCAATGTGGGTCGATTACCCTAAAGAAAGGTATTGTAGAGGCAAAGCTTTACTGCCTGGTGTACAAGTGCCAGTATAGAATAGTCAATAGTTTTTATCTTGTTGTTCATTGTTGTATTCAGTTCCCTCAATGTACAATGTATTGTTTTCAGCCTGAACATGATCCTGGTTCACATAACACCCTTGGTCAGCCATTCAGTGCATCCCTTCTATGCCTCTTCAGCAAACTAGCCAAAGACCATGTCAGTTCAACCTTGACTACCAATGGATTTGAAAATGGTGTCCAGCTCATCATCTCTATCATTGAGATTTGCAGAGCTACCATTCTACACCTCAGCAACCATTGAAAGTCATCCTTTGCTGCATTCACTGCACTTACAGAGAAATCCAAGAGTGCTACTCTGTGTCACTTTTCATTTGATGTCATGCATGACTGGGCCCTTCACACAAATGAAGTGTATATTGTTTAACTAAGTCTAACACATCTGAGATATACTGTTACTTTCCCTCACCATGCTTCCCTTGCATCCTGCAAGCACTGTGCTAAAAAAATACTGCGAATGCCATCTCATTTGATGGAATTGTAAGAGTCAGCCATCATGACATCAGTTTGGAAAAGGTTGATCATGGTAACGATCTCATGGTCATCCAAGTTCGTCTCTTCTTGCACATGAAGGACAGCCTGCTGCTTGCGAAGCAGAACAGGATCCATGAAATGTCCAGCAACAGTGTCTTGAAGCACCACAGTGGCATTATTGATACTATCAGCAACCTTTCCCCCCAACTCTTCCAGTGCAAGTGGCATACTGAGACATTGAGACTTTGATCCTGCTGTGCTCCTTGATTTGGAAGAATTTGGGGGGTGGGAATGATTGCATGAATTATTCTCCCCATTGCATTTGCACTTTGCAATTGAGGAGGAACAAAGGGCTGTGTTGCTGCATTGAAACCACCCAGCATGACAGGTGTGAGAGGCAGGGGTGGCAGGGGTATTAGATTAGAGGAGCTGCTCATCTCAGTATCGACAAAACCACCAGGACCAAACTCAACCTGGTCAAGTGCTTTCTCCAGCATTGACATGACCATGTCACCAGACTTGCCACTTGTAATGTCACTACTGGCTGTGGGAGTCAATGTGTCTCTGACATGGTTCATGTTGACGTGGAAGCCAGTCCAGCTGCTCATGGTCGCTGGGATAATACCTTGGAGTTTCTCATAATGCAGCCATCCTTTTGTTTTGAGGCTCTTTGCTTCAGGGTTTTTCTATGTGAATAGTTAGTGCAGTAGAGTGGGAGAGACAAATAACACATACCAAAACATAGTCCACCCACACACTCTCACCTCCATTGCCAATGTTAGCCCCCTTCTTGATGTTGAATGATAAACCTGAGGCATTGCTTATTTTATTGACTACTTTATACATTTTTCTTATCTAAAAATATGTTGGTATCAGTGCTGGCACTCATAGATGAGTACTTACACAACCCCATTTGGATTGGCAGGAATCAGCAGTCTTGAGAGCAGCCTGGTCAGTCTGAAATGCCACCATATGTATGGCAGCATTGGTCCAGAAGGTTTTGTTGAAGTTCATCCCATCTCCCCCTCTGGAATGGCATTCAATGATATAGTCAATCAGCCTAGTTTTGTCAGCCAAAGACCAGATGCAACAGTCTTTCATCTCTCCGGAGGAATCCTGATCATCAGTGGCTGCTTTTTTTTTCCCTTTGCCTTTTGGTGGCATCCTGGTGGTACTGCATAAACAGACAGAGGTTTGCATCTGCATCGAGGGCATATTGACTGATAAGAGCCTGTTACTGACCATCACTGATCTGTCACACTAATCCGGCACACCGGCATGCTTACTTAACTGTGATTTCATTTTTTCAAGTTGGGCAAAGTTGGGTGAAATCGTCTTCCCGAACAGACTCGAACACTTTTTAACTTAATCTATGGGTGAGCAAACATCTTAGGTACCTGCTTACTATATTAGAAAGGTGGGAGTAATGGGTGTGCCCATCCCCACAAGGAGCGCAGCTGGCTGCTTATGACATCACCAAGTCACATGATCTCCCCTTTCGTTTACCAACGTTATTTTCATATAGACTCAGGTCTCTGACCTACCATCATCTGCTCTTTTGTATCATGCTCGGAGATTCACGGTTGTCCTGTGAATTATCGCCTGTTTCCCCCCATTATCATTCCTGGTGGGTTTCCAACAACCTAACCTTGCGGAGCAAGGTGATTTCTTTGGCACGAATGGGGCGAATGGGGCGAAAGTCGAAGCCCGAGATGCCCTCCAGGGGGCCCCTGGTCTAAATTGACAAAATTGAAATCAATGAGTCAATCTGTGTACCCGAATTGATCCAATTCACCAGATTTCCTGACAGTCTCCGACCTGTCTTAATGCCACTCATTGTGCAATACCCGCGCTCCATATCGTTTCTGAAACTGGGGTAACAAAATCATCCTGGAGTGGACCTATTAGCGCGTCACAACGGATGAGGTCTCCCCTTCACAATGGTTTGAATGTTAGCACCCATTCCATATACCACATATACAGATTAAGGTTTGTGAGGATCACTCAATCAAGTTGATTCTATCTTCCCATCTAAACAATGTCTCACCCTGCTGAATGTGTCTTGCCAGGTATATACTTAATAGGTGCGTCTGACTGTACAGCACAGAATGCTAAGTTTACGATAGCGCATGCAGACTCACAAAAGGTCCTCGCTACGCCTCATACATCACATTCTGAAACTGCCCGTCGTAATCGTTGTTACCCATATAGCACCAGATACCGGAAAGGTCCGAATGATAACATGAATAGGGTATAATACCAGACACCGGAAAGGTCTGAATGATAACACGAACAGGGTATAGTACCAGACACCGGAAACTTACCAGACACCGGAAACATGAAGGTCCGAATGATAATATGAACAGGGTGCTTTGGTCTTAGGCCTTCTCCAAGCATTCAAATAGCCATCTGTTGAGGAATATATGCTCCATCGTACTCCGTTTTACATTTTTACCTGCGACATCTAACTGATCCAGATGTCATCTACCTCGAATTACACCACTCTCATCTTCGACATCGGTGATGTTTTGTTCTCTTGGTCCCCACAGACCAAAACCTCCATATCCCCAACCACCCTACGTAAAATTCTTTCTTCCCCCACATGGATTGACTACGAGAAGGGGAGGATTTCCCAGGCTGAGTGCTATGCTGCGGTCGGCGGCGAATTCTCTGTAGACCCCACAGAGGTCGGTCGTGCGTTCCAAGATGCTCGTGACTCTCTGCAGTCCAACGAAAAGCTCATATCGGTTATTCGACATCTCAAAGCACACTCGGATGGGATGTTACACGTCTTCGCCATGTCAAATATTTCTGCGCCTGACTATGAAGTCCTTCGTACCAAGCCTGTTGATTGGTCGTTGTTCGACGGCATCTTCACCTCCGCCGGCGTGGGCGAGCGGAAGCCTAACCTCGGCTTCTACAAGGCAGTGATTTCAGGCACAGGGGCTGACCCCTCACGCACTATTTTTGTGGACGATAAAATAGAGAATGTCCTCTCCGCGCGTTCGCTTGGAATGCATGGTATTGTTTTCGACGATCAACGTAAAGTCGTCCGCGCGCTTTATAACCTACTTGGAGACCCTGTCGAAAGGGGCAGACAATACTTGACCGTGAATGCGAAGAAACTCCTATCTGTAACTGACAACGGCATTTTCTTACGGGAGAACTTCTCTCAGCTCCTGATACTGGAGACAACTGATAACCGGTAAGAGGATTACCTTTCTTTTCCTGCACTCGTCGAACAGCATGCCAGGAGTCTCGTCAATTTGACTGATACACATCGGACGTGGAATTTTTTCCAAGGTATATATCAAATTTTGTTACCATTATTTAACAGCTGATTTGGTATCAGGAAAACCATCGCTTACTACTGAAGAGTTTCCTTTTGACCTGGATACCACGTCCCTTGGGTTGACCGTAATGGGCAGCCCTGAAGACGTAGCACACTCCGTCATGGATGACATGCTTGACTACATTGATGACGATGGGATTATTCAGGTACGTGCGTTCGGTTGTTATTTCCCATGTGTTAGCCAACCTCCTAGTAATCAGACATACTTTGACCACCGCCGACCTCGGTTTGATCCAGTTGTATGCGTCAACGCGCTCACGTTGTTCTATTTTTATGGACGCGGCCATCAGCTCGATCGCACCCTTCACTGGATACGTGAGGTGCTCCTGCATAGAGCTTATCTCGATGGTACGCGATATTACGCGACCCCGGAGTGCTTTCTTCATTTCCTTGGCCGGCTGCTTGAAATCACTAACGACGTCCACTTGGCAGCCTATATAAAGCCGCTGCTGATTGAACGTGTTCAGGAGCGCATAGGGGCTGATGGTGACGCTCTGGCGCTCTCCATGCGCCTCCGGCTTTGTGCCTACCTTGGACTACGCAACGACGTTGATCTTCGCACTTTGCTTCCTCTGCAATGTGAAGATGGAGGCTGGGAAATCGGGTGGATCTACAAATACGGGTCCTCCGGTATTAAAATCGGAAACCGCGGTCTTGCCACATCCCTGGCCATGAAAGCCATTCTGGAGATGCAACAACGCTTCCCTAGTCCCCCTTCGTCCCCTTCTGTGGCACCCGCTGTTCCCCTCGTCAAACAGGCTAATACCACTGCACAATCTCCTCCTGAGCGCTTTTTGCAGCGCAAGAGCGACTCTTCAACTACTCACAGCTCTATTGCAGTGAGCCCATCAGCCAGTACGAGGGAACACCCATCAATTGTTCCATTGGTTCTAGGATGATTGAAGAAATGACGAAAGCTGCGGATGAGGCAGGGTTCTGACGACAGATTTCCCGCCGTGGTTCGTGGCGCTTTTTGCTTTTTCTCGCTGTCCAATATGTGCGATACTTTCAAAAAACGAATATGTACCAGTATTACTGTGCCCTTCTGTGCCATTTGTTGTCCTTGAGCGGAATCCTACGCACTTACAGCAATTCTAGATTTTCGTTGTCAAGTCTAGACCCCTCGCATCACCATAATGTAACCGTTCCATGTTATCAAGGTCCTTATATGATTCCAGAGATGTCGTGCGACAGGATTCCACTGACATCGACTCAATCGTGTGTTAGAGTTTGGTAATTCACCCTTCGTCATTGATCGATGTTCGGATAGTCCCTACTACTTATATACACCTACGTTGTGGACACACGATACAGCTTTGTTCTCCAGCTCCGACATCGAACAATCATGTTCGTGAAGTTTCGGCTTATACTTGACCCTTCGCACGAAGACAGGACTTCCCAGCGCTGGGCGCTAAACGCACTGTCATCACATAATATGTCGATTCCACAGAAGGTATTTCGAAATAACAATCAGCCCCACTCAGTTTGTCACTGAACCTCAGCATAAATCCAAGATGTAAACCAAGACCGTCTCGTCCACCCATGATTTGACCTAGCAGCCGCATGCTCCTTTCTCAACCGTTCCTCCATCGCCAAATGTTCTTCTGCGATTGCTTCAGTCACGACAGCTTCCCGGGTTGTCACGACAGCTTCTCGAGGTGTCGCTGCGGCTTCTTGAGAAGTCACATTGATGGGGTGTGACAACGACACCCGCGAGCCACCAAACCTTAAAATCGATGCCGTAGAACGCGCAAATTCAGCCTGTGCGTATAGATCTGGCCGAGACTCAGGGTCAAGGCCACGAAACTGAGATTGAATGTGAAGGTTAGGTGGCGGAAGGTATGAAGATACCCTTTCACGAAAGGACCTTGGTGCGTGGTCGGAGGATGACTTGCGAGAGAACTCGGGGCGACTGCCGTCCATGATCTGCGATCGACTTGGAAGACCTCGAGATGCGCGGTCGCCACTTTTCATGCTGACATTACTACCTGAGCGATGTCGAGAGAACAAGGATGGACGGTGTGGTCTTGTGGACTCTACATCAACCTCTTGATCAATAGTGACAACGCGGGACTTGATGCCTTCAGGAAGATCGATATCTTCACTGCCACTGTATTGCCTAGTTACAAGGATGGACGGTTGTTCATCGCCGGGCACTGAGCTGGGGGGCTGAAACACGGGGGATGCGGAAGAGCCAGGACCAAACCAGTGATCCATATCACCAGTGCCGGGCTCACTTGTTAAAGCTTGGTAAACATCAACAGTGTCATTGAGGTCTAGAAGACCTAGCGGATTTGTTGGGAGCCATAGGGCATTAGTGATAGGTCGTGTGTAGTAAGGGTTATCATAAGGGATGTCATGGCGGGGTTCATCATCCCACGCTGCAAGAGGTGGATGTCGCTGTACGAGGGAAGTCGAGATGCGCGCTGGAGGCTGGTGTTGCCGTTCAGCAGATGGGGATTCAACCGCCCTATCCAGAATGGCAGCGGATGGTTCTCCTTGGGCCGAGGTCGATGGCGTTTTCCCTTTCTCATCTACTGAATGTAGCCTCGAGAACGAACGGGCGTGAAGGCCGGACAGATTCGGCTTACGCCGCTCGTGCGGTCGAAGTCTTCGAGGAACGGTTGAATAAGAAAAATTCACCCAGGCCGGTAAGCGCCAGATCTGGAATCTCGAAGGGTGATCCTCAGCGCTGACTGCTACGTTTTTAGCACTGCCAGGATGGTCTGACGGGATAATCTGGCTTTCAGGGCTGTCTTCAGATTCTCCCGTGCCCGTCCTGCAGACTGCCTGCGCCTCCTCAGTATCATCTAGCTCGAATTTGGCGCGGCACATTCGGGTTATGCTGATCGTAACTTCATTATCAGAGTAGAGGTTGATCAAAAGATAAAAACACACGCACATCACCTTGACTATCGCAGTAAAGACGAATAAGAAACCCGATAGCGCTACATTGACAGTTATCCGCAGCACAGCCATGTACGCCAGGAATACAAACTAAGCCAAGAGTCAGTTGATCGTACAGCGAGTGGCAGAGAATAGGACGAACTTGAGATAGCATCAATCCTATGAATGGAAATACATCAGCAGGGTTCAGGTGTGCAGATACTTATGAGTATCATACCATCCAATGAATAACGAAGGATACGGATCAACAGTATTCGACCATTGCATTCGTAATTCTTCGCATAAACATGTAGCAACTGCCCATCTGAGTCGAATCTAGCTCCGCGAAGGGTGTGATGTAACATACCTGATTTTTTACAACAGCTGGAAAACGTTTTAGTCAGCATAGGTGCTATCATGGACCATATAAACAACAAACCAGTCTCGACCGAGAAGTAGACCAACCCGAAGGGTATGACAAGTGGGTTAAGCAGAGCGAAGAGGAGTAACACGTGAATGACCAGGAGATGGTTTGGTAGCCAGTCTACATTCGGAAACACTGTAAGAAATCTTGCTGGGCAAAATGACGAAACTCACAATAGAAATTAAATGTTCGTGGGCGAATACCAGTAGCTCTTTTCCTCGGAGTCACATGTCGCTTGGTGGAGGGATGAGTGAACAAAGGCAACTACAGCGAGGCATGTCAACATCATGACGATCGTTAATACGACCCCATAGAAACTTACACCAACTGCAAAGCTCGACGTGAGAACGGTATGCAATACCATAAGTTACGGATGCTTACACAATACAAGCTCAAAGCCTCCATGAATTGCGGTGGTAAAGATCACTGCAATCAAGTAGAACCCATCAATTCACTGCAAGACATCAAGGGATTGTACTTACGCCATCCAACATAGAACGGTCCGGCCGTCGGGAAACTACTAGCGACAGTATTTATTATACCACTCCCGGAAACGGTCCTGAATGAAGTAAGGAAAGACTGGAGTGCAGCGGTTCCCACGCAGAAAAATACCAAGACATTGACAATTAGGAATTTATAGTAACGGGTCGTGATCGTGTCGTGCATTACGGAAAGAGTGATGATTGTATGCGCTTTCTTCGAAATGAGTAGAAGAATGGGCGGAATGAGAATCGTGAGTAGTGATATAAGGACAGTCGGGAGGAATGATTGAATGACCTCTTCCTCCCAAGGGTGACTGGATAGATAATTGTACTACTTGGATGTTCAGCACAGAAGATGCCCAAGAAGGATCACACATACCAGACTCGGCCACAACGTCGAAATGCTTTGAATAGAAACGAGACCAACGAATAGTGATACTGGAAAAACCCAGAATATCGTGAATCCCCTGAGACATAGTCAGCGACCCCTCATGGTCATATGACAGCGGACCAGCACTTACCAAACCCCAATATTTACTACCCAATCTTTGAGAATGTCCACTTGGTAAGTTGACCTCATAACCCTCGTCCAATCGATGTCTTCATACTGCGGGGCCATCGTTACAAGGCATGCGAGTGGGTTATTGGGATGCACTGCTAAGTACTTGCATGCCCTTATTGCATCTGCCGGATCTTTGAAGGTTACGAACGCTGTTGACACAGCGTCGTATTCCGTAGCAGCCCGCGCTCGATTCTGCGTTATCAACGATGTAAGGAGGTTGAGTTTGGCAGCGTAATAATCAATGCTAGGCACGGTCTTCCCACGGAAAAAGACAGAAAGGTGGATTAACGGCTGGTATGGGTCCAATATGTTTCGTGGCAAACTGAGAAGTGCATCCCATATCGTCTTGTGTGAGTCAATGCTGTCCGTCGCCGGATCCACTTTGACACTGTCAATCTGTGGTAATTGTTAAATTCTGTAAGACGCACCCTCCGTCTTCAAAATGAGCTTGCGCTTTGGGAGCGCAAACTTGCCGGTCAACTCATAATCAACCACAAACGGTGAGAGAGTCCGAACGAGTAAGTCTGTATCATTGTTCTGGTGTCCGATGTGACTTTGATTACGCTCGTTTTCTACATCAGAAGTCCTAGCGCGCCCGGGCACGGTGGTATTCCCCCTTGAATCGCGTCTATGTTCTACGCTGTATACCGCTAAGAGTGCCTTCTTCGCCAATCTGATATGCGCACCCTCTAAACGACGGAGGATCTCCTCGCGCCGTTCCAGCAACGACGCCAGTTCCGTCATTCGTCGTGCAATGACAACTCGGTCGATGGGTGGCACATTTTCCAGGTTTAGGCTGAGAATTTGTCCAAGTGGAGCTCCATCGCTTCCTTCCTGGCTCCCATTCACAGTTTCACGTGCAGACATACCTATGTTCTGCGGAATGCGCCTTGCTCGATTGAAACCAAAGGCGAATAATTTGTTCAATAGACCGGGTTGAGTCGATGCTGGCAAGCCAACGGAAGGTTTGTCGAGAGACCGCGATAGGTAGTACTCAAAGTACTCCTTAAGCTCCTTTTCTGAGCGAAGCTGCAATGGAACATTGGTCACCATCACGGTACGCAGACGCAAACCACGGTTGGAGTGGTCGGTGTCAAGGGATTGAATATCCTGGAAGGGGTATTGTGGGTGAGGATGAGGGTGGTACTGTGCCTCCCTCTCGAGCGTGGTATCGGACTCCACACTGCGTATGGCACTTTCTATTTTCGCTGCTCGTAACCTGAACGCTCCATTGCAAATGTAGAAGAGATTGCACATCCATGTAAGCGTGATCCAAAAGAGGAGGCAAATATGAATCCAAAGTAGGGAGCGACCTTGCTGAGTTTCTACGAGTGAAGAAATTGATGCTCTTGTCATTGACTGCGGTGAAACGCCATCCGAAGAAAAGTGCACATGTATTGGAAGGAGGATAGGAGTGGTCGTAAATGTGTGGACGAGGACAAAGAATACTTATGGACGACAGAAATTAGCGGATACGAATCAAGTGCACGCTGTAAGTACTCACGGGTCCCGCGCAGGAAACGCACATACAACGTTGCATCGACTCCTCTAAGCTCGTTAAGCTTCGCTTGGGGAAATATGATGCTGTCCTTGACCCAGGATAATGGCCAGCCTTTCGGCGTCGGAGGGGAAGGATTCCTGTTACCACTATCAGAATGAGAAAGAACAGGAGCTACGAGTGACAAACCGCGCCCACGAACGACCCTGATACAAGCTAGAAGTTCGAGCACCAATTAGAAGACAATAAGGAAACGATGAGTGTGCTCACTAGCCAAACTCCCAAGATTCGACACTTCCAAGCCCCCCAGATTGGGTGTGAAGTCCGCGTCTCCTTCTCTTCATGATCTCGTGCGACGTCACAGACACCACGGCCAATGCAATTGCTATGACCGACTGATTGACGAGGCCACTAAGACAGTACCAAATGTTAACTTTATATGCACTGAAGACTTTGAGAGAATAGACTAAACCTGTAATCCTTTGAAAAGGGCCTGTTCTGAATGTCGGCCATGATGGCGACAGTATCCAGTAAGTGTCAAATACGTCAGCTTGGTCCAGATGATGATATATAGGTGGGACAACAGGAGTGGAGCAAATGGAGTAAACTGTGGTACTCAAATTCCGAGTTCGACGGTTTCAAAGAACTCTATCCCGTGTGGCTCCACCATGACAAGCTTCGATCAGCGCCGCCGAGCATGCAGCTGCCTCGCAATCGTGGCATGCTCCGATGTTGTATTAATCCATGTGTTGTTGTTACTTACTACTACTAGCTGTCAACACAAAAGTCTGCAAGCTTCAAGTGCTTAGTACGTTATGTCTTAGGTGCAAGTTTAAGCTTTAAGTTCCAACCAATTGCAGAACGTGTGAACTAGATGCAAGTTAGTTCTATGGACAGAATAGTCTACTTCGTGCGCATTATCCGTAGTGTATTCGGCCTATAGACAAAGTTCTCTGAATAGTTCTTCGGAGGAATTTTCTTGGTGGGAGGTGGTTGTCTGCGGTGGCTCATCAGTGTCTAGTTCATGTCAAAAGTGAAAGAGGCACTCACACATAGTAATTCCAGCCTGAAGGAAAAACAGTGAGGGCAATGGACGTTGGGGTAGAGATGAAGCGTACCTTGTTTCTCTGCGAAGTGCATGGCATCCTCTTTGCTTCTGAATGACATCCTGGTCCCCTGCATATAATCCGCGCTGTGCAGACAGTGATGAACGCCGTTTCAGGTGGGAGATTCAAGTAGCAACCACTCACGAACTGGCCCAACCCATCAGCGGATTCTCCCACCGACCTGCTCCCAGCAGAACATCCCAGTCAATGCGCCACCGCTCTGACTTTCCTGCTCCGCTTTGCATGGTGTTGCGGGCTGGTTGATAGATCCGTACCATGCGATGCCGGAGCTCCACTGGATCGGCAGTCATTAAGTATGGCGTTTTCGTCAGTGTCGGTTGATTGAAACACACCTGGAGCACCACTTATAACTTCAGCCGTCAATACATCAGTATCAGCAACCTCTGCAATTTGGGCGGTCTCTTTCTGGGGGGCATCACCAGTGCGAACTGGCTGGTTGTGAGTTTCTGCAGAGAAACGGCGCGTATAAGTTGGACACGCAGGCAATGGCCATCTAAATATTGCCTGCTTAGAAGAACGGAGCAGAGACATGGTCGAAATCTATTGAGAGGCGAAGAGACGAGCTACTCTCGGGAGACGCGGCAAAGTCCGGTTTAGTGGCGGTGCAAGGTGGCTCGTCCGCTAACTAAAGTAGATTAATATTTTGATGTATCCCAGACCTGCCATTCAATTACCTCGTTTACTTGACAGGAAGCACTTTGTGGTGCGCAAACAGTGAGGATCTAAGCTGAACCATGTCTTTGAGATGAGCGGGGATACTAGGTAGTATACTATCATTCCGGGTAATCTGCAACATGCATGCAATATGCAAAATGTTCAAAACACCTCAACGCACTGCTCAACTCACTTCAAAAAAATTCATGCATATGTAGACTACTTATATATGATGTACTGTCCAAGTAGAATGAAAATTTCTTGCGTGTTGCAGCTGCGAGGGATGAAATAGTGGTAATTTGTAACCATGCAGGAACATAAATTATCCAGATACCATAGATCCTGCAGGTATATTCCTGAAGTTATACCTGGAGCACAACAATCACCTCGTCAGGATTACAGAACACAATTTCGATAAAGCTCATCCTGTCATTTTAAGATGCTATAGAGGAAGAATTGACGACATGTATGAAAATGTGACAGTAGATAGGAGAGTGTGTAACAAATTCAATCTCCTCTACGGCACACTCAGCAAGTGCACGAAGTCTTGCATTGTTGTCTCCTCTTGCATCATTCTCACATCCTTGTTACAATGGCACCAAACCGCAGGCATACTACCAGTCAGAAGAAAGCTGAAGAAGATGTGATTCGCGAAGCCAACTTCACTGCTGCTATTCAGGCTATCAGAGAGGAGAAGACCAAGAACCTTATTCAGGACCATATCACCAGTACACTCACAATCATTACATGAATCACGATACTTGATGATAATATATTGCTGTATTCATTATTTATCAGAGCATTAAGTTTCAAGCTTCCAGTTCGACGACTCAACGCCAACAGATCGAGAGCGCAGTGCGGAGAATCAAAGTTGACTGTGCTGGTGCTATGCCGAGGTGTGACTCGACGTGACCATATTTTGCAGATTAGCAGTCAGACCCTGAATTTTCTCGGCTTTCATCCGACACCACACCACAAAATCCTAAAAATGAGCAAAAATAAGATCTATATAGAGGCGGTACGAATCTACAACACTCTAAATTCGTGGAAGATAATATGAAGTGATTGACGAGCTACAAAAGATTTGCTGAAAATGTTGCAGATTACCCGGAATGATAGTACATGTATTAAGTATGCGTCTGAGTCAATCAATGGGGCAGCAGGGTACATTTTCTATATCCGACATGATTCTGTGCGGGAACCGACAGGCCTGTTGAACTGTCTGGATATTTATTATTCATGGATTTCGAGGTGAAAACCTCGGGAAGTACTGACCTTTCACTCATCCCTGTCTCGTATTTTATCTGGCAGCTGCGAGCCCAGCCAACTCAGTACACCGGACAGCATAATCAAGACGATATACTAAATTTCCACTGAGAACATTGTATTTTTTTGAGAATGCGAAGAGTGATGTGGTTAGGGCAGGCCCAAGGGCACAAGCGATCGATCTGGAGCTTTGGGAGAGACCATTGACAACGCCAAGAACATTCTTCGTAGGGGCAGAAGCTGTGACAAACATTAAAGCAGTAGCTGTATTTAAGCAGGTTACTTGTAATGGCACGACAAGTTTCATTGTGACACGCACCAAATGCCATATCCCAAGTTACCGTCAGAATCAGCTGGCCAAGCAAGGCATACATAATTGCATGATCAACCACCCCCCTTGTGCATACCAGCCACGACATTGTCGGAAACACGACCATTAGCGGTGTGAAGCACGACACTGATACACAGAATAGGCGTTTGGGACCAACCCAATCAACAATTTTGGCCAAGAACAATGCCTGAAAGAGTCCGTCCACGATCCCATAGAACGCCAGCCACAAACCAATAGAAGAAGGAGTAAGACCCATACCGCCAAGATGGGTGGGCGTGGAAAGGAACAACGGTACGAGAACCCTGAAAGACATGTCAAGGAAGGACAGCATAGCATAGTTTGCGATCGGAATAACAATGGCAGGTGTAAGCAGAGACCACAAGGACGCATTTGCCGTGGGTTGTCGCACAAACGCTTCCTGGTCATTACTGTCGACATCATGAGAGACGTCGGGAATGGACAATGTCAACCTTGGTCGACGCTTGGTTGACAATGTCTGCTATACGTGAATAACGTGACGTTGAAGAAGGTAGTATATGGGACCTACTTCTTCTAAGAAGCGTGACAGCATGAAAAAAGCCAAGAGGAGCAGAGAAGCCGACGCTACACAAGGAAGAAAGTACGGGTATTTTCTCCAAAATGGATTAGTGAATAATCCAGGCCAGTGATCCTGCGGCCGCGCAAGCATTCCCCCCATTAAAGGGCTGGTGTGCCAATTTCGTCGGCAGCCATCGCAATAGTCAAACGATTCCACTTACCCAACAAAACTTCCAATGGACCAGATGATCGGAATCAAGGCAAATCCTTGAGCCATGTTTGTAGAGTCCGTCAATTCACCCATCACGGTCTTCATGACTCCAGTGTTGCCATTCAATACACCCCACATGCAGCGGCTGAGGAAACCATGTCAGCATTACAATACCTCCTTCAGCTGAAGCAAACCTGATGACCAGGCTCCAGAAGGTCGTCGAAAGGCCGAAACATATCATCGAAATGCAAGCTGCTGTTAGTCCGATTAATAACACCGGCTTGCGTCCAATTCGGTCGGACAACCGACTCCAGCTCAATACTGTCAGCGCCTGTGCAAGGTAAAACAGAGAATCCTGTCGATCATGTCCGATAATACTATGAGGGAATGATAATTTTTACAAGTCATGATATTGCCACCTACAATTAATCCAACATAGTATCCTACAGACGCATCATCACCTCCAGTGATGTCAATTTCTCTGATGAGCTGAGAAGAGCTTCAGTTACAGTATCGATCACGGACATTTGAGTAAATGTCGTATCATTGTAAAAGTTCATACCTGATTGATGTACGGGTATATAGACATCGAAGCTATAATTTCCGCCAGTTCAAACATCATAAGCATGCCTGTCTGGAATTGTGGAAGAGGCGTTGTAGGCTTTCTCGGGGGCATTGCATGGACAAGAGGCATCACAATGATCTCGCCGTTTGCTATACGAGGAGAACCAGAAGTGACCATCCAGGTGGATCAGGGCTCCAGTGAGATCTTTGCGAGTGCAGAGATAAACCAATCAAATCGCCTTGATATAGGACAAGAACAGCATGCACATTGATAGGAGCCACCGAACGGGGCGACGTAGGGCGAGGTGCTAAGTTGATGAGGAATTCGCGTTAGCTCTTGATATGGATCGGATGGGCCAGATAACCACCAGCAAACGCCCTAACGTCGCTCAATAGGAAATTTGGTCATGGCAAGGTGCCGGGTCTGCCAAGCTACGGCCCAGCGAAGCTTTCCAGCTTGAAAGGTCAGCATCCCAGAAAGAGGTGCTCACTGCCCCGGGGGTCACCTTCTTTCTTTGGCAAAACAATTCGCCCAAGGTCGAAACTTTTGAAGATCCAAATACAACAATTTGGCGTTCTTTTCAAACCTCTGCTGGACACAACCATAATGCATGATGCATAACGGTTGCAAGTTGCAACAAACCCGCTTCTCGGTTAACGCCGATCATCGCACCTGTGTTTTAAATTTTTGCTCTATACACACTGTTTTGACGCGATGGTACCATTTACCAGCTTGAAGGAGATATATATTCCATACCCTCACCGCCAAGTTGGATGACGAACTGGTCCTGGAGCTCTCCGCATATGCTAATTCCCTTCGCGCACTATCGCCGTTCAAGCAATCCGAAGCACATATCAATTGAGTAGTGAGCACATTCGGGTTGAAGCATGCCAAACTTGGAGCCTCCGAGAGCGATGATGAAGATGAAGATGTGAGAATTCCATGTCCCGCCATCACTTTTCGTAAATGCGGCGCCGAGTTGCCATTTCCTTCAGCATTGGAACACGCCTGGGGTAGATACATCTCATTTTGCAATTACCCCGTCAAGTGCCAAGTCAGCTTGATGTTGCCGAGTCTCGACCGGTGGTGACTGCGAGATATCTCACAGTCGTATTTAGGATACGGACTTCCTGGCCCGGAGCTTGACAGGGCCATATGACCTCGTTCGATAAAGCCTATCGTACTGGGTCAGCAAGTATTAAAGGAATACTACACAGTCTTGAGACTAGCCATTTCTTACATGATTGACCTCCAGAGAAGAGTCGCCATTATTGGCGCCGGGTAAGTATTGCTTTGTTGTGATTCTACGCCAACTGAATATCCGCTCGCAGTGTTGGCGGGTTATCCCAAGCTATTGCTCTCAAAACCAAACTTGGATTTCACGATTTTACAGTGGGTGCATCCATGCAACGAGTGGTATGATCGCTGAGTATTTTAATAGATATATGAGAAAGGGTCTGAAGTCGGTGGGGTTTGGAGGGTACGTTGTTGTCATACACAAACGTTCTCCTGACATTTTTCCACACAGGCCAACACATATCCTGTATGGTCAACGACTGAAACTGCAGAATATCGCTCACCTCGAAGCTTCTTCTAGGGATGCTCGTCGGATGTCCAAATTCATTGGTACAGCTTATCATCAGACCTTTACCCGCACTGGAACAAGTCGCATGGCCTTCAACCGGAGATTCAAGCCTACTGGATTAAGCTCTCAAAGAAATATAATCTATATCCACACATCGCATTCAACACAAATGTGTTATCGGCGGAGTGGGATGATACCAAACAACGGTACACCATCGTCGCAGAAGACGTCTTTTCAGGCAAGAGAATGTCGAGCATAGCCCACGTCGTGATATCTGCCGTTGGTATTTTGGAGGCCCCAAAGATTCCATACGAGATTCCTGGAGTTCAGAAGTTTCAGGGGACTTCATTTCACTCCGCACAGTGGCCAGGCTCAATAGATCTGCGGAACAAGCGTGTTGCAGTGATTGGAAATGCCTCCTCCGGGTAAGTCACACGATGACTTCTCTGCAGGTAATCGGTGGTGACATACAACAAGAGCACAGTTCGTACCATCTGTATCTGAAGACCCGTCTGTCGAAGTAGTTAACTTCATTCGCACCCCGACCTGGTTCAACACTCGAGTGAGATCCTTCGTACCATGTTCAATGACCCAACAACTGAACAAAACATCAAGCCACATATTCCGTACTCAGACACTGAGAAATGGATATTTGCCAACATCCCTCTGGCAATGCGACTGCACCGAGCTTGGATCATGTTCTGGGTCAGACCAGCTACGTTGCATGGTTTTAGCTTGCTGACGTCTGTTGTAGTTCGATCTTCCCTCTATTGTGCGCCCGAGTGACAGAACTCTCAAGAAACGACGTCAGGTGAGCAGGCTGCGAGAGTCTCGGGGCATTCGTTCCAACGTTTTTTTGTCAGACGATGACGAAATACATCCTCGATAACGCACCGACTAGATACCATAATCATATGATACCTGATTATCGTACGTGCCTGATCAAGGAATTTTCTTTGTGCTCACATGTTCCACAGCTCCAGGTTGCAAGCGGACCGGTTCGTCGGCGGTGGTTGAACTTGTAGACATGTTCCTTCTCATTTCATTTCATGCAGTCGCAAACAGTGGTTTCCTGGATGTTCTCCATCGGCCCAACTTGACACTGAACTTCGATGGAATTGCCAACATAGTGGAGAATGGCATCATCACAAAAACTGGTATGTATGGGCCGTCAACGATATCATCACCCTCACATTCGTTTAGGCGAAATGTTGACATTTGATGTCATCGTATACTGCGACTGGATTCATCGGCGTAAGTGCTACTTACACTATTCTATAAGATGCCAACTGCAGAAACAGGAGCGATACCCAATGCACGTTCGAGGCTTGAATGGAGCCACTATCCAAGGCTATTATGATGCGCACGGTGGCCCTACCGCATACCTCGGGACCGCAGTTCCTGACATACCAAACTTTTACTTGCTAGCTGGTGAGTTCACAAGGGACATGTTTATCATCGATTTGCTGTTTGACATATTGATTCCAGGGCCAAATACCGGAACACCAACATCAACGTTGTTCGTGGAAGAAGTTCAAGTAAATCCAGTGTAATTTTTGCGTGTTTCTACTCAAGTTTGTCACAAGATTGGATATATCCTTCAACTCATAGAGCCAGTCCTCAACGGTTCTGCTTCATCATTCACCGTCAAAGCTTCACCTACAAACGCATATAACGCCAAGGTTCAAGAACAAATCTCCCGTTCGGTGTTCGTGCAGTGTTACTCCTGGGCGCGTACGAACGGCACAGGCAAGGTATTTAATCCATTCCCTTGGGCCGTGACGCTTTGGTGGTGGTGGCTTCGCAAACCGAATTGGGATCATTATGTGGCAGTCGGCGCCGAGAAATGGGTATGGGCAAGGCGAGGAAAGGCTGTTAAGAACATTCTGAAATGCGCTGCAATCTTGACGCTATCGTGGTCATACATCAGCGGCTCTGCTCAGCGGATTTGAGTCCAATGTTCAGGACATGAAGCTAAATACAAATATCATCAATAACATCCACTACAAATGAGATCACTTGTCAAAGCCAATGATCCTGCTCACTGGACGGAGCGTGATCATCACAGGATTTCTGTCATTCACTGCTTCATCAACAGCATCATCCACTGGCATGTCACCATTTTCATCATCGCTCTCGGAGGCTCCTCTGGCATGCTTCAACCCGAACATGCTCACTACTCGATTAATGTGTACTTCGGATTGCTTGAACGTCGGTGGTACGTGAAGGGAATTAGCACATGCGCGGTTCAAAAATAATGAAAATGTTGAAGATTCATTTAAATCAGTTTCGAGGTTTGTCGGCCTCTGAATGGCTTCAAACACACCATCTCGTGGTTATTTCTTACTCGGACTTCTCAAGGTCTACCAGAGGATTAGTCCCGACTGAAAAGGACGAGCTCTGTACCTGCATTTGGGGGGAGATCGAGCACACACTGCAGTTCTTGAAAGCATAGAGCGTATAGAACGAAGGCAAGTCTTAGCAATTCTACACATTTTGGATACATGTCGCCAGTAAAGCGGCGAGCCCTGTCGTCTAGGTTTTCTCAGGAACAAATTATTGAAATCCACAAAGTGATAACCACGCTGTCTCTTTGCACACTTACCGTTCGCGTTTGTAGATTATATTCATCCCCATGCATCAATGCAGCTACTAGCTACTTCACTCTACATGTTATTGTTACAAGATAGTCACCATGCCTATACCAGCCGGCCTCGAGCATTGCTGTCATTTACAGTCAGGAAGCTGTAAGCTTCGTGAAGGTCCTGCTCAGGGAATATTTGGCCATGTCAGAGATCTCTTTGATGCCGTCAAAGCTGCTTCTTCACTGGAGACAACATGAGCAACAGAACACATCGACAATTCGAATGCCTCCCATCAAGCAAACGGGGCTTGCCCACGAGGACCTGTCGTTCGCGTTCATCGAGTTGATCCTGGACTGGTATGTGAAATCATTCTACTATACAACCTCGCGCCACTTGACAAAGTCGTGCCCAGCACGTCGAGAGATTAAACAAGAAGGTGGTGCTAGCCAAGCACGAGAAAGAGATTGATGTATGTACTGACGGATCATCTATTATATTGCTGGTCGTATGAGTGGTAGCTGGTCGGTAGACCGTCATGTCAAGCATACAATCGTTTGGTATATCTGTCAAAGACATCAGCGACGCATAACGATAGCACGTTATCATCACCTACGAATGCAAACCATGAACACCCCCCTCCACCTGTGCACTCGCCGTTCTCATTTCAAACCTGACACGACCCTTCATCACGCCTTCCTGAAGATCCGTAATGCTGCGCATGCCGATGTCCTGAAGACTGTGCTGGACACCAACGTATAGGTATTGGATGAACGCCTCGATGCTGCCCTTATCTTGCACATCGCCCGATACGCCCTGTGCAACCTTGACTGCGGATGACTCGGAGAAATAGCGCGTCGTAGCAGCGTTCTCGTGTGGCTCGTTCGAGGACTGGAACGCCTGTTTTGTGGAGCCGTTGACCTGACCTGACGCATTCGATTTACCCTCTTCCATAGCTTCAAGGCTACCCATGCCTCGGTAAGACTTTACTCGCTTCCCATCGTGGTAGAAGTACTCTCCTGGTGCCTCTGTGGTACCCGCAAGAAGCCCTCCCATCATGACACCGCTCGCACCAAGGGCAAGTGCCTTGACAATGTGCCCCACGTTGCCGATACCACCGTCCGCAATCACGGGAACACCAAACTTGGACGCGAACTCAGCAACAGCGAACACAGCCGTGGCCTGTGGGCGACCTGCAGCCATAACCTCTTGGGTGATACAAATGGAACCACTACCCATGCCAACGCGCAGGGCATCTGTCCCTGCGGCAATTAGGTTGGCAGCCTGTTCACGGGTGACAACGTTGCCTGCGATAACCTCGAGTTTTGGGAACGTTTGCTTGATCCACTTAATCATGTCAATCTGAAAAACGGAATTACCCTGAGACGAGTCGAGGATGACGATATCAAGGCCAGCCTCGACGAGGAGCCTGAGGCGGTCTTTGTCGCTAGGTCGCGTGCCGACGGCCGCGGCGGCATACAGTTGCTTGCTATGATCCTTGCTAGCTAGCGGGTAATTTTGGTTTTTGAGAAGGTCAGAACGGGCGAGGAGGGAGGTGAGGCGACCCTGTTCGTCGACGATGGGGAGTTTCCCCTTTTTGGAGGCAGGAGGATTTGGTTGGCTTCTGTCAGTGTAACGCCTTGAGGCGCAGTGACAAGAGACGTGGTCATGACATTATGGAGGGGTGCCTCAGGAGACTCAAACTGCACGTCGCGCGAGGTAACGATACCGACAAGTTTAGCTCCCAAAGATCCAGTTTCTGAAGAGCATAGGCATCAGGTTCAAGGGACGGAGGAGATGGCGTACTTGTGATAGGGATTCCGCAAAATCCAAGACGCGCCTTGATATCGAGCATGTCTGCAACGGTGTGATTGGGAGAGAAGACGATAGGATCCGCGATGAAACCATTCTCGTGCCTTTTCACGGCTTGAACCATGGCTGCTTGAGAAGCGGGGGACTGGTTGTGATGAATGACACCGATACCACCTAGCAGGGCGAGACTAATAGCCATGTTTGTCTCGGTGACAGTGTCCATAGGGCTACTCATGAAAGGAGTCTTGAGAATGACATTCCGAGTTATTCTGGTCTCCGTAATGACATCGGAAGCAGGAAAATCGATCTTTCCAGGAAGCATAAGGAAGTCATTGTATGTGAGACCACCATGGACGCGAGAGTCCATGAGATCCTTGGCTGAGAGGCCATCTAATCGTTCGTAAGTTGCAAGATGAGCAACAGCCTCTAAGGGAGACAGGAGAGCGCCCGCCATTTTTACTTTGGTCGCTAATTTACCATGTCATCGGTAAATTCCGAAGTACTGTAGAATTAAGGTTCAAGCCACACTTGCCCAGTCTTCGATCCTAAACTTACAAGCCCGCGCTCGACAACATCCTCAAGGCTCAAAAATGGGTGCGTCATCGTCGTTTGTATTCACTAGAATGCTCACCGTCTTCAAACAGTCCGCTACGCCGCCGCCGCTCTCGCCACCAATCCCGAAAAAGGTCTGTGTTGCACTTTGATATCGAACCCAACACTCATATAGCTGTTTGGTCTCGTTCAGCCGCCCGTGCTCGGGGCGAGTACCTCCGTACGCACTTCAAGAACATGAGGGAAGTTGCTGCAGCCCTCACAGGTCAGTGTCCAAGTCATGGTGATGGTGATGGGTATAAACCATATGATCGATTCAGGCTTGAAACTTACCAAGGCCTATGCCTACCTATCTGACGTCTCGGACCACAAACAAGTCATCCCTTTCCGTCGATTCGCTGGTGGTGTCGGACGGGCCAGCCAAGCCAAGCAATTTAAGGCAACCCAGGGTGCGTCTCGTGATATCAGACAAGTGGGCGGCGCAAATTTGACCTTGGTGATATACTATAGGTCGTTGGCCCGAGAAATCCGTCAAGTTCATCACTCGCCTCCTTAAAAACGCAGAGTCGAATGCAGACGCAAAGAGCCTAGAGCTCGAGGACCTTTACATCAAGAACATCGGCGTCCAGCAAGCACCCGTACGTATATCTCACTCTAAATTCCAGTTGATATAGTAATCTTGTTGACACCTCATAGAAAACTCGCCGCCGCACGTACCGTGCACACGGTCGTATCAACCCTTACCAGGGCCACCCATGCCACGTCGAGATCATTCTGGGTGTTTCAGCTGAGGAGGTCGAGCGGAGCAAGGATAAGGACGCTGTTGGCGTGTCATCCTTGTCGTCGTTAAACCGGAGACAGGTTGCCAGAAGGAGAATCGAGGCTGCGCGCGCTTAATGTCATTATCCCACATATTCGACACGGCTGGTGATGCGACGATATGCGACAGCACAAGGGCCATGTTTTGTATGCACCTATGCATATGTTATGACACTACACAATCTCATCCGAATCGCATTCAAAACTGATATATTGAGCAAATGAACAAGTGTGTGAGCAACTACAGCGCGATAACAGGAAAGGTAATGAGTGGACGTGTTTATACGTATACGTGGTCAACGAAAGCAAGCGAAGCAAATGAATGTGTGGACTGAAAATTATAAGCCAGTTAATAAAACGTTGGAACGAAAAGCAACAAAGCATCGACAATAAAAATGTACATGGTGAATGAAAGCAGACTAATGTGTACAGACTGAATCATAAGCCAGCCAATAAAAGATCGAGAGCAATGGTAAAGCGTCCACAAGAAAAACGAATATTGTTGTTACACATAGACACTGCATTTCCGGTTTATCTTCTTCCCTAGACGCCGACTTGAGAGGGTCGTGGGTTCATGAACGTCTAGAGCAGGATACAGAATCATACCTTTTGTCATAGAATATGTCCTCCCATTCCGCTTCCGGGCGACTGAGGTAAGAGCAGATGACCTCCTCTATCCATTGGCAGACGTAATCCACACGCTGGATGTAATAGGGGGCATGACATCTCTCCATATCTGTCACAACGTCAGTACTGACCAAGAGGCATACGAGCAAAAAACATACCTCTGATAGCTCGCGTGAGAGGGCGGTAACGCCTTAGGTTGATGAGCTTATGTCCCGGCGCATTTGGGTGGTCTACGCGTTCCTCGTTACCACACTGGCGCTTCACGTCGCCTACAAAAAGAACTGCATGAAGGTATCGTTAGAGGCAGGGGTCAAGTCATCAGTGTCTTTAAATGTACCAAGGGTTGGGAGAGTGGGTCCATCGCTACTTTGGATCGCGTCCTTGTAGGCCTTCATGCGGTTTGTGTAGCTGAAAAAGAGGCGCAGGGCGAGTAGAATCTCTTCATGCCTAACACCGATGTTCTGCGAAGTAACGTGAGTGAGAAGACAATATCATAATCTTAGGTGCATACCGACAAAGAGCCAACCAAACTCTGTCTGTCGCACGCGGAAAACAATGCCCATGAACCAGCGTAGTTTCTGATGATGTGGCATTCCTGCAAGTAAAAGGACGCGTCAGGGGAGGCCATGATTATATGACGAAAAACTGACCCGTGCCCACTCCAAGATAAACTGAACCTTCTCGATACGATCCTCCATCGACTGCGCAGACACGATGACGTCCAGTGCCCAAAGGTGAAGGGCCTTCTCAAAAGAAGCATAAGTGGTCACCTTCGTGCCAGCGTCATTGGAAATGCCATAAGTGGATTTTCCGGTTGCCTCCTCCACCCAAAAGCGCGCAGCATCCTCGGGCTGGAAGTCCTGGTACTTCTCCCACAAGATGACGGTGAGTTGATGGGTCAGGAGTTCCATTCCTTGAGGAGAATCGAAGTTGGACAACTTGATCTTTGCAAACTCCCCCTTAACCATTGCCTTCTTATCGCGAGGTTCCCATAAGCTACGGAACTCTTCAGCTGGCGAAGAGCCTTGAATGAGTTGAACCGTCTTCTCGAGGCGACGTCCGTTGTATTCGTTAGCGCACGCGGCGTTGTGCAATGTGTCGATAAGTTTCGAGGAGACATTGCGGGGGAGATCTCGAGAGAGATCAGAGAATACGAATTGCAGGAGAGGCGCGAAGACCTCTTGATCTTCCGAGTGGCGCCAATGAAGATCGACCCACTGGTTAAGCAAGCGAGCTACACGCATCTTGACGTGCATGGACTGAATGGGAACTTGGTCGGGAGACGAGCAACTAAACAAATTCTCCTTGTATCGCTCTATGAAAGCCTCGAGAACGAGTGTTGGAGTCGAGAAGTAGCGGAAGCAGAGGAAGAAGACATCTGGGAGCTCCAGGTCATCATCGGAGACTGCAGATGTTAGATACCTGACAAGGCCCTTCAACGAGGCAAGCTGAAGAACACCGTTCCTGTCCAGGAAGAGGTCCGTACTATCATCTGGGTGAGGGAAGGAATTCTCCAGCTTGCTGTCAAATAACTCGGGAAAGAGGGCAATCGAGTCCCTGATACTCGCAGTTGCGCGAGCATGCCCTGCGCGAGTCGCGAGCTTCTCGATAGATACCACTTTGTCCGCCTTCAAAAATGGCTGCGAGATCTTGCGGCGCAAGTTGAATGAAAGTGGCCCAAGGATAGCGGCCAGTCCCCGTTTCGTGCGTTTGACCGCTGGGGGCTTGACAAGAGAACCCATTTCGTCTACCTCTTCAACACATGTCCTGTCCGTCGATGATCTTTCACTGGTCTGGTGAGTATCCCCTGACAGTAAAGAATTTCGGCGAGCTCCATAGAACTGGTCGCCATCAGCTTCCGCTTCTTCCGCTTTTACCCCATCTACCTCCCCCGCTTCAACGTCCTCTTCACATTCTTCGGGAGTATCAGGAAGGGGCTTTAGTTGACGCATCTCGCGCTCGGCAACTTGCATGAGCCTTTTCAGGCTAGACATGACAGCACCTAAACATCCAAGAGTCTTCCAAGTAAATTGCCTCCTGCAACCCAGTTCGAAGTCCTTGTTGTCAAGGAGCTGGACATGACTCATGAAGAGCAGCTTGTAGTGCTGGACTCCGCACTCCGCGTTCCTGTAGCCTGAAGCGTTTAGAACGTCCCGTGGGAGCCGCGACATCGACCGTAAAATCGTAGTCAAGCTGCGAAAAAAGGTCGGCGACAAAGAACGGATTGATTCGATGTCCTGTGCGTCTGCGGCTTCGCGGAGAAGTCTGGCAGAACCGAGGATCATTTGGAACGTTCCTTCGATGTCGAACTGTGGGGCATTGGGGGAAGATATGCAGGTCGACGAAACAGCGAGGTTGTCATTGGTGGTGCTGTCCGACTTCTGCGTAGGAAATTCTCCAGGGCCAAGTACGATGACTTGGGGTTCTGGTTCTAGTGCGAACCGAGGAGCTGCTTTCCGTTTGATAGTGCGAGGCTTCGAGGGGCTTGGGGTTACTGTGTTGTTCATTGAGATGATACAGGTATCAATGCCAATAATATGCGAGAGCAAGTGGTTTCAGATAGCATCAAGTTTTTATAGTGAGGCTCTAGATTGCCACCCATTGTTTAGCTGTGGACGTTGTGAACTTTAGTTTTGATCCACAAGTCAGTTTTGGCATGAGGAAGTATGTCCACACTTGAGGACAGTGCAACAACTTGTATCCACAGTCAAAGCCACGAAACTTCTTCGTTGAGGCACATTTTTATATTCTGCGAAGGGAGATTATAGGTCTTAAGCCTGAACTTTCAAGCAGAGATCCTTTGAACATGGTAATATCAGATGCCACACTTTCATTCTAAGTAAGGCGTACCAGTATCAACTTCAGAGTGACCTACTAGTAGTCACTAGCAAGATCTGAGGTCATCATTCAGGTGCATAACGCACCGAGTCCTATGCAATTTTTAAAGTTAGTCACCGGTTACACGAGCCCACCATTGCGTGCTATACTTGTAGCCTACGTAAGTTGGATTTGATGATGATGGGTTGAATGGCGCAATTGAATGTGATTGCAAGCACTCTAGTAGTAGCAATGTTAATAAAGCGCTTAAAGGTCCAAGTTGGCAACCGGTTGTATTATAATCACATGCCGGTTACCTGTCACCGAGGGAACTGACCGAGCGCCCATAGAAAAGCGTCGTATATGTAGTCTCGGGATTCTCTTACCGGTGCAGAGTCACCCTCAGCACTCAACGCATTAGTTTGCTTGCCCAGCCCACAGACCTTTGTTCATCACGCATACACCCGTTTCACATTCTCATACCAGGCTCACTGTTGCTTTGTATACATCTCAAAGCGAACCGAGTATACCAGGAGCATTCAAGATATAATCCAGGCAGAATGATTACAACTGCATTGACCAAACTTCTGGGCATCCGTGTGTAAGTTAATGTACGTTTGCTGTTCGGAAGGCATATTTACGACTTGTTCCACTGTCGATAGCCCAGTAGTACAAGGGGGTATGCAATGGTAAACGTCATTCGTGCCGGTGAAGTTCTGTTAAGAATGATCTGATTGTTGTGCGTAGGGTCGGAAAACCTCCACTTCCTGCTGCCGTGTCGAATGCGGGAGGTCTTGGTGTGCAATACTGTTCGCTTCTCAGCGGCATCCGCTAAATTTGCTGTAGGATTAATCACCGCACTCACCCAGCCGGATCCTGAAGCGTTGCGCACTGTGATTCGTGAAACACGCGCAGCAACTGACAAGCCCTTTGGCGTAAACCTGACGATTCTACCCTCGATTAACCCACCAGACTACGAAGGTTTCGCGCGTGTAGCTGTAGAAGAGGGCGTCAAGATATTTGAAACAGCAGGGAACAATCGTGTGTAATCTCATGTTCCCATCAGTCACAATGATTTTGACACAACTCATAGCGGGAAAGCTCATCGAGTTCTTCAAGTCGCATGGATGTATTGTAATACACAAGTGCACTACGATTCGACACGCCAAGGTTCGCTCCCCGTTTAATCAGACTACGCTGCATATTTCATGGCTAAAGCGGGCATGCAGTCCGCAGAACGACTGGGCGTTGATGTTGTGAGTATAGACGGTTTCGAATGTGAGTCTTTCGTCTATATGTTTGAATTTGATCGCGACACCTAACGACATGGTCAGGTGCTGGTCACCCTGGGGAGGAGGACATCGGTGGCCTTGTTCTGGTGCGTTTTATCACCGGCCATGTCTATCATTACACAGTAACAATTCGCAGCTTGCAAGAGCTGCGCAAGAACTCAAAATACCTTACATTGCGTCGGGTGGAATCGGAGATAGCCGTGGATTGGCTGCTTGTCTCGCACTTGGTGCCGCTGTGAGTATTGTACCTCCCCCATCATAATGTTATTGATCACATGCACGTACAGGGAGTGAACATGGGCACACGATTCATGTGCACGGTTGAGAGGTACGGTAGTAACACTGCAACTCCATACCCTTCTCACTTGTGCTGTTCAGCCCTATCCACCAAAATATCAAAGAGAAGATTGTCGCCTCCACCGAATATGATACCACCCACATATTCCGTACTTTGAACAACACCTCACGTGTTTTCAAGAATGTAGTCTCACAGCAAGTCGTCGCCATCGAGCGGCGGCCAGGTGGGGCGAAGTTTGAAGACGTCCGCGACCTTGTTGCTGGCGCACGAGGCAGAATTGTATTCGAGAACGGTGATCCTGACTATGGGATCTGGACTGCAGGTCTTGTACTTGGCTTAATCAAGGACATCCCGACGTGCGAAGAGCTCTTGTCGCGTATAGAGAGGGAGACAGAAGAGATTATCGGTGGGATGGCCAAGCTGGTCAAGGCGAAGGCTAAGTTGTAATGTTGTATACCTGGTTATTGTGATATTATCTTGCCGTTCATTTTTCGTAAGTACGTGATAAGTAGGCAGCCAGTCGATAAAGCGCCTTGACAAATTTATCGACCCTTGTGGAATTATGGGTGGTGCTGCGGGGGGGAAGCCTGCGGGAACGTTAGTGTCGATGATGTCATGCAGTACAGGGTGCGGGGCAATATCATATGCTACCTGCGAGGCACATGCTGCCTATAGCCTTGAGGTCCCGCCAAAAAAACGCGTGTCCCAACTTAAGCGAGGTGAAATGAGGATTCTCGCCTGGGGTTTCGCCCTACTGGAGCCAGCGCCGGATGCGAGAAGTACGATTTTGCAGTCATTACCTCTACAGCAACTCACGAATTTTGCAACTAAAATATTGTCCGTTGCACAGCACGGTATTATACCACGCGTTACGCGTCTATAACGGACCTACTCACCGCATTTTCGTGCTCCGCGACAATCAAAATTTAAGTATCACGCACAAATGATTATTTCTTTTGACGAAGTCTGGTGTAGCACATGTACATAGTATACGGTGTACGAGTTGATTGAGCGCCGGGGGGCGACTCGTGTCGCGTAGTCAGAGACTGGTGATATCTATGCATTGTAGTGTCGGTAAGCACTTGGACTCCGCGAGAGTCCTGTCTTTCAGATGAGTCAGTTTCGCCTCCGCGTTGGAGGTAAATATTACTTGTGCTACTATATTGATTTTTGCTGTCTGTTTTACTGGCTCAGTGATCTTTTCATTCGCGAGTGCTCAGAATATTACGACACTTGAAATATAAGGTAAGTCAGAGACGTAGCAGCCAGCGACTATGTACTAGTTAGTTCGGATGGGGGAAACAAGGCATGGATCTGGCAGATTTGACCTCGGAGTCCTGACTCAATTCGAAGCTGAATATCGAACAACATGCGCATGATAGTATTTGTTGAGCTAGTTACAATATTGAACAGGGGAGGCAGCTTGTCTATGACAACAGTGGTTGTAATTGTTCAAGATTCCATGTACATATAGTATAAAATCATGATTGGCAGTGCGTTTCAAGTTACCCTTGACTCACCCGCGCGGGTTCTTTTACGCAAAAAAATCCAATTGTACTCTGAGTTTGATGCGACCACCGCGTGTAGTAGGCACAGCCCAGTGATGTGAGTGATCGTTTAAGATTGCCTTTCCGATGAATCGCGCGTCTAAAATGGCCGGCAGGAATGGCAGACTGGTGGGATACGCCTTACACCAGGGCATTCGTGGATTCAGGGGTGCGAACAGGGCACCGGGGGCCCTTAGACTAGACCGTAATGTCCTACATAGAGTCTGCTCTGAAAGGACACAAATTGCCAGAATTAAAATAAATAAAAAAGATTGCCTTGGCGGTCCTGGCAACTTCAAGGTATACGTTATTTCTGGGCCTTTGTGAACCATTTGTAGGTGCTGTACTATCTTCTCACTGCCTTATAATCGAACTGCGGCCATCACGAACGTTTCCTTTAAATTGTTACGGTGACTACCTATAGTAGGTGTCATTGTTTCTCAATACCATGGAAAGCGAAACTCGAGTAGTTTGCCCGGGCCAGCCTTGCAAAAGTATAAATATGAGACCAGTCAGAGGTGAGTAGTACCCATCAACATACTCTTAATAATTCACCAAATAGCCAGACCATGATGAGATTATACCGCTACATCATGTCTTCCTTCTGGAAGTACTTTGTTACTTCACCAGCTTCAGAACAGGGTGGCCCGGTGTTACCAGAAACTCTGGGTAGGTGCTACGTCGCCGATGTCACTGAGGGCTAACTTAGTCCCGGACACCAGCTACTGCCCAAACCGGCGTTGAACCCAGCTCTAGTGAAAACTCATCATCTGGAGGACCCATGTCGCTTCGGTTCGATTCAACAATGACGAGTGCCAGTGGTAGTAACTCGTACTATTCCGAGGCTTCAACCGGTACAGATGGTCCCGCGACCCAAACCAGGTCAAATGCTTCTACAGGCATGTGCATGATGTTCTTACCTACAGTTCAACACTGACGCCACACAGCACCACCCCCGGCTCAGAATACTGGTCCACATGCACCACTGGGTGAAGACATAGACTGCGTTTTTTTTCGATTCCAACTCGTATGTTGGGTCACCAACGATAAATATTGACTCAGACGATGCGACTGGAGCAAGTGAGCGACACAATTCTGAACTCGTTGCTGTTGTATACTGATCAGTCCTCTAGCAAACAACACTCCCGATGGCACGTTCCGACCATAGCGACCACCGTCTGCGAGGGCTTATTCCCCTCAAATGACTCACGCCCGAAGGCGTGAGCGTGTTACGTGTTGCGGCTCTGGCACAGTAGTGGATAACCTCACCGTTAACATCCGGTCTGCGCGTGCTTCTGGTACTAGTGAGTCCACTTGTTGATGTGATATGAACTCTGTATTGATTGGATTATTCAGTTAATACAGTCGTTCCTAGTCGCACGAACCTACTGAGTGACTGAAGATATCAGCCTGGAGAGTGTACATAAATTACAAGTGGCTGGAAGTGTCTTAGCGAACGCATGTTAGCAGTTCTGCATGAGAGATTGAATACGGGTCTGTCTTAAAGGTGGTTCTTAGAATGCGATGGAGCTTGTTTAACACGAATGCAGGGTCCTTCAAACTCATTGGCAGCTGAAGAAGGCGAGAAAAGGTAACTCACAACGACCGAAGATAAATTACTTTTCCATTGCTCGGCTCATTGTTGAACATGGTGCTTCAAGCTAAGTATTGACTCCGCATAGACGTGTTCCCATGAATAAGTTTGAAGATCGCTCGGTTGCTTCAGATCCTTCCATTATAATCGTGAAGAATGGACGAAGCCAACCTAACCGCTTTGTTAGATTTGACCTAGCGAGCAAGCTGAAAAACATGGTTCATAATGATCGGCAAACATATTGAAGACCAGTTTAACAGGTTGTCGTCGTATTGTTCCCGATTGCCAAATTTCGTCGTGAAGAAACAGGAGACGAGACATCCAGTTTTTACTTCGTATAGGTATGATGTGTCTCGTAGACTATGGCACCTCAAAGACGGAGGACAAATTTACTCAAGTAGCTACAAGTTGCGGGAATTCCATGCCTAAAGATAGAGATCGTTCAAATGATAGGCATCGAGAACATTAATGGACTCACCACATCTCGTATAAAATCCGCTGCGCAGAGCCGCTGATATATGACCGCAACAGCATCAAGATTGCAGTGCATTTCATAATATTCTAAAACAACCTTTCTTCGCCTTGCCCACGCCCATTTCTCGGCGCCGACTGCCGTATAATGATCCCAGTTCGGTCTACAAAGTAACCACCACAAAACTGTCGTAGGCCAAGGAAACGGATTGAATGTCTTGCCTGTACCGTTCGTACGCGCCCAAGAGAAACAGTGTACGTGCACCGAGCGAGAGAGCTGTTCTTGTAGCTTGTCGTTATATGTATCTGTGGGCGTAGCTTTAATGGTAAAAGATGAGGCAGAACCGGTAAGGACCGGCTCTATGAGTTGAAGGATGTATGCAACCTTACGACAAGCTTGAGTAGAAAGATAGTAGAAAGATAAAAAAATCAAGGTGTACTTACTTGCATTTCCACAACAAATATCCCTGATGTTCCGAGTTGTGATCCTGTATTCGGTCCTGTTATTATTACCTCAGGCGACAGCTGATAACGACATGCTCCCCTCTGAACTCACCATTTATCAAGTAAAAGTTTGGTGTGTCTGGAATTGCAGTCCCGATGTATGCGGTAGGGCCACCATGGGCATCATAATAGCCTTGGACAATGGCTCCATTCAAGCCTCGAGCATGCATCGGGTACCGCTCCTGTTTCCGCAGTTTGCATCGAATGGAATGTTGGATCATGTATAGCAACTCACGCCAATGAATCCGGTTGCGTATATAATGACATCAAATGGTAACATTTCGCCTAAACTGATGTGAGGAAAGTGATGATATCATTGACAATTCTCACACACCAGTTTTTGTGACAATGCCATTCTCCACTATCTCGGCGATTCCGTCGAAGTTCAGTTTCACGTTAGAGCGATAGAGACTTTTCAGGAAACCACTGTCCGCGACTGATATAAGGAAATAAGAAAGAAAATAATGAATCAGTCTGATTACTGTTGACGAACCGGTCCGCTTGCAACCTGGAGCTGTGGAACATGTGAGCACAAACAAAACTCCTTGATCAGACGCGTACGATGATCAGGAATCATATGAGAATGGTATCTATCCGGTGTGTTATCGAGGATGTATTTCGTCATCGCCTGAGTAGAAACGTTAGATCGAATACACGGTCTCGAGACCCCTGCTCACGTCACGTTGTTTCTGGAGATCCTCATCACCCATGGGTGAGTGAAAGGGATTAACGTACTGTGACAAATGTCAACAGGCTAAAATTCTGTGATGCAGGAGGCCTGACCCAGAATGCGATCCAAGCTCAGTACAGTCGCATCACTAGGGGGATGCTAGCAAATATCCATTTCGCAGTGTCGGAGTACGGAATACGTGGCTTAGACGTTTTGTTCAGTTGTTGAATCATTGAACATAACATAAAGAATCTCACTCGAGTGTTGAACCAGGTCGGGGTGCGGATGAAGTTTACTACTTCGACAGATGGATCTTCAGATATAGCTGGCACGAATTGTGCTCTTGTCGCATGTCTGGATCACCATATAATGGATACGCAGAAGTCATGTAACTCACCCGGAAGAGGCATTTCCAATCACTGCAACACACTTATTCTGCAGATCTATTGAACTTGGCCACCGTGCGGAGTGAAACGAAACCCCCTGAAACTTCCGAACTCCAGGGATCTCGTATGGCATCTTTGGCGCCTCCAAAATGCCAAGTGCAGATATTACAGCGTGGGCCACACTCGTCGTCCTCTTGCCTGAAAAGACATCTTCTGCGACGATGGCGTATTGTTGTTTAGCATCCTCCCACTCGGCAGATAACACTTTTGTATTGAACGCGATATGTGAATATAGATTATATTTCTTCGAGAGCTTAATCCAGTAGGCTTGAATCTCCGGCTGAAGGCCATGAGACTTGTTCCAGTATGGGTAGAGATCTGTTGATAAGCTGTACCAATGAATTTCGACATCCGACGAACATCCCTAAAACAAGCTTTGAGGTGAGGGATGTGCTGCAGCTTCAGTCGTTGACAATATATACAGGATATGTGTTGGCCTGTGCAAACAAATGTCAGCAGAACGTTTGGTACATGTCACATGAGAACAACGTACCCTCCATACTCCACCGACTTCAGACCCTTTCTCATATATCTATTGAACTACTCAGCGAGCACACTACTCGTTGCATGGATGCACCCACTGTGAAATTGTGAAAATTAAGCTTGGTCTTGAGTGCAATAGCTTGGGTTAACCCGGCAATACTAGGCGCGCGGTCCAATGTTCAGTTGGTATAGAATCAAGTCAAAAGCAATACTTACCCGGTGCCGATGATGGCAACTCTCCGCTGAATCTCACTCATGTTAAAAATAATGACTCTCAAGACTCTGAATATTCCTTTAATACTCTCTCACCTGGGTATACCGGTTAGCTAGGCAACACCGAACGAGGTCATCTGGTTTATCAAGCCTTATCGAGGAAGTTGCTTGTCCTAAGTGGGAGATACCTTGTGCCTCGGACTCTGGTGCCCTTACATAACTGCGGGCTTATCGCCAGAAAGTTATGCGGGGTTTAAATCCCGCCCGATGTGTTGTAGGGCGAGCGGAGTTGCAATATTGATGTGCCACCCCGCCTCCCGAGCTCTATTCTTCCCGCCCTCCCATCCGCCACCTGTTTATGTACTCACCGCATATCATTACTTTTTTCTTCTGCGCACTAATATTTCAGTAGACAGTACCTGGATCCTCTGTATCCTCCTACTTTCCAACACCTCCCGCTAACTTCTTGTGCTTGTTGCTATATGCTATTACTCTCCAGCAGCACATACTGTCCTCTCACCCGCATTAAGGGTTCTCATAACTAATGGAACCATTGAACGCCCCCTCTCGCGTGCTCTCGTACCGTCTTACATGGGCCCTCCCACAACTCCTTGTGTCTGATCTGCACTCTTGCACGCCCATGTCTCGACTATCCAGTTGTGCCCCGACACCTCCCGCCCACTCATGTGAGCTTCATGGTGCCCCCGCTCCCGTCTCTATCATGGTATTCATGGTTTAAATTAGTTCATGCTTGGAGCAATTCAAATTTGATGTATTTGTGGACTTCTTCATACCAAGTGTGACTTGGGCAGACAAAATTCAACAATCCATTGATACGATATAACCATACCACACACCGCCCACCCATGATGAGCACGCGCTGTTTTGGGATCATGAGTCACCATCGAGCAGCGTTTGTGTACTAGGACTTGCTGCCAACTCGCCCGCCGCCATGGTTGTGATCGAAGATATTTCCTGCCCGTTTTCTTTCGTACTCGTTCGCTTCCTTAAATTTCATCCCTTCACTCTTGTTCTACTATATAGGCCTACCCGGTAATCGCTGCTGGTTAACGACTGCCATTAACCACAGTGACTTTCATACTCCACTTGGAAGTGCCGATCGGTCTTAAGACAGGCATTGTATCTGTAAGGTAGTTCGGGAAGCTACGATTTTCCACCCGCCATTCCACAGGATGACGAACAGTATATGCCAGTGACAGCCTTCCTTCCTAACGAAGAGATAATTGGCAATCCCACTTTTGCTGTCTGCCCTTTCGGCGTCGTGGTGGATAAAGAGTGGGTGTTGTTGTTCGAGCCTGTTGGTGTATTTCCCCTGCCAAGCTAATGAAACCAATCAAAAGGGGTCGAGATCATCGACATAAAGCCTACGTCTCATTGGTTATCAAGGGTGAAGTTATTATCACTGGCACTGGCATGCGTCAGACTGTTTGGCTATCTGTTAACTCACGGGGCGACCACCAGCGATCGTGACCACGTTACGAATAACCTTAGTGTAATAACAATGCCATACTTGTCGGTCTTGCCAAACATGACGATCATTTCGTCTGCTGCTGCGAGTACGGACCTGGTCAAGTTGTATACAGTCGGTCCATCATGATTGTGTGAGTCTGATATTTTAAACTTACAGTCAATACTTCCCCATGATTTGACTCCTGTAGCATCCAATGAGTCTTCAAGGCCATCACGCGACAATGTTCAGGAGATGAAGTGGGTTTGTCGTTCTGTGATCTCCCTTAAGATATTCCCAGAAGTCACAGAACGGCAAAACTTCAATACGTACTGCATCTTGTACCGACTAGAACCGTTTCGGAAGGGTCGCGATTACCGAAGAGCTTGGGCCAGTGGTACTTACATCCATTGTCTTTAAAAACATCATGACAATGATTGAAGTACCATTTTCGCACCGAACCCCTTCTTGTCTACTATGATGACGTCCTCATTCACCGTACATCTTACATAAATGAGAGATCGAGTTCACTGTACGGCACCGGAGGATCAAGGGCTATGATAGTTTCCAAGCAACACCGCAGAAGATCAATATGCTTAGACTCGGGCCCTACCAGCCAATTCTGACGACTCGCTCGATGAACTAGTACAGGCAAAAAGATGCACCACAACGCAAGTGCTAGTTCTTTCAAGGTGACAAAAAGAACAAAGGCTTGTTTGTGAATCGAGAATCACCGTGCACAGCTTGAGTATCACTGGTCGCCAAAATGGCTGGCACGTTGATGTAGTTTTCCAGATCCTAGTACGTTCGCAATAAAATGGTGCAGAAAACAAAACCACATGCCACGGAGTAAGGTCGGCAGGGCCGAACTCTAGTAAGTAACTTCTTTGTTTGGCTAGCAGCGTGTTACGTGAATGTAATTGGGGAAGGAACATCTGATTAATTCGTTATAACTGATTGATGTCCAATCCACCATTACAAGGCATCTTCCACCTAGTACCTTTCCCCTATCAGCCAGATATGTGCTATCTTCCCGCGATATTTTCGCATTCGCAAAGCGGCTTGGATTTGGATTCGAAGGTCGACAGATCTTCTGATGGAAGCGTTCAGCCGTGCTTTGATCCACGAGGTACTGTGAAATTGAAAGTCGCGGGGGTTCTCGAGGGTGCTCGGCTTAACATGATGATTCGGTCGAAAGAAAGTCGAGTTATCGGTGGGATGTTGGCAAGGTAATCCTTGGTGCTGGCGATGCCTGTAGCCTAGTATCATGCCTACATAGTCATATATGTATGATTTAAAGTAGCTCTTTGTGCAATGGCATGGATACCCTCCGAGAGGCTCCGAGGGTAAGGTTGGCGTAATGAAAACAGGATTACAAAAAGTTTACGAGCATGTTACAGCATGTTACTTGCGTTACGCCCTTGCAAGGGTTTTGTGCAACGCTGTTTTCTGCGCAACCTTGCCGCAGCTGGTCTTGCGTTGCTCCAACGAATTGGTCGCTCACCATCTTCGTCCATAAAATATCTGCCATATCTTCTTCAAACATTGGTCAGTATTGACCGGACTGCTATATCCGTGTAATCTAATTTTGAATCGTCGTCTCATGGTCATTGCCATCTTCACAGCATAGCGCTCAAGAATACCCCACTCAACCTCAACTTGAGAGAGACCTTCTTTCTTTGTTCGCTCACCATCCTGGCATTTACTTCACAACTACTGACGAGCACCCTGGCTGCTCTAGATGTCGAACGAGCAGCAAACACAGACCGTCCGAATCACTGGTGAGTACTGCATGATTATCTGTACTACAATGACTGCTGATCTGCGCACGCCCAGTCCTTGCCGCCAACTCCCTTGTGAAACGAGAGGTTTTCAGTCTCCCAGACCCATTCGCTGTCGTCTCCGTTGACACCGATCAGACATACACCACCAGTCCTGTGAAAAAGAGTCTGAGCCCAACTTGGAACCAGCACTTTGATATGTGAGTTATCTCGCTGCTATTATATCAGTATTAAACATGTTTCGTAGCACCGTTCGGCCATCTTCTACTATCACAATCCAGATATTCGACCAAAAGAGATTCAGAAAGCGAGATCAAGGTTTCCTAGGGCTTGTTGAGCTTACTGGCCAACAGGCGATAGACCACACGGCCAACAGTTACAGTACTCATAATCTCCACCTCCAACACCCCAAGCTGACACGATACTTCTTCAGGGCTTATAACTCACGACCTTCGCCAATCGTCTACTGGAGTATCTGTCTACGGGAAGATGCTATTTTCGTTCTCGCTTCCGCCAGTCACGAATACTCCGTCGGATGCAGGACAAAGCAATCTATCACCTAGTGTATCATCAAACAGGTGTCTGCGTTCCCGTCAGAGCACACCCATGCTTCGCCCCGAGTCCTCAACAAGGGTACCCACTCTTCCCCGTGTCCCATCTCTCGGTCCCCTTGTTAACCGCCGAGGTTCAACTTCCAACCCAGACTCCCGAATCTCGTCAGATAGTGCAACAGCATTAACCAGACCTCCTGTAGCTGTTGCACGTGAGCCTTCTCATTCTACCTCCAGTACTGTGGACGACGAAGACGAAGCACCCCTCCCTCGAGGATGGGAGCGTCGTCTTGACGAGCGAAGCGGTCGAGTCTATTACGTTGACCACAATAGAAGGATGACCACATGGGCACAGCCCGCAGCCACACCTTCTGCATCTTCTGTTCGTGCTCCATCAATCTCGGCGCCGCAGCCGCACGTTCAGAGCCCTACTCGCAGCAGCGGTGGCTATGTAGATGTCCCCCTACCGGCAGGGTGGGAAGAGCGTCGAACGCCAGAAGGACGTCCTTACTTCGTTGACCATCATACACGCCTGACGACATGGATAGACCCACGTACAGTACAGGTCGCTCCCTCCGCTATCTCTGCGTCCACGAGCGCGAATGCGAATATGGGTCCCCTGCCATCAGGTTGGGAGATGCGCCTCACCTCCACTGGCAGAGTGTACTTTGTTGATCACAATACCCGCACCACGACCTGGGATGATCCAAGATTACCCTCGAATCTGGATTCTAATGCCCCTCAGTACAAGCGTGATTACCGAAGGAAGGTGATCTACTTCCGCAGTCAACCTGCGATGAACCTGAAGGAGGGAAAATGCGAGTTGAAGCTACGGAGAAGCCGAGTCTTGGATGACAGCTTCGCCACTGTCATGAGAATGAGCGGAAACGAGCTGAAGAAGAGGCTCGTGATCAAATTCGAAGGAGAAGATGGCTTGGACTATGGAGGTGTCTCAAGGTACGCACTTCACTGGTTGAGCTGACCTTGTTCTAATGCTGCGATAGGGAGTGGTTCTTCCTGGTGTCTCATGAGATCTTCGACCCATCCTACGGCTTGTTCCAATATTCTGCACACGACAATTACACCCTTCAGATGAACTGGATGTCGGGCATCAATCCTGAGCACCTAACGTACTTCAAATTTATCGGGCGATGTCTTGGGCTTGCTATATTCCATAGGCGGTTCCTCGATGCCTATTTCGTGCCGAGTTTCTACAAGATCATCCTCGGAAAAAAGTCAACATTGGCTGATCTCGAAGGTGTCGACGCCGACCTTTACCGCAGTTTAGTGTGGATGTTGTATGTTTCCGTTCTTATCGTTGCTAAGTCGAGTCGCTCAATCATTTGACTCAGGGAAAATGACATCACCGATGTCTTGGACGAGACGTTCACTTCTACGGAAGACCGCTTTGGCGAGATTGTGGAAGTCGAGCTGAAGCCTGGTGGAGCTAGTATACCCGTCACAGAAGATAACAAGAAGGAATACGTCGAAGCGGTTGTGGAATACCGTACTAAGACAAGAGTCCGGGAACAATCACAAGCCTTCATGCACGGCTTCCATGAGATCATACCTCAAGACTTGATTGAACTCTTTGACGAGCGAGAACTGGAGCTTCTCATAGGAGGGATGTCCGAAATTGACACGTACGTATCTCATCATGCTCATCTTTATCACGTTAACAGTGCGTTACAAGCGATGACTGGATCCAATACACTGATTACCGCGGATACGAAAAGACGGACAAAGTCATCGAGTGGTTCTGGCAATGTATCCGTAGTTGGCCCCCAGAACGCAAGTCGCGCTTACTGCAATTTGCGACGGGTACTTCCAGGGTACCTGTCAATGGCTTCAAGGATTTACAAGGTTCGGATGGGCCCCGGAGATTCACCATCGACAAGTCTGGCGATCCATCACAGCTCCCGAGGAGTCATACGTGTTTCAACAGGATCGAGTTGCCTCCTTACGAAGATTACGAGAGCCTCGAGAAAAAATTGACGTATGCCATCGAGTGCGTTCGTTTTCTATCCGATCTTGGAGGCGCACACTGATTTTTTTGGGTTCTTCACAGGGAAACAGAAGGATTTGGTGTAGAATGAGTTGTACTTCTTGCTTCGATTTTTTTTTCTCTTGTTTATTTGAATATCAAAGTGTTGTAATTCTTTACGCTGCTGAACCATCCTTAATTTCCGCATCCTCGCATCGGTACCAGACTGACTTTTTGCAGTATTGATGCAAACGACGATCGGGTGCATAGATGCCTGCCTGCCTAAGCGGAGTCAGCGATGACTGATTTCGCCCGATCCGCTCCCGCCCGCATAGTCTTCAACGTTGCTTGACATCGTTGATTTCCTAGATGGGCCATGTACGATGTGGCGTATACGAGAGAATTCGAAGCACATACATCTTGACCAGTGATCTGGTCTTTCCCTTTGAAAGGAAGGTACCATCAACGCGAACTCAGGTATGGCGTTGTCTCTGAAACTCGTACTAAATTCGTCCGTGCGGACATCGTGGTTGTATATCGCACTGCAAATCTTTTTAAAAAACTGAAACTACAAACTCAAAGTTCATCAGGGCTATCAAGGTGGTACTTAGTTGCTGAATGAGAGCGCTCCGCAGTGCTCAGTCTCGTTCCGTTCGGTATGTATAAAAGTTACAACCCGCCAATCTGGATAAGGCCATTGTCGGGGTTTACCAGCTGTGAAAAACCATGACCGGGCGCGAATGCATGCGAATCGGGATACATCAATAATCAGAAAGTAGGACATTGCTTTGGCTGAACATCTCTTCCTATCCGTACTTCCTCTATTAAGGTTGCCCTTTTTGCGCAATCGATTGACTGGCTTGCGTCAGAAATCGTTCAATATGAAATATTTGAAAGGAATAACTTTGAAATTGCTCGAGTGGACCTGGAACGGGAAACCCGCACCAGGTCGATCCCGGAACTGTATTCCGTAACGTATCGTCTGCATTGCCAAGGGCTCCTGCGATGAGCGAATGATCTTCGACAGTATGTGTATAAGTACATGTACAAAGCTGTGATGAATAAACATCTGCGCCGTCTCAAAAGAGCGTCGATGATGGCTAGGATTCGTGAGGGACAATATGGCACCTGTTGATGAGCATTATTTCGCGTCGGGCGAACGACCAAAAACATCGTACCCTAGCATGCCACGCCCACCCCAGCCCTTACGGGGGATGAGTTTCAATGAGATGGTTTCCCCAGACCTTGATATGATGACCTGAAGCTCGCGCTAAATGATGTCAATAGGTAGGTTGTGCGGGAAAGCAACCTGAACCAACATTTTCATTAACGGATACTAGATCTGCCAGTGGTTGCAAAGAACTTGCATGTAAATGATGATCGTGCGAGAGATCCAAACTTCAATATCAGATCTTCTCGTCGAAGTCCCTGTAAGTAAAACTCTGTTGATGTCGTCCTTGAAGCGAGCTTCATACCAACGTACCGCTTCTGCTGCGGGGCTACTCGGGGCCACGCCATCCACTCTTGCAAAGGCAAGTAGCGATTCCGCGCTATCCGTTAAACTCGTGTGCTGTGCAAGCCTCCTCAGATGCAGCGGGTGATGATCCAACTGTCGATGGATCATATACCGCCTGGAGAGCTGTCTCAATCTCATTCATGATAGCTTGTAGTCGTTCCGCAGCTCATTGATGCGTCTGCGGGCATGCCGTATGGCATATAAGTCGACATCTGCTCGAGGAAAGCCTTCCCGATCAACCAGGGGTGTGGTCATATCAACGTTATTGGTTTTAAGGATAGAAAACTGCGCGTCGAGTTCGGCTTCGATGTTCTCTTTTTGAGACATGAGAGCACGAGCGTGCTCTCTTGGGTTGGTTGGGGACGGCAGCATGAACCCCATGTTCGTATTTCTGGCAGAAAGATGAGTTGGAGAAGATCTAATGTCATTATGTGATTCAGACGCGTTTACGTAACCTGCAAGGAGTTACTCTCGACGTTCCAACCAACTGGTTCATTCTCAGCATGTACATGCATATACACTCTCAAAAGTATATGTTCCTCGATGTATACATCCAATTACCTGGCTGTACATGTTCTAGATAGGACTGAAGACGCGAATTGTTCGATTGCCATCATAGCACCAAAGGTGGGTCCGCTGGGCTATCACACATGTCGCTGAGGCCATGACAAGAGCAGTAAGGGTGTCCATACATGACTCCGTGCTAAGACGATGGTCAGTTCGTCTCGACATCCGAGTCGTTCTTAGACCTTGTAAATCTGTTCGGATAATCTTGTCTTTTACCGTTGTTCTATTAACCAAGATAGCAATTTCAAGATCCGGGCGATGCGTTGCGACATGATAGGCGCACTAGAAGAAGCACACCAGAAATTCTTGCAGACCGGGCACCCTCGGTGGGAGCAGAGCGTCGATATAGGGATATCAAAGCGCAGCTTGTGTTTCTGCTCAATTCTATCACGGGCATTCATCTCACTCGGCAAGGAACCATTGTGTTCGACAACCCTACATTGCACTTCACTGCCATTTGTGTCCGTAAATGATCCGGATGTCTGATGTACTTCTGGTGGTGTCAATCATTCAGCTATTATCGCTGCGTCATTCAGAGTCTCAGGTGTTGGGTGGTTCGATCTCCTTTTCGTTTATTCCCGTCAACCTTCTGGCTGTGTGCCCCCTTGTCTATTCCCTGTATCAAGAAGGAAGTGACGACTTGGAAGAGTGGGTGTCCGACACTGGTTGCACTGTACAGTGTACAAAATACCAAAGGGCGAAAGTGCCGCGTAGCTGCACGAAACCAATGCACGGTTCATTGGAGCCTTACTAGTAGTAGCTCAACTAGTGCCATTACAAATCGCTTCCCCGTGGCTCCATCTCCGTCGGACTTGATCAGCAAATGGTGCAACTCCAATAGCCACAGATCCGTTGAATCGCCTCCCAGCTCCTCTCAGTTGCTCTTGGTAAAGTGATCAGTACAGCATATCCCCATGGCGCAGCATGTGCTGTCTACGTGGCGGAATGTAAGGGCTTGGCGCCGAAGAAGTGCAAAATGAGGCGGCAAAAACGTCTTTAGTTTGCAAGCGCTATTCAGTACTACATAATAATGTAGGGAACAAGCAATCGAATGTGTACACCCAATTCCGAACAGGACTTCTAGGTTTCATTGGGGAAATAAAGGATTGGGGTAGTAGTTCGGCTGCAACGACGGGGTAATACCAAGAATGCGGGGCGTGTTACTAGTAGAGCGCCCACATGCCTAGCAGCCGATCTAGTTCTAAGTCATTATTAGTAATGCTCATGATCATGGGATGGGCGCTCTGGCTGCTAGAGTGACAGCGACTTGAAGGCGTGTTACAGGCTGGGTGAATTGTTTAACCGTTAAACAGTTTTCTAAGATTGCACACTGAACTATTCAACAAATCCTCATAGTATAAAATGACTGTATATGTATTCCGTATTTGAAATTTCCTCGTTCTCGAATTCCGACAAGTTCGCTAGTGGCTTAATCCAGTACATATAGCCTCGCCAACGTACCATGTATGACCGGTGACCGATTGTCAATTGACCTTGCAAGCAAGCTTGTTTAAGTCGGCAGCCTGTCGTGTAGCCGCGGTAATACTTCATCTCGTCACTCGGCCTCGGTTAGTGAGTCCTAGTGACGCCTCCAATGGAGCTCGACTCCACGGGGTTCTCAGAGAATGTAGAAGGATCTAACGTTACTTTCTCGAGTTCCCACTGGCAGCCCTGTATTTTCTTCCTGTTCATATGTAGTAAAGTGATATATGGACATGGCGTGATCAGCATCTAGTACAGGTAAAAGATCAATTACTCGGAAATATTCGTAGTTGGATATGCCGTACTTGATGATAAATCGACGGCCGAAATTTTATTCAAGGTTAAAATCACAGCACCTGATCAGTTTTTAATATATAAGTAGACTAGAGAGAACGTTGAGTACTAGCACACGTCTGTACCCTGAGTCACCGGTGTGGTTAGTTTGACGCTTTGACAACGGAATCTGTGTTCGTATCGGAAGCAACCCGTTGCATCTCATCCGGAGTCATACTTAAACCCATACCACGTCTCAGTAGCTCCATCCGCACCCACACCCTCCTCTCACCCGAGCACCCATTCCTCGCCATGTTGTCCCAAAATTTCATGCTAGAGAAAGACCCTCTGTCTCTCGAGCGAATCCGTCAAATTTTGGTCCGCCTTGAAGACACTATCATATTTGACTTGATAGAGCGAGCGCAGTTTGCTCACAACCCCCGAATCTACATCCGTGGCTCCTTTCAGGAACTGAGGGATATGGAGTTTGATGGAAGTTGGCTCGAGTGGTTTTTGAAGAGATTGAAACTTTCCATGGTTCGTACCTTGACCAATGCTAAACATAGGCAGTATGCTAAATCACATTACTACACAGCTAGAGCTCGTAGATATACAAGGTATATTCTTACAATCACATCCGTTTCGCGGTTTAACGTTATCATAGCCCAGACGAATACCCTTTCACGTCCAATCTCCCTGTCCCAGTGCTTTTACCCCTGGCTTTCCCAAAAATACTACAACCGAACACTATCAATGCAAATCCATCAATCCTGTCTTTCTATACTCGTTCTATTGTTCCGCGGATAACAAGGCGGGCGACCCTGGCGCTAGCTGCCATCAAGCGCTCAAATGGGATTATTGGAGATGAAGAATACGAGGATGATGGTAATTATGGCAGCGCGGCAACCATAGACGTTGAAGTTCTGCAGGCAATTAGTAAACGCGTACATTACGGTCAGTCACCTCCATCGAGCCCGATATTCTTCTAATATTTCTGAATATAGGCAAATTTGTTTCTGAATCAAAATTCCTTGAAAACCCCGCTGCTTTCATTCCCCACATCCTCACGCCTAATCCAACCGCACTCGAGGCGCTGGTTACGAAACCAGAGGTTGAGCGCAAGCTGCTTCAGCGGTTACGCAAGAAAGCTGCCACATACGCACAAGAATTCAGCGCCGATGGTGAGGCCATCGTCAACTCCCATTTGAATGGTGGTGCAAAAATTGATGTTGATGGTGTGGTGGAGTTGTACGAGAGTTATATCATCCCTCTGACAAAAGAGGTCGAGGTATGCGTTTACTCAGTCTTGTCATCCCTCAACTTAATGTATTTTGCCAGGTCGACTATCTATTGCACAGATTAGATGGTTTGTCGCAGGAAGAGATCGATGCTCTCGCTGCATAGTAATGAACCATATGATTGACTTTTTGAACTTATTACGCTGTATAACCTACTTCCCTGCCTCGAGGTACTACCATACATAATCACGATAGTCACTTGTTTTTTTCCATCGATTTTGTATAACTAGGTTGTCGTCACTTGATACCGACGTACGTTGATCTTGCGGTATTCCACCACCTTTTGGATCGGACATTTGGACGTGGGTTTTTGATAGATTTTCACTGGAAATTATGAGGGAGATTCAGGGTTATTTTTGGAAGAGAAGCCTATTCATCCGTGCGTGCCGCAGCTGCAGCAGATGGTGTGAGCAGGTGCTGACAGATCTTAGTACTCACTAGTGGGATGCCCTTGGTGACGGGCGTTCGGGAGACAGTTGAACCACCGCATCGCTATAACATCAGTGATGTTGTTCGAATCTTGATATCTCCGGCCCAAGTACTTGATTCTGGATGCCATCTACTGTGCTATTGCACTGTCTTCTCGCATTCGAGTGTCAGATGTGTACATTCGTGTACAGCTGTAAGTTTCAATCATGGCATTTAGTGAGACACAGCATATGATCTCCACAAGATCATTGATTAGCCGTTGTCAAGTTCTGCTTGCAAAATCGTAACACAGCAGAACAATAATCCTTGAGGGATAGTTACTTAGCACTAGCGGTCTCTGCCACGGACATGGTCCAAGCAATCTCCAAATCCGCTGAGAAAATCTATAGGGGGACATCAAACGTGGGTCGTGTGGCGTCGCTGGGTGGGAAGTTGTCAAGTTCGACCGTTGTTTTGAGCCGACATGGATGCCCTCATCTCTATTGATGTCCCAAAATGCAATGATCATCGACCCTCAACGAGCATTTAGGCCGAGGACAGGCACCTAAATTGGCGTCACTAGAGCAGAGCGCACGATTGCATCAACGCTCGTGGCCTAGAACGATTATATCTGCTACCAGTTGATCTGCCAACAATACTATAGACAGAAAAGGAGTACAACTCCTTTAAATCAATAGAACAGTAGGAGCTGCGTAGTCGTTTGACGCTAAGTTGTTCAGAGGAAGCTTATGTCAGCTCATATTGCTGGTGGTAGTACCCAAGAATGGTAAGCGCAGTTTATAATTATAATTATTTTATTTATGTTACTTACAAGTTTACTCGGAGTGCCTGGCCTGGCGCAGGTCCTCGGGAATGCCAGGGTCGCCGTTCGGCAGTCCTGCGCTGTGACAGTCCTCGATAGATAGAGCCGCAGCCGCTATAGCTATAGAAGTTTGGCCTTGGGTTTCCTTTGCATGCAGTCCCTGCCTGGTCCAGCGGGCGTGTTCTGCCTGTATCATGTACCACTGGACAGGCTTGGATCCTGTGACAAGTTTGCGTCATTCCTGACTCAGAGGGGGCGCCGAAGGGTTGGAGAGGGTTGGTCTTTTTGTTGCCCCGCTAAAATATATTATGTACGGATACCGCCGCTGCGCCAGCGCATTGGCGCATTAGCAATTTGGTGCTCAGATACTTACATGGGAGTGCTACGTTCGCAAGATTCTTGCCGCAAGAACCCACTGTGACTGAGTTTGATCATCATGACAGGATTTTCAAGTCCAGTTTGCTCTTCTATGGTCGCTGTATTCACCACCCGTGATTGCTAATGTCTACGTATTCGTGTCTTTTTGGTTAAAGTATTGCGTTACGCCCTTCAATCGCGATTGACCAAATTCTACTTATATAGTTGTATACGAGGTTGTCCCGCTGTATTATGTATCGGCTCCATACTAATCTCACGGGCTCTCTCCGGAGCTATTTTCGCATGTGCTTCTATCTCCCACTTAGTTTGAGTCTCAAAAACCTTTGAGGGGCCCCGTGCCAGATCACAGTCAATTTCAAACAGGGGTTCAAAAGTAGTGTATTGCAAAGGAGCGTAGATTTGAATCCAAAAGTGCGGGGGACGGCAAGCCCAATGTGATGTTCCCAATGTGAAAGGGAATACAAAAAATAGATCCATGGTATGAACGATAACATATGTACAACATACAACTGGTGCAGAGGAAGTTATCAAAGATTAGGGAGTACAAGAGGGAACTCATAAATAGGAATAAATCGACGGGATTACAAGCCAAGATCTAGGGGACAGAGTGAGTCACAAAGACCGTAATTCACAAACAGGTGGCGTACCTTCCAACAGACGCTTTGCTTCCTCGGGGCCTATGTTCCTGGTTGCACGCCTAGCCAAGAGTTTCTCCGTTCGGTACTTCTCGTACAGAACTTCCCGAGTATGTACTTTGAGAACCTGGGGAGTGTTCCATAGCTTCATTAATGTTTACAATACGTTAGCAAATTATTTACCTTGAGATGGGTCAATAGGATTGCTGTTCGAAGGGCAGCGAAATCGCAATGGTCAGGGTTCAGTACGTCAACGGTCCCCCATCTGAACTTCCTAGTGAAAATGCCCCTGAGATCCTCTGGGGGACCCTGAAGAAACAAGGATTTGCGGACAGTAGGACTATCAGGGGAGATGGGTGTTTCTGCCACAGGGCTAGAGGGCCCTGTCGTGTCTCCCCGAGCGGAAAGGTTAGATTCAGGGGAAGCTGGCTGCGGCCGTCTAATCCGCGGGGAAGTTGCCTGTTCTGGAGCGATAAGCGCGAAGGGGAGTAACGTTGAGATATCTGTTTTAGAAACAACATGAGCTGAGAAACGAATATTCGCTACGCTATCTTCTTCGGCGCCATCAGGATAGTAGGGCTTTCTTTCGTCTTGAACTATGGCAGATAGGTCACGACGAGAGCGGGAACGGGAACGGGAAAGCCGTGTCCCTTTCAGTGTGATCACTGGACGTGAGGGACGACCCTTGTTTTCACTATCATTTGCAACGTAAGAGCTCCCATTTTGGTGGATGTCACCGTTCTCACGGTGACCGTTTACTTCTTGCGGCAACGTTGTGGCAGTTTTATCGTCCAAGAGCGATACCGATGCGGGGGACTCCGCTTTCGGGTTGGGTGTAGAGAACACCCCAAAGTCTAGCCCAGCTGACTCTAGGTCCCTGTGAACGGCAGCTTTCACCAGCGACAACGTGTCATCCGTAAGTGAGTCCGCATGTGCAATAACAGGAAGCACGTTCACCCGTGCCGAAAGACGACGGATCACGCGAAGCTCAGCGGGGGACATTGCGAAGTCTCTGGAATATTCTTGATGGTAAATGACTTCCTGGGTATCTCCGATGGTAGTCCGAGAAACCGTGGTATCTGACCGGGCTCTGCCCGACATAGACTGGGCGCAAGGTGACGGTGACAATATAGACGAGGGATCAACCATAAAGATACACCTAAATCCATAATTTTGAATCAATAATTGTTAACATGATAAAATTCCTACAAGTGAACATGTTGATCCCCTTTGCTTTGACGAACGACTTTAGACTCCTATATATCTATTCAGTAACAACTTTGAAAGAACAAGCTTGCGTGATATACCTCATTCATTGTATCTGCATATTGCGTGTCAAGATACTTGATCATCCCACTGACCTGACGTTCAACCCGCAACTCGTGCCCATCGCTGAAATCCAGTCCGGGAGTATCAATGACAGTCAGAAGCACTCGGTCATACCGCGACTCGCAAATTTCAACACACGCCGTGTTAATTTGCTGTGTGTGCTTCAGAGAACCATTTAAAAACCGGTCCAAGCCCACACGCTGGTCTTCTGTCGCATTTGATGATATATCTGCAGTTTCGAGAAGCAAACGCAAGAACGAAGTCTTCCCTGTGCCTCTTGCTCCTACAACCTGATTGACACGTCGCAGTTCAATCAATTTGGGGAGATCAATGTGATAACATACCATGAGGTTGAACGCAGGTGGAGTACGGCTTTTACGGTGGGATCGCCGTGGTGACGGGACAGGAACGGTGGAAGATCTCCAATTACCGAACGCAGACGGAGGGTGAGACATATACATTGACGAAATCTTGCTGCCATTTTCCGCCGGTTGTCCTGCAATTAACCGAAATGGTTTGTGGAACGGAATGGGGGCACGATCGGAGCATGATACAGAGCTTTTGACCGCACCTTGCTGGGGATAACGTTCTGGCTCTGGAATGGAACTTTCGCGTATTACCGTGACATCTACCAAGTTTTCCGGCCACGGAATGCCTTGAGAATGCAGCTCAGGCAGAGAGGGAGAGGCTTTCAGTGGTGACCCCGTGCAGTCTGAAGTTCGGGGTTTTCTGCGAAAAGAAAACATGATGAGATACAAGAAATAGAAGAATAGTGAGAGTGCGACAGTGTGGGGCGGGTATCAACACTGGTAGAATAAAGAACGTGAGGGATATAGGAATATCAGTTTACAGCCAAAGAGAAAGGTTTACAGGCAACAGGGCTTCCGCTTCAGCGGTAATTTTGGTGTTAAGGATAAGTCAAATCCATATTTCGACAGAATCACAAGCTCAGGGCAACCCATAGCAACCTGCGCTGGTTGATAGGCCATTAGGATTCCCACCAATGGCAATAGCACAACGAGTTACAACGTTTATACAAACTTGATCTTGATTCCCCAACTTGAATCGACATACATACAATGGTCGATGATAGCAATATCGAAGAGAAAACGTTGGCGCCTGAAACGAAAATAGCAAAGGAGAAAAAATACAGTGCAATCGTGGTCCATGCACAAAACAAGACAAGAACACTTGGAGATAACCCAAAAAACATAACGTTCAACGACAGTTTCCAAGCTTTCCAAGGGACAGTGCATATGCGAGTTAATTCTACAGTTTACACCTGATTTGGTCAGGGAGGAGGGGTGATGATGAGGGGTGCTCAGGGTATAAGGTCCCCAGTGGTTTCATCCACCCTCATTCTCTTTTGAATATGCGAGGGTTCCATATCGTCCATCTTTCTCTTCAGATCGATATCCATGGGCTCTCCTTGGTTTTCCTCAGAGGACTTCCCGGCAGAATAACGAGAGTCACCGACAACAGTTGACGAAGGGGGAGAGTGGGCGGGAGGTGAATGCACGGAGGAAAGATGTACTTGAGGAGCATTTGCCTTGGAGGTCGAGGCACGTCGAGTCCCTTTTTTATTCACGCCGTTGGTGCTGGAATCGTGATTGTAGTTACATGGAAGGGACCTTCGCGCACAGCTGGAACAGGCTGGATGCGCTCCGTCGCACTTCGTCTTCCTTGCTAGATAGGATGATTGAATCAGTCCAGAACAACATAATGCTTGACAAACCAACCTCTGCAGAAGTTGCATGCCACCACTTTGGGACCGGTGCTGGCAGCGGGACGATTGCTCCTCCCTGGAACAGTGGAAGCACGTTTTCGCTGAGCAGCCTGTTGCTCTGAGGCTGGTCTAATAGGCGGGAGCGGGGGAGCACTCATCGCAGCCGCAGGGGAGTTCTCAGGTAGCGACAGAGTTGCAATATGGGGTAACTCATTGTCCTTGAACAACGTCCGTCCGTCGGAGGTTCCCGAACTTCCTGTAGCTATGCCAGACTTAGGCCTAGGAGGCATATTATGAAGACCTTCGCGAGGCTCTGATGGGCCAGCGATGGCAGGAAAGCTATCTAGTATTGGCCGCTTATCGACAACGTTGGAGCTCCTGCGAGATAGTGGCTGGGAAACAATCTCGGGGGATACCGAGGGATCGTTGTCTTCGGCGGATCGGTCTTCGCCACTCATCTCAGACTCACTATCCTCCTTAGGTGGACGGTGAGGGTTGCGCCGTTTGCTGGTTTGTGGCATATAATCGCAAAGGTTGGACCGCTTGACACATTGGCTACAAGCAGGGCGCCCCCCATCACATTTGAGTTTTCGGGCTAGAGAGCGTCCTGAGTATTGAATCCGCAAGGGAGGGCGGAGTCTACATACATCGACAGAAGTTGCATGCCACTGTAATCTTCTTAGTCCTCTGCTTGGAGGATCCTGTTGTCCAGGGTTAGCACAAATTTATCTGAGTCAGGACCACGCATGGACTTACTTCCAGACGCTGTCTTGCCTTGAAGCTGTGAAGAAGCACCATCTGTCATCGGACGGGAAAGTGGCGGCCCACGCAAATCCGCCCCAGGAGGGATGTCGCGGGCCATGGGAAGAGGGGGATGTCGGACAGAGCCATGACCTGGCTGAGTCTCAATAGTCAAGACAGGGCGAGGAGCATGCGCAAGAGGTACAGAAGTACGTGGGACCGCTTGTTGTAGGGTATGGGGGTGAAGCTGGTGGTTAGCAGAATGGTGCTGGAGCAAGTATTCGTTTCTAAACTTTTCAAAAAGATATTCTCGAGTGTATTTCTGCAGCGTCTAGGGCCAGGATCGATTTTAATGGTGACATCAAAAGTCGGACAACTGGAATACCCACCTCCATGTGATGAAATATAGCAGTGCGGAGCGGCATGAAGTCACTATGAACAGGATCTAGAACATCCATAGATCCCCACCGATAGCTTCTGATGAATTTGCCACGCGTCAGTTTAGAAGCGGTGTGACGAAGAACCAAAGGAGCATATTGCTGTACAAGCTCGTGACGTGATAGGGGCACTCTCGCTACGCCATCACTATGCGAGTAGATATCGGGTGAGATAAGGGCGTATGGGAGTTTGAGAGACGCCATCGCTGGGGAATTCGGAGGCGAAGGATGTCCATGCGGAGAAGTCTTATTCGCATGACCACTGTAACCATTCACCATTTCACCCTTTACAGGGTGCGCAGATTCAGCCGCGTCTTTACGGTGCTGGTACTGCGCATGGGAGTCCATATCGAAGATTCCGAAGCCAATGCCGGCTTCCGCAAGATCTCGGCGGACAGCCATTTTGACGGCCGCAAGGCGGTCGTTGGTAAGCGTGTCTGCGCGAGCTATTACAGGCAGTACATTGACTCTGGCAGAAAGCCGCCTGATGGTGCTAATTTCGCTAAGAGGAAGGGAAGGGCGACATAGGAGTGGGTTGTTCGTGACAGGGGGCTCGAGGATGACGGGCTCCGGCTCCGTGACAGAGAAGCTACTGCCCCGAGCACGAGTGACCAGAGGAGCGGGAGGTCCTGGTACAGACGGTGGAACAATCACGTCGGGATCCAAGAAGTATATACACCTGGTCCGTGGGTCAGTTCACAGTGACGCGGCGACTAAGCGCCCATGTCAGCAACGCACAAATGGATGTTGTTGTCACCCGCTGGGGATCTCCACTCCTGCACCGAAAAATTTGGGGTTCAATATAATGTAGGAAAGGAGTCTGGGCAAACTTACATCCTCGATACCATCGGCGAATCTGGATTCAACATGCCTGAGTATCTCATGGATAGCCCGCTCAGTGGAAGCTTCATCCTCGAACGTCAAAGAGGGTGTATCCACGAGCGTGAGAGTAAGGACCTGAGGTGTGCTATTTTGGTCAATATCATGTTCGATATTGATGGATGCGGTGCGTATGTGGGATGTATGACCGCTGCAACCCTGCACGAACTTTGCGACGGAGGCGAGCTGGTCCTTGGTGGCTGTCGAGGAGATTTCACTGGTGTCCAAGAGAAGACGCAGAAATGAGGTCTTGCCGGTGCGCTGACCAGCAACCATGACTGTATAACCACTAAAGTCGTTTAAGCCGTTGGAGTGAGGATCATGGCCGTTGCCAACTGTTCCGGGGACAAGACCGTTTGAAGAATATGAATGTGTGGCCCCTGGGACGGACTGAACGGAAGGAGGGATTGGGATACGGTCGTCGTCGTCGTTCATGATGCGTTGTTCGCCATTGTCGACGACGAGCGGCATCGTGAGTATGACAGACGAATCGAATGTCCGTTCGGGGGAGACAGAGCGAGGGTTTGCCCGCGAGGTGAGGCAAGCGCGGGGATGATAAACACCGAAATTCCAGAAAAGAGGGAAGCTAACGGAGCCGAGCCTGAAATCTACATGCACCGAGCCAATCGGGTCCATTACACCCAGGTTTATTCCTCCGACTTGAATTGAATCCTTGGAAATTTCAATCATTTATTTCCCTTTTCGTTCAATATTCATTTATTATTTCAGGTTCAACGATCTGACAGCCGAGGCTCAAAAATGTTAACAGACAAAATAGTGATAAAGCGGTCTGTAGTAGATACGTAGCACAGACTTGGAGTATATATCGTAGAAATAAATCAAATGGCACTACATAACATTATAATGTGGTAGGCTATCACTGAGAGAGGCTATCTGCAGCTGAGAAAATTAAACCAGGTTATCACCATCAGGATTGAAACAAGGAAATAGGGTACGGCGGATATGGCTCAGCCACGGAAAAGAGGGTGATTCCGAAACAACACTCGCATCTAGACTTCATTTCTCGTCAACAGAACGTGAGAGCTTATTCGAAAAAGACGCTCACCAAGAAAAGTCCGTAGCAACGATAAAGAGGTATCCGATCTCCAGAATACGTAACAAGCAGTGCGCCGCCGGGTCACTATCCCGTCAACACCGTGGACAGTTGTGGGTGCCGATCCTCTACTGTCCGCCTGCGTCGGTCTACGTCCGCAACATCAACAGCAAGTACCGTGTCTCCATTGAATGACCTCGTGTGTTGTTTGCTTTTAATTAGTCAGCTCCTCGTCTGTATCACCCTTCCGCGACCCAGGAGGCAATGGATGTCCAGACTCCGCTGACCGGCTGTCTTCTTCGTCTCGTCTCCAGAGTGGCTGCATGCCCTCTACTGGTCCTTGATCGAACACATCGCTCCTGAAGTGACAGTGTGGGATCGGTTCCGGTTCTTCGCGATGCATGTTCGAAGCGCTTGGACGATCAGTGTAGGGCGGTAGCGCATAAACAGCTACCAGTCTGGACAAGTGAGGGTGACCGTGACCTGGTAACATCATCGGTGGCTCAAATACATGCCGATCTGGGAGTCCTGCAGCTGAAGGCTGTTCAGATCCTTCCCTATCAATTTCACTTGTGGCTGTTTTAGAACTTTTCCTCCCCTTTCGACCTTTCCCTTCTGATTTCTTGGTCCGCGAACCTTTTGGTGCTTTTCCAGGGCCACGACGTCTAGGGTGATCCTTATATATACATTCCAATGTCCGGGTGGAGCAATTCGCGCAGGAAGGTTTGGTCCCGTCACATCGAAGCTTCCGCCCTGTAAAGTTATGGGGCAATTGATGCCAATCGGAGCGATTCCCGCAAAGATATCCACTCACCTCGACAAAAATCACACGCAACGTAGATTTTTCGCGCAACTTTGGTCTTCCTTTCATCCTGAGTATCTGATCGCTTTCTTTTCCCTCGCCTATACGTCGGTCTTTCGCTACTGGACTCTCTGTCCTCCACTGATACTTCTGCAGGCAAATCTTCCCGTGTCTGGTCAAGTAGACCGTGTGAGGACGTTTGCGGCCCTCTGTCGGAGTACTCTTCCCTCAGCGGCCGCATAAAAGTTGTAATTGGAGGGAGAGAATACGAGGATGCCCTCTGAATTGGGCGACCATCTAGCAACGTTCCTGGTGCATGTCGGTTGCTAGAGGACCCAGGACGGCTACGCTCTTCCCGTCGCTGAGGGGGAAGTGAGTGATGTCGTATGATATTTGACTCGAGGTGATGCGAAGACGGTTGTAGGTGACCAGAATCATCATATGCTTCAGGGAAAATTCAGAATTTTCAGAATTTTTTCAAACATAATCAAGGACTCACAGTGAGGTGCATTGTACAGGTAGGTGCTATTTTCACGACTACCCCTTGGAATGAAGGGCGGAAAAGGCACTGGTCTTGGCTGTGAAGTCAAATATCTGTCTAAATGGATCTCCTGTACAGGATCGAGGGGCGTAATTTCGTGCGTCTGCTCACTGTCGTCGCCGTCATCTCCATTTCGATTCTCTTCTGGCGCACGACTGCCACCTCCCGGCCTGCAGGCCGTGTGAGACGACGACGAAAGACCCGCCCTGCCTTGAAATGCGCTCGGTGACGGTACATGATATTGACTTGGAAGGGGTGGGGGGTACGTATAAGAATGAATTGGAACTTGATGGTAAAAGGGTGGCTCGCTGCCTGGAGTTCGATTACCATGGGGGATTAAGAAAGCCCTAGGGGGGTGCGCAAGGCCAGCGGCCGCACTTCCCCTCCGGCTAGCTGAGGTGTTTTGAATGCGTTGGGAACTATATCCACTCTCTTCTACATCTGGTGAGACTAATCTGTCTTGTGACGACTCCCCTCGTGAACCATGGCTGTTTGGAAAGGTCGCGGGAGTCAACGACGATATAGATTGGGAAGTGAGGTGGGAAGCCTGCTGGACGAGATGTCTATCTTGGGCACTCCATGACGCCTCATTGGAACGTCCATATTGATCGTTGGGACGGATTATATGTGCGTGTAATGTTTCTGGGAGCGAACTTGATACCCTATCGTCATCTCTGTCATCCATACCTCTTTCCTCGCAATCTAAGCGGAACGTAAACTTGCGAAAGTTTGGAGGAAGCGTCGGTGCGACGGTAATGCAGGGGTCGCTTCTTTCAGCAGCGCTCGGATTGTTGGGAAATGACGATGTTACTGAGAGCCATTAGTGAGATGTCCTCTGATGGCGAAAGCGCTGAACACGCTGGTCAATGTTCTGTGAGGAGCCTGCTGGTTGCAACGAAGGGAAGACGAGCACAGAAACGAAAAAAAATCCGCTGGAATAAGTTTACATCCGCTATGGCATAGCTCAGATTTTTTTGAGGCGGAATGGCGGAACAACTGGATCCACATCTAGATAATGCAGACACTCCAAAAAAACCCGTACCGGTGTCTAAATTCATGGAAAATTTTGTCTCCCCCCCTTTGGAAACTTGTGATATACACAGTGTCAGAAGGTGTCAGATCGCCAACACACTGCCAAGAAATCATCGGGCTCGTATACCGCGTCCAACTCCGGAGTCAAACATACAAGTTTGACTGGCCATTATTGTCGGGAGCTTACAATTGACCCTAACTCTATGATTTTTCAGTATCGAGGGGATGACAAAAGTGAAACATGATCGGCGGGGAGGATGAAATGTACTACGCCAGCCTTTCCATATTTGTACAAAGTGGACCTGCTTACCGGTAGGTCGCTTTGAAAGTCTAATATCACAACAGTGTCTTCGAAAGTGCCTAGACTGAGCTATGCATTAGTTGCAAACTACACAGTTATGAACTGCGATTAGTTCACGCTCACTGATTGACTATTCAAGTGCCGTGGAGACGGTCGAAAAAAAAATTATGACAAGCGCATGCATAGTTTCTCCATGGAACTTATGGCTAGAGCCTAGCAAAAAAAACATCCGAGACATAGCAGTACTACACGTACGTCTCAATTGGAATCGTCCTGAATTCATTGGCTGCTGAAAAGTGCGATATGTTACGGCATTCTCGATCTCTGTAAGCTACCAAATCGGGAGATCGATATTTTTCGTTACTTGTGCCGAGTTGTCGCGTTAGCAGGTCGAACGATGCATTCAAGACTCTCAGTTAGCAGGAGCCTTGCAAGGCAAACGAGATCACTGTGGTCGTCTCCTGCAAGATGCGAGGACAAGCCCATCATGAACCGCTACAGCAGGACTGTCACGCAACCAAAAGACCAAGGTGCAAGCCAAGTGAGTCATTCGAGTCAGGTGAGGAATGTGGAGAAACTGATATTCGTAGGCCATGCTGTACGCTACTGAAGGTATCAAAGATGACGAGGACTTTCAAAAGGCCATGGTCGGTGTCGCTAGCGTGTGGTGAGTGTGGAAGTAATCAAATTCTTCCGTGGCCATTCCATTGACTACGGTCAAGGTATGAGGGCAATCCGTAAGGAAGAACGTATGCCATAAATAGATTTTTTTTGGCTAAGGTGCTTTCAGATGCAACCGACACTTGCTTGGCTTGGGGCAGGAAATCAAGAGTTCCTTGGTCGAGTCTGGCCTCATTGGCTACCAGTTTGGTACAGTTGGTGTTAGCGATGGGATCAGCATGGGCACTGCGGGAATGTCATATTCTCTGCAATCGCGCGACCTCATTGCCGATCAAGTAGAGACAGCCGCTGGCGGGCACTGGTTGGATGGAATGGTTGTGGTACCGGGATGTGACAAGAATATGCCAGGTGTCCTGATGGCTCGTGAGTGAGGTACTTTTTTGGATTCACCATGCGTACTGACGTATTATCATACTTGTATAGTTGGACGACTCAACCGTCCGGGTCTTATGGTGTATGGAGGCACGATTCGTGCAGGCTCATGCGCAGGGTCAACCTCAGTTGGATCTTGTTTCCGCATTCCAGGCTTATGGACAATACCTACAAGACGGAAAGACACCGGAAGCAGAAGCCCTCAGGTACGAGACAGTGCGACATGCATGCCCTGGCCCAGGCGCTTGTGGAGGCGTTAGTACCAATGTACCCAGTTCAGCGATAATTTGTTCACAAATTGGCAGATGTACACGGCGAACACCATGGCCAGTGCAGCTGAGGCCCTTGGAATGACTCTTCCTGGCTCTTCGTCGTATCCAGCCGAATCTCAAGAAAAACACGATGAATGTAAGACCGTTGGTGCCGCCATGCGGAATCTCATCGAGAAAAACATTCTGCCCTGCGACATCATGACACGTTCGGCATTCGAGAACGCTATGGTGTGCCATACTTTTTTCAAATTTCACGGTCACTCATACCAAGTTTCAGGTTCTTACCATGATCCTAGGAGGTTCGACTAATGCCGTACTGCATCTTATTGCTATGGCACATGCCGTAGGCATCAAGCTTACTATTGATGATTTCGCACGAGTGTCTGACTCAACACCCTTCCTTGCCGACATCAAACCAAGCGGCAAGTATGTTATGGAAGACATCTACAAAATCGGAGGCATACCCAGTCAGTGATTCCACTACCGCGGTGATTTCCGCGTTCACATATTAATTTTTTTCAACTACAGAGATACTTCATTTCTTGATGAAAAATAATTTCATTGACGGTAACAATATGACGGTCACTGGCGCTACTATAGGCGAGAACCTGGAGCGTTGGGTACATAAACACGGGGAACTCTCCGCTAGTCAGGACGTGATCCGTCCCCTCGACAAGCCTATTAAAGCTACTGGACACATCAGGTTTGTCATTGCTATCTTTCAATAGATATTTTCTCAAATAACCCTAGAATTCTACGTGGTAATTTGGCTCCTGGAGGTGCTGTCGCCAAGATTACCGGAAAGGAAGGTCTTGGGTTTACCGGAAAAGCTCGCACTTTCGACTCAGAGGAGGCCTTTGTCTCCGCCGTTGAGTCTGGCTCAATCAAAAAGGGCGAAAAAACAGTCGTCGTCATGCGCTACCTCGGCCCTAAGGGTGGCCCTGGTGAGTGAATAGTATCTTTGGGGTAATATTAATGCACGGACTATGCAGGTATGCGTGAGATGCTGAAACCCACTAGCTTGATTATGGGCGCTGGCCTAGGTCAGGACGTTGCGTGCCTCACAGATGGACGATTTAGCGGAGGGTTTGTGCCATTTCCATTCACGACGATTTATAGACTGATGGGATATCTATTAGATCTCATGGGTTCTGCATAGGTCACGTCGTCCCTGAAGCCCAGGTCGGTGGACCTATTGCGCTCGTGGAGGATGGTGACACCATTTCTGTCGATGCTGTGGCAAACACCATGGAACTGCACATCTCCTCTGAGGAGATGGAACGCCGTCGGAAAACCTGGGTTGCCCCACCGATCAAGGTCACCCAAGGAACACTCTACAAGTATGTCAAAATGGTCGAAGACGCTAGCCATGGGTGCATCACGGATGGTTAAGATCGGCTATATTCTTTACCCAGTATTCAATGAAAATAAAACAAATCTACTGAAGATGAAGGGATATAGCCAAGGGTCCTTTTAGTGTGCTCGCGAGCTTTTTGTTTTGCGCTTCTTCTCAGCCTTGGGGATTTTAGTTTTCCGCTTCTCACGTGCTTCGGTTTTGACAGCTTTTTTGCGTTCCTGAGTGAAAATCAGCAATATGATTGGCTTCTGATAGAGCGATACTCGCCTTCTTGGCCTCCCGATCTTCGTGCCTGTGGCCCCTAGGTGTGCGAGGGTCGAAGGTGTCCTTGCTCACCTCAGCTGCCTCAGGCTCTCCACTCCCTTCTTCCTCGCTATCGCTCGTGTACTCGCCTTCGTCAACGAGGCCCCCATCCTCTGAAGATCCCTCGCCCTTGAATCGCACATGTGGCCTGACTTCGCCTTCCTGACTCACACCAGAGGTGGGATGCGTCAAACCAATGGTTTCTGCGTAAATCAAATTTTTCCCATCACCCTTCGTCAAAACCTCCACGTCGCGTTCAGCGTCGTATACCTCGTTCAGCGTGCGGGGGATATATGACTGAAGGAAAATATTGTCTTCATGAGTAGCTGATGTGTTCGATAAGGAGATGATATTGTTAGTGCTTCCGTCCATAGATGGGGGGCTTTGTTGTTCTTTGTCGGCTTCTGCTAGCCAGTGCTTCAAAGCGGATCCCTCGTCCTGCCCCTCCTCGACTACGTGCACTCTCGTGATGAAATCGAAGCATCGCCTCAAACCCAGGCACTTTACCCCGAACCTCTCGAAAAAGTCCTCGATATTCTTGATATCGCTCCTCAGGAAGTCGAACGCGCTGGGGTGATCGTGCTCTACAGATTGCGAGACGTCGATAATGCAGAGATGTCCACCGTGAAAGAGAATATTGTATTCGGAAAGATCGGCATGAACAAGTTTGCAAGTGTGGTACATCTTCCGGACATTGAGAATGAGCTCTTCGTACAATGCTGGGTATAATGCAGAGGGGATGTCGGCGTCCTTTAAGCGAGGAGATGCCCTGGCGTCCAAGTGATGGATGAGCGATGGAAGAGACTTGAGCGTGACAAAAAATATTACCAGCCCTCCTCATCACCAAGAAAACCCATTACCAAGATATTTTCCCGGACCTCGATGGGCTCGGGGCATGGTATCCCGGCGGACACAAGTCTCTTGAGATTGCGCATTTCCTTCTCCGCCCACAGACGTACCATCTTGCGTGGATTGCGTCTACTATAGCCGCGTCTGAAGCGATACTCGCCTGTCACATAACGATCGCGGTCCTTGAACACAAGGATTGATGTCTTGTATATTTTGAGGGCAATATGCGTGGAGGTGGGGGTGAGAGCATGATAAACATTTGCCTAAAGACTCTCAGGCTTGTAGGCAAAAACGTCAAGATAAACCCAAATGACCTCACCTCCTTTCCTGTACTAACACATCCATTCACCTCCTGGATGAGTTCTCGTCCGATCATCTTGAAAAGGATGATCCGAGTGCGGGGGTCAAGTACTTGCTCAGATGTGGCGCGATCTGACTTGTCCTTCGCATTCGCATATGAACTAGGACCTTTTCTGTTCACGCTGGCGCCCATGACGTACGGTTGATCAATTTTAGCAATGCGAGACGAGTACTTCGAGAGAACAGCTAGTTGATTGGTAGTTTTGTCCTTTGCATGTGCAGGAACTGCATTCAGGCTGCGTGGCTTATTTACCGCAGGAAGAGGTGCAACGACAGCTGCACGATTAATGGAGGATGGGGTTCCCTGTGCGTTGCCAGTGCGTACAGCGACATGCTGCCGAAGCCGGTTATATTGTTTGGTAAAATCTAGGATGATCAAACATCGGTCGTCGTAAGGGTGGATGCAACTCACCTCGTTCTGCAACCTCCCAATCTTCATCATCTGCTCTGACATCTTCAAAGTCATCTTCGTTTAGCTCGTCTCCGTCATCATCTTCCGAGCTCTCGTCAGACCATGAGAGAAGGTGTTCGTCGTCAATGAAGTATCTGCCTGCGCGCGGATCTTGCTGGTCGTCCACGGCTCGGATAGCGGTCTCACAAGGAGCATCATCAAACTGCCCCTCCACGATGGCTAACTGGTTTTCTGCAGACATGCCGTGGTTTGAAGTACTAGAAATCGATAATCTACCACTTAAATAAAGTTCAAGTTTAAGCAGGGCTGATAAGATAAAACACACGTGACCCATTTGCCTGAATCCTTCGAGTTCAACGTTTACGTGACCAGTGGTACCTCTTGCGCAGCCCATTCAAAGTGAACGTCCCACAACGAATTCTTGACATGGATACCCTCCGACGAAGGAACCCATTCAAACACTCCTCTGAACCCTCTGAATCACATGACACACACGTCCTGGATGAACAAGGTGACGCAGTCAAACCGTTTCGTTGGGTGTCAGAGATGTTGATTTGGTCATTGCAGAACAAAGTGAACTTATCGACAACATTAAGAGTCTGAACGCAACATCAAATAACCAGAACCGCATTGCATTGCAGACTATGCTCGCGCTGTCTTTTATACTGTGAGCACAACACTATGAATGCAACAGTGATACAGGTTCAACGTATATTACCAGGCATATCATTTACATCATCTCCGACTACAACAGTCCATTAATCGTTGTTTTTCCACCAGCCAATAGAACGGAGTCTCCACTCTATCTAAGTCCTGTCTTGACACTCCTCGCAATCATCCTCCATGCAAACGCTGCTCTGCTTACTCACCCCCGGAATTTGGTTCTTGCTAAACGGCGAATAACGCCTCTTCCTTATAGCGTCGCGGTCGGGCTATCAGCAATTGCTCCTACAATCTCGGTTCTGAGCGGGAAAATATGGCAGACCACAGCGTGGTGGTGTACTGCCGCTTTTTTGACTTGGATCGTACATGCATCAAATAAGTGGGTTGTGCAGGAGCAAGAAAGTATATCCGAACTTGAAAGAATGAAGTATATATCTGCTGGGGCGTAGAAAACGCAAGTATGCTTGCTGAAATTGGTTACTTCTTTGTACTCTGACTGACCATTGATTTCGCCAGCCTCGATGTGCCTGCACACCATTTTTCTAGACGTCGTTAATCGTTAGAGGTCATTACACGAGCTGGGGCTGTCCAGTAGCGATGTGAGTACAAAAACCTCTTTTTAGATTGCATCTTGAATGAAGTCCAGATACTATGTACTGTAGTCGGTACAATATTGCTGGGGGCTAGTTTGACGATGTAATAGGCTTTGCTGCAACTACATTCCTTGGCGTTATCTCAATGACCTCGAGCTGATTCGATCCATGATACTATGTAGATGAAAATCAGCGAATTCTTAAAGAATGGGAAGAACCTACGAAATAAATTCTGTCCCTATCAATCCACATCTTTTCAAACCCACGATATCCAAATGCTCTGTCCTGGTTCAACGCAATCTCGACGTATGGCAGGGATGTCGTTAAGCTCTCCCCCGTCTGTGAGTCTGTGATTTCTATCGTAGATGGCTCTTTTACGACTCGTCCTAGACCTTGTCGACGCTCAACAGCTAACGGGCTGAAGTCTATCACATGTAATCTATACTTTTTTGGGGAATGCCAGATGCTAGTCGTGTCATCTTCAGGAAACGCCAGCAATACTCGATTTCCACCAACGGAAATGTTGCGACGGTGAGGTGTCTGGAATGCACGAGTATTTAAAGGGCCCCAGTTTTTCCACGGTATTGCTCCCAGCATCCCCTCAAATAAATCGAGATGGAAGAAAATTCTGGTGGAGATGATGAAGATGAGACTCGGAGAGAATGTGACAACCGATAGTAGTTGATGTTCAGGGTCAGAAGTCCACAACGTTTGTTGGGCTAGTATCTGGGGTCGCGAGCTAGTGTGCAATATCATCCGTTGAGTATATGCACTGTATACTCGCCAGTGATACGGGCAACAAGAAACACGCTAGTAATTGCGGCGCCTGGGACGTGTCCTCGATCAAATAGATCTTGATGACATCACTGAAAACAAGCAACCTGTCGTTTCCGAGGAAGCAAAAATCGATTGCTTCCTCACACGGTGGGTTTATTGTGACACTGAGGAAGCTCTAAATCAAGTGTCAACAGGTCTTTCGACTAGTTCGGACCAAGGCTCACACTGGACGTTGTTGAGTGCTGCCAGTCCCAGATCTGCAATTCCCATAGCCTCTCATCCAAATATTCACTAGTGATCTGTCGAGAGTGCCACAGAGCGATATGCCTTCCGAAATACTTGAGTTTTAATTTCCCCAAATTTGTTGAAGTGCGAGTGCCGCTCTGGATTCCGGGCAACTCTGACCGAAATAATGTCCGTCCGACGGCTTGGGGGTGGATACCTCCTCCATCTAGGGTACCGAGATCGATATAGATTCTCTCGTCATTCCATTGGAAATGATCGTCGACAGTGGCATACGCGATGGCGATGAGATTTTGCATTGGGTCCATGAGCACATCGAAGCCGTATGCATTGGGATCTGAACGCAACGACATCGGAGACCAACCACGCTCAATCGTGTATTGGGAAGGCTTCGGTAGTACCTGGGAAAATTGTGGTCGAGTCTCCATGTCGCTCCCACAGGCAAAGATGCCCGTTAACAACCCACATTTCAGGTATGGAATGGTATAGAAACCTGTTTCGAAAGAGTGGATATCAAATCTGAACCATGCGTGAGCATTATCCCTCAGGAGTTGTAGGCGCTTGGAAATAGGAGTGCGATTATCAAAGGTGTTAGGGACAGGGAGGAGGTGTTGACCGCCAAGCTCCACGATGTACTGAAGCTCGGAGCACGATATGTACGTCTGGCGAAGGGCCTTACATACCTGCAAGAAATCCGTCAGTATCAAGGACGACAACATCAATTACTAGTAGCAGGTTGTAGCTCACGGATATACATCGAAGAATATCTCGGTAAGGAAGAAAACTCAGTATATAAGACTGGAGTTCTTCAGCAAGAGACTGGAAATCGGCTTGGGGCTTCGTCTCCTGTTGGAACATCATTGAAAACAACTTGAAGCTGAGCCGAATTAGCGGCCGATCAGACGCCGTGCCAAGGTGAGGCACAACTTGAAGCATCTAAAGTTCAAACACAACGTAACTCCAGGGTCACAGATCTAGAAGCTAGTGGCACAAGTCTAAGGTTGATGTCGAGGTCTTTTCTAGGGAACAAACGACTAGCTCATGAAGAATTATCCGCGCAGAGGACGCTGCGAAAGGTTCGGCCTGGAAAACTAGAACAATTCTCAACCGAATTATGTCTAATTGCTCATGGCATCCGGTAAGCCTTGGTAGTCGCGAAAACACGTGGGTTGACATGGTGGGCTCTGCAGATCTGCTTGCTTAGTGGACGCGTTCGCTGTACAGGACCCCGTTAGCTTGTTTTCTCGCGTATTGGCTGGCTTGCGGTCGAAGGTACGCTTTGATCAGGGATATACTGCAGCACAATTTATCGAAAGCGGATGAATCAGAGCGCGACTTTTGCTGATATTGTCCATTGGTACGATCCTTCGTCACTTCAGTCGTTCATCGTAAATTCTCGCATCCTGCGAGCCTTCGCTCGAACATTGTTGGAGGACAATACTGCGGTCACATATATTCTCCTTGATGTATTCCCTACACTGGTGAGTACTACGCAGACTGCGTGGAAACACCTCAACTTCCGAGCCACATCTCAATGCCTCCTACCAGCTGTATAGCACGCCAAAGACAGTGCTGAACGTTATATGCGCCATGAATGCAGACATGCTAGAATCTCAAGCCAAGGTCTCATTTTCCTTCGTTGATGGTTTGACACAAGACAATCTTGTTCCTCTGGCTGCGACTTTGATCGGTTATCCGGTCGCATATGTCCCCGTCTCGGCTGATCAGACCTCATTCCTGAGCGGACAACCTTTGGACGTTTATGAAGCAATTGTTGTCCCCGCGACGCCACGTGTATCTTCGCTGCAAGGCTCTAATCAGTCGCATACTCTACTCAAGTTCTCCTGTCTGTGTTTGCTCGCGGAGACGAACCGTGAACTACTTCCGGAACGCGTTACAAAACGCATCCAATCACAGTTCTCAGAAAGCCTTTCTTCCATTGGGTCATCGCTCTTGGTTCATCATCACGTGGAGGTTGTGGACCGTGTTGCGCTTTAAATATTTCCTCAAGATGATGCAAAGATGTATAATTCAAGTTAATCGACATCAACATTGACTATCTTGATGTCTTCAAATGGCTTGTCCATCTTATTCGTCTTCACGTTTTCGATATTATGGATGACCTCCAATCCAGAGAAAACGCGTCCGAAGATCGTATGCTTCTTGTCTAACCATGGAGTGGCTGTGGTAGTAATGAAGAACTGTGAGCCGTTTGTATTGGGACCTGCGTTTGCCATGCTGGCGGTATACGGGCTGTAATACAGTCAATTAGCCATGGAAATTTGACTTTGGAACAAACGCCAAATAATTACCGGTCATGTTTCAAATCTGGAGAGAACTCATCTTCAAATTCCCTGTCCCAAATCGACGTCCCCCCTGTGCCGTCGCCCAATGGGTCTCCAGTCTGGATCATGAACTTCGGAATGACCCTGTGGAAAATAACACCCTCGAAGTAACCACTCCGTGCATGGCCAACAAAGTTCTCCACAGCCTTGGGAGACTGTTGGGGAAATAGGCGCATATGTATGTCGCCCATGGAAGTGTGAATCACTGCAGATGAAGCCAAAGGTGATGGTCCTGATCTGGTAAGGGCAGTCGCAGAGGCAATGGACTGTTCTTCACGCGTCGGTCGTTCATTAAAGACATCTCTGTCGTGTATTTTGTTGTCTCTGTAATACAGATATGAAGACGTAGCGCAGCCAGATGATGAAGTGCTTACTCTGGCTCGGATCGGGTAAAGAGATAGAAGCGCTGGCGTTTATACCCCATGCACAAGAGGGTCGGGTCTCGAATGCCCTTATTGGCAAGCATGGGATTCGCAGATGCTGTCATCGCCTATAAAAGTTGCTCGTCAGTGCCCCTTGATCATGAATAGGCACATACAGGCGCTAGCCCTTTCTTTGCAGGCGCTCCTTGATACAATGCAAGGTTCATCCATCGAACTGATTCATCCTTTCCTAGTAGCCGCGCAACACGGTTCGTTACCGTGTTGACCACTTAGAAACCATAAGATGTCAGTTTTGAGTCTGCCAAACAAAGTCATTTCCAACCTTTGATTCCGAGCAAGGTTGGATACAAAACAAATGCCCCGCTTTCGTCCCACACTGCATTGGTCGACATTGCAGGAATCCGTCCATCAGGACCTGGCATCTCGAGCTCCCTTTCCACTGCCAGCCGCCTACCAAACTCCATGTCCTCTACGCGATGGATCGAAGTGCTGGCCTGTTGCATTTCCTGGATTGCTGTCAATGACTCGTCGTACTTTCGAGTAAGTTTGCCTTTCAGGAAAAAAAATATACGGATTTGACGATCTGGAAGAGAAAATGTCACAAAGGAAGAGGAATCAGGTGAAAGCGTTATGCAAGCAGGGATTGATTTTGTCTAGAGAAAACTCAGCAAATGCTACAAGATGGAAAAGCTCATTTACCTTTTTGAACTCGTAGAGGTCCGTCGAAGACTTTAATGACCACATGCCGGGTATATTTTTCGGTGGTTCGAAAGGTTCAAATGGTTGCCAGTACTCGATGAAACCGTTTTCATCACCAGAAATCACGGTATCATAGCGGTCGCTGTACTAAAACCATGACCGTCACATCAGGCGCTTCGTTCAAATAGGGGAGGCTCACCGCCATCAAATGCACAGGGAAACGATGAAGCTTTTCAATTGTCAGCAGTGGGGTGTCATTACCGCGACCATCATAAAGCCATATGGTGCCCGTCCCTTGCTCCGAGCTATATACTTTGTTAGAAGTTAACAAGAAAATCGCGCAAGACACTTACATTGCCAGCAGGCCTTGTGCTTGCCCTCGTCTGTGTACCCAACAACAAGCGTGAGGGGTAAACCCGAGCTTTAACATGTTGATCATGTCTGCTTGCTAGTCAGCGCCAAGATGAATAAACGTGGGCCACTTGCGCACCAAAGTTGAGCACATCGAATACTTTTGCAGACCCATCTTCTGAGATACTTGCAAAAAGTTGTCCATCTGCACTTGCTGAGACTCCGGTGACAGGGCTCGTGTGTGCACGAAAGTGTTTCACAAATTCGATGCCCTCGTCCTGCTTCTTCCAGAATTTTAGATGTCCGTCAACCGATGTAGTAATGATAAAGCCTGTCCTGTTTCGAATTTGAGATATTCGCTGTATAAATATTCTCTGGAACTCACTTCGTGACAACAACAAAGCTCAGGAAGTCGCGGTGCATGTAGCTTTTGTAGTACTGTTCAGCATCTGGGAGGTGGTCCAGGTACAGTTTCTCGTGAGGGACCACTAGCATTGAGTTGTAAGCCCATGATCCATAGACTGACAAGTATACAGCCCACCTCTGCGCTTCCTTTTGGATCCACCGTTGGCGCTGGCAGGTAGAGGCATAGGACCAACATCATCATCGCTGTCGTCCTGATTTATCTCTGCGTCGACAGCTGGCATAGGACTATCTTCGCCATCCTGCACACGACCTGTATCATCGTCCGAGTTTCTATCACGCTTGCCAAGCACGGTTGTATCCTGCTCTGTGTCAGACATGAAATCCAGTGACCGTAAGTAACCAGTGAGCGAGAATGAGAGTGTGCCCACGTGACTGTTCTCAATGTGAACGCGTTTGTTTGGATTCAAAGCCTTTGCCAAACAACCGCTACCACACTCGGATCCACAAACCACGTTTCAATAACATGTCTGATAGCCCAAGTGACTTCCTCGACAGTGTCGAAGGGGAGATTGTTTTCTTCCGATCTGTAATGAAGGCTCGGCCAGTTGGCCTTCACAAGCATTTTCACGTATTAGCCATTCGCAATGCAATACACAATGAAACTGGACGTGTACTACCCGTCGAGAGTATTTGGGTAAAGTTGAAAACGTGTTATGATCTTGATGCCCTAGAGACAGCGGTGAGCTGCACAGCGCTTTCGGTTTTGTTTTTACTTGTCTCAGTACGCGCCAGGAAATTGATGGTTTCGATACGCCAACCTCGAGCCAGAATTCAACACCGCACCTCGTACGATCGCCTTCGCCTTCCCAGAACCTCTCACGACATCCTTTCTTTCGAGATGAATATTCTCTTCCTAATGAGGATGGTTTTAATAGTCTCGTCTCAGAGCGTCGAATACGCGCAACGGCCTCCCTTCCATCATCAACGCCCGCACCATCCCCGCGCCAGCCCAGTAAACCGAAGAAGACCAAGACCACGAAACGTAGTAAGAGCAAGGCGGATATGGCTGGCCTGGTAGGGGGCGATAGCGATAGCAGTGCACTCACGCAGGAGAGTGGAGATGAGGGTGCTGGGATCACTCCTAGCGTCATCACAGGCACTGATGCAGGCACGGACTACGAAGAGGACAATACGGACGTGCAAGAAACATCACCTGGTAAATCCTTTTCGCTCTTGGCTTATTCTCGGCTGATGTATACAGGTCAATTGAAAGCGGGACGAGGACGTGTCAAACAGCTTGCTCGAGGAGGGGCCGTGGGACGAGCTAGGGCAGGGTCAGCGAGCAATGCCCGGGGAAACAAGAAACGAAAGAAGTAGCATTTCGTGTTCATTATCATATTTGCTTATCATGCCTCTACCCGTTTGCTCTGACGACAGGCATGCCCTTATCAGGGATACAATATTGTGTCCAATCTTGTAAGTGCCGTTGCCGATACTAATGCCGACTGTAGCATTGCGAACATCGGTGCACTGGATTGAGGCCAAGATACAGACGAGCTCAGTGTCGCCCACTTCAACCAGGCAGACCGGAATGGGCGGTTTATCAACATAGAAGATGGACATAAAAGCCAACGTCATGCATAGTCTACATACGAAGATATCATCTTTCTGCAACGCACGTGAGTCCAGGTCACTGGTGGAAGAAGTACGCTCG